GTAGTCGGCCAGGCGCTGCACCTCCCCCTGGTAAGCCCCGCCTCTTTCCCGACGCACAGCATCAGGCCGCAGTGGAACTGGTTCTCCGTGATAATCCCGCTGCGCAACTTGTCGTGGTCGCAGAAGAACTCGGTGGTACGGATGCCGTGTTTGTGGACGGCGATCTGAATGCGCTTGAAGATCTCTCTCAGTTCGTCGTCGGCTTTTTCCTAAAATTTCAATTAAAAAAATATAGACTTGATGTTGATGGTAACACAGTCAAACACCCTTCACTCTTTTGTATTTGCTGGCATTTCCCCACTCCTAATAGTGCCCTCTTATTGTTTCTGAAAAAAGACGCCAGAAACTAAGTCACCAATCAGAGACGCCAAGGTGAAGGTCATGAAATTGATGTCTGAATGAGCATTTTTATCACAAACGAATGTCTATTCCATAAACTTTATCTTTCTTCCGTCCCAATCAAATTGTGCACAATCATTTCAGAGTAATCTGTAAAACTGCAAGTGACACATTCCCCTTTTTGATAGATCAACAAAATCAGCTTACCCTTCTAGGGATATTGTAGTTGTTCTCAGGCAACGGATCAAACAGGTTCTCCTCCAGTCTTTCCTTGGCGGCCTCCACGTCGTTGTGGAAGTTGAGATAATTGCAGAGGTTGGAGGAGGTTGGGTCCAGGTAACGCCGCCGAAGGAGGTCCACTTCACCATCGTCAAGGCCGGGAGGTCTGGGGAAACTCCTGGCAAACTGAGGAATAAACCCATCCAAAAAATAATATTAAGCTAAAAATTTCATGTTGAGAGGGTGAAATATGACACAAAAACAGCTCAGACTAAAATTAACTTTGCAAAATCAATTATGAAATGCTACATGCAATTAGAATAGTGCACAAAATATGTACGAACAAATGTAAGTTTGTAAATTTCTGACATTTATACCCTCTGAATATTTATGTAGCTCTGTAAAACAATATTTTTTTTCAAAAATGCTCCACAATTATTACCCCTATTACGTTATTAAGGCCCTGACTATTAGTTTAATGCAGACTTTAAGATCAATGCAACCTGGGCCCACTTTCATAGCGTTGCTAAGCAGACGATTTTCTGCTAACACAGTCTCTGTTTATTTAAGCCAACAAAAGGCACGCTCCCTGCCAAGGAAACATTTGCTGAACTTAGTGACGTAACGATAGAAATCTCTATGCGCACGTGACCGTTAGCACATCTACACCATGAAACAGTGCTTAAAATTGGCACAATTTTCTGCTATAGTAAGCACAACTTTTCTGCTTACTGTTAAGCAGCGCAATGAAATTGGCCCCGTTCTCCACCAGGTAGCCATCTACTCTCAGACCAGAAGAAAGCAATTGTGGTAAAGTGTCTTGCCTAAGAACACCAACACCATGATCCACTGTTAAAAAAAACCCCACAATTTGTTTTCCTACCTGGCTGTCAGTAACAGTACCGATGTGATGTCTGTCAAAGTCGGTATAACTTGAGCTAATGTTGATGCCGTGGTATTTGTAGTAGGGAGCAATTCTTTCAAGGATGGTGTTGGCCTTCTGGATGGAAGCTGGGCTGATTGGACGGACGGAACGAGTCGTTCCCAGACTGGAGTGACCAAAATAAATAAACAAATATCATGTTATTATCTCTAATAATTTATGTAGACTAATTTTCGCGAACACAAGTTGCCTGGAAATACAAACTCAGCTAAAACTTCTATTGATTTTTCCAATAATTATGAACAAATTTATATCCAGAGGTTAAGTGGAGAAAAAATACTTACAATTCTTCTGGTGCGATTGTCTGTGTTTTTGGTTCAATTTTCAGATTGTTGGGCTGGAAAGCTGCGACACAGGAAAATAACAGGAAAAAAGGGTAAAAAAATTGCAGAGATTTCTTAATACAATGTACTTAAAAAAATATTACGATAACCAACTCATAAACTGCAAATGTTCTTCATTGCAAGTCATTATTAATTCTGTCAAAGACTACAATTTGCACTTCAAATGCCCTGTACTTGATGTACTTACTGCATTCGATGACGTCAGCAAATCTCTTGTAGTTCACCATGCCGTCCTTTTCCTTGAACTCCACAATCAACAATTCCTCCTCTGCTTCGGCAAGAATCGTCGAGAAACTCTGATCCAGACATCTCTTAAACTGGGATGCTAATAAGAAGTAAAACAAACAAATTAAACAATTTAGCAGGCAATTTCAACTGCCACACGATAATGGGATACTGCATTCTTTCTTAAAATATTGATATTATACTTTTAGGGAGCACTTTAATAATTCCCAACAAAGTGGACACTCACCTGTCACACATCCACTTCGGAGGTTGTCAAAATCCTTGAAGAACTCGGCAACTCGCACCCTCTTCGAAAGCATAAACTTCCGAATGCGGTCTTCAATCATCGCTACCACTGGCTTGGGCATGGTGGTGGTAGTTGTGAGGGTACGTTAGGGCAGAAACTATGTAAGAGATAGACAGGAAGAACAAATTATCCAAATTGCAATGAACGTACTTTATATTCTCTTCATGGCTAGGTCAAGTAAAGTTGGGCCTGCTGTAACGTTAGGCCTACTTAAAATAAATATGAATGTTGGACAACTCGACCGTTTGCCAAGTCAACTCAGGACAACTCAAATGTTGAGACAACTCGACCAGTGCGACAATTGGACCATTTACCAAGTCGTGAGTTAAGACAAGTCGACTTTTCTTACCATCAATGACACACACAGACGGTCATCATGGTCATGTTGTCACCGGTCGAGTGGTCCCAACGCGACCCGAGGCAAGTTGGCAAACGGTCGGGTTGTCCGATCCCCCCAAAACAATGAATAACATGAAGCCAAAAAAAATGTTTCACTTCTTCTTTTCATCATGCTCATGTCATCATGATTATTATTTAAAACAAAAGCACACAATTATTGAATTAAAACTAACGTAGGCCCACACACAATCACATTAAAAGCGTTAGGCCTAAATTTGTTTTGAAAACTTTCTTTAAAAAATTGGACAGGAAAATGCACACTAAATAAATCACTATTTAATAACAATATAACAATAGTATGAATGACCAACTCAGCTGTTCATTACAAAAGCAAATGTTAAAACGAAGAAAGAAATACTCACTTTTTTCCGTGGGATCAATTCCAAAATAAAGACGAAACGAAAACTTCGGACCTCTTGCAGTTGCATTCAATGACATCTATTTATCCGGCCGGAGAATTGACATGTGCGTATCCAAGCAACAACATTTTTGTGAACAATTGAGGGCGCTATTGCAAAATAACTGTTCTAAAAAAAAATGAGAGCGACCGTAAGAGGGCGCTATTTCAACGAACAAACATCAAAAAATTTGCGCAGACTGTACCACTAGTTGTATTTTGCGATGAACAGATAATAACCAGCTAATGTTTGGAGTTACTAAAAACCAGAGCAGGAAATGAACAACTTAAAGTCTCGTCAGAATTGATCGATTATGACGAGATTGCGAATGATTTTGACTTTTAATAGTTGACATCAATTAATACTTCCAGTGAATACAAAATAGGCCTTATATTAACTAATATCAGCACATTTTTCAGATTAATAGGCCTATTTGTCTTGCAAATTTCCCACTAGCATCGTGATTGCTCTGTTTTGTTCACAGTTTCTTTCCCAAAGCTTTGCTACATAACAGTTGTTTTGTGACAGTGCCACAGAAAGCTGGATACAAAATGATGGATGCCATAATTATATAGGCATTATGACAAACGCATCCAGACACTCATGGATGATAGTCTAGAGTATTTTTCATCCTCCTAATCGTCCTAATGACGCCCGCAACTGGAAATGTAATAGTCCAAGACGTGACCATGGTTAACGGGTTTATTGGGCCGTCCTCCACTGTAACATCCAGGCCCCCCCCCCCGCCCGGAACTAACTTCGCCGCTAAAGGTAAGTGTCAAGTTCAATCAGGCCGGCAAACTTGAAAATGACTTCACCACATTGTAGTTACAGACAGCACACATCAAATCCAATTACTATAGTTATTTATTTAAATAGCACCAAACTGAAAATGTAAAAAAAAAAACCAACGAACAAACCAACACCCCTCTAAAAAAACAGCCCAATTTCCAATATCCCAATACATTGTCTATCACAACTGAGGTATTACTAGAAATAGATTCCCCCCCCCCAAAAAAAAAAGTTTACGAGTGTTCCATATTAAGGTATTGAAATTGAGGTCTTGAAAGTTTTTTTATGCTGTTATGAATTTTCTCATTTTTATCTTGTTAACCTTAATAAAACGTACAATTAAATTCAACCAGTTCCCGGGATTTCAGTAAGAACAAAAAGAACAAATACCTGCAACCACAGAAAAGGTGAGTTTGGTCTAATTAAGCTATGAATATACTGATTATCGGTAAATACAGAAAAATAATACAGAAAAATAATGAAAAATAAAGGTGCAGCATTTCTTCTCGTAAATCAACCCTTAACACCTTTTAGGCCAAAAAAAAAAGTCTCCGGTTTCTGGTATGCGCGCGCGTCGCCGTAGCCATGCGCGTCGGCAAAATGAAAAAGGTTTTTTTTCAATAAAAGATGATGTCTCAAAACCGCCAAACTCACTGGTTTAACTGGAATCCTGCTGCTGCACAATTTTAACGTGTTTTTAGATTGGGTTATGGTCGAGAATAAGCTTTATGTGGCCTCTCTGGACTCCCATATATTTGCACTAAGTTTAGTCGGGCACCATTTGCAGTCATCAGCCGACATTTGAAGCAAAACAATCAGTTAAAAAAAAAAAAAAGCCGCGTCACCGCACCACTTTTTGGGCAAGCTCCATACCAGAAACCGGAGACTTTTTTTTTGGCCTTACCTTAAACTTTTTAATCCGACTATTCTTTACCATTAGCTAGTGAAATTATATGAATACATAGATTCGATCATGCATATATTTTTTTCATGCCTGGAACTAAAGAAAATAATCAAGAAATGGTACTGCTTAATATTGTGCAAGACTTCGTTCCAAACAAGTAATTTATTCAAAGTACATACCAGACACCAGGACTGAAAATGTCAATCACTTGTGTCTTGCGAAAACTAAATCCTTTTGGCAAAAACTTTCCAAACCAAAACTCTGTGTTTGCGATAATGTGCTTTGTTTCGTCTTGGATCGAGCCAAAGTATTGAGCAGTCTTTCATTACAGAGCATGCGCAGTTGCATGGATGCAAATTCCTCACGGTTTTAAACCCAGCACGTTAAACACGGTTCCATTTAGGTTAGGTACCGGACTCGTCCTACACTGTGACGACTTCGTTGATGATACAGCAAGCGAGGCGCGCGCCGGCGTGTCCCGTGGTCAGACTATCGGAGTAACCACCCCTGCCAAGATCGTCTGTATCCTTGTGCAACTGAAAACAAAAAACCGGCGGGAATATTGCACAAAACATCACGAAATCCACAATCGGACGCAAAATGTAACATTTGAAGGCAACCTTATTATTTTGGTCGAATCCTGAGCCCAAATTTCATGCATAATTGGCATGATTATCCCCTTTCATGGAGTGTGATCTTGTTGGACATAACTTTACTTTAGACCATAGCCTATGTCAGAAGCATAGGCCTAACCAACACTTCAGCTATGTTCTCCAAAATTAAGCTTAAAAAAAGATAGAATCATCTTTCATAAAACTTTTAGAAAACTAAGACTTTATCTCTCGAAGTCTAAAAGCCCTAAAGCAACTTCTTTACTTGGTGTCCCCACTGGCGTAAAGGTGCGGAAGGTCATTGCCATAGCAACGCCACGCATGCCTGCTGGGGACCAAGGAGGAAAGGTCACAGAGGCCAACTGGGTGAGTTGACATGTTTACCAGCTAAAATGCGTGAGATGTTTGCTGAATACTCTCAATATCATCTCACTCGACGGTTCTTGGAGTATAAACTTTATTTACCAAAAGCAAAAGTTCAAATTTTCACGCCTCAAGAATCTAAATTGCCACAGAGGTCCAAGACATCATAGGCCTAACCCACCAAATATTACGCATTTCTGACTCTTTCAACGAAATAAACACTTCCAATGCAACTCCCAATCATTACAGGTCTGTTCCAGACTTTCCGTATTTTTTTTCCAAAAGAGGTTCTAATTGGAAATGGAAAACCCCAACTGTCGAACTCACCACTATGGCCCTGCCGATGATGGTATTAGTGCCGAGGAGAGACGCCACGTCATCGGTGAATTCAGTGTAGACCGAACCATCGCTGTTCCGTTCCACATTCCCAAAGTCTCCAACATGCCTGAGTTTTTTTAACCCAAATAAAAGGAAAATACGTAATGAAATAAACGGTAAAGTGTCGAGGAATGGGTACACCTTCGAAAGTACTAGTTTGTGCAACGTTAAGGTCACGTCGTAAGTTTGGACCGTGAAGTCAAGTTGGATTGCTTGCTTCTTTTCATGTGAGCATGACACTTCATAATCCACGGACGACGTCATAAAGCCATCGCAAAATCATCCTATAAATCCTCTCTTAGTTTACAAACATCGAACCCATTTTGTACAGTTGGCCCCTAGTTCCGCAAATTATACATCCTCTGTTGGCAACAAATTTTGCTAACGATGGCACTTTTAATTGCACTACATTGAGGTATATTTTGTTAATTTGTAAGTTATCCACTAGCTGAATAGTATTTTATATGGAGTTTTATTAGTTGCATAATTCTAGAAAGTTATCAAAAAACTTATTTCACGAAACGTGCATTGTATACCTTTCTACGTCTTGGGGCCCACCGTGTTGCTTGCCCGATGGGTTGAAATGCCCACCAGTCGATCCACATCCGTTGGTCAGATCGCCGAACTGATGCACGTGGAAGCCGTGAAGATCGGCGCTGGACACATCCAGACCAGTCAGACTCACAGATACAGACAAACTCCCGCCAGTTTTCTACAGAAATTCAGTCAATTATATTCATGACCCAAGTTATTAGAGCTGATAGCCTGAGCAACAGAAGACTGTGCTTACAATTTTTAATTCGGTTATTCATAGATAGATTTCCTTCTATATAACTTGAATAAATTAACTGGAACAGCTCTGAATCTTGTGATATACATAGTGTACACCCTACTTGAGTTGTAGGGAACTAACAAGCAGAAAACACAAGTCATTATATATAGCCTATGTTAAAACTTTAACGATAACTCCTTTAGATTTCCATCACAATATACATACCAGTTGCTTGAATGTGACAGCGCCTTGTACATTGTTTGCTGCCTTTATGTCGTCAGACAGATCAGGGTTATTCTGCAAATCACATCTAGCTCGGATATAAGGGTCCTTTAGAAACGCAAAATGACGGAGAAAGTTGAATGATGGGAACACCAGAGCACAGCAGAGCGATTTTATCAAGCAGGCAAAAATTGTCATTCGACAAAAATTTCTTGTGACGGTTCTCAGCCAGTGTCATATGCAATTTGGACTCCGATCCTATGAAATCTGGTCTTTTACCCTATTATTAGTTAAACCATCACACTTGACCTGTCCCCCTTAATTATCTCACAAATGAACTGTCTCTTTTAATTAAGTCCTAAATTCACACCTGTGCACCGGTTTCCTGAGCACTGTTTGCTTAATTAACAATAACTATTGCAAATTCTGCCGCTCCATTTTAGTAGTGGAGGGGGACTGTTGAGCACAAGTTGACCTTTTCTAAAGAAATATGTAAAGGTCACATAAATATGTAAATATGTAAATATGTAAATATGTATATATATAAATATGAATTAATGGGGTTATGAAATTCCGGGCACAGTTTGACCTAATGAATGGATGGGATGAATAGGGAATAGGTGTGGGTATAAGGAACCGGGTACAGTTTGACCAATTCTGTGGGAAAGATTGCATAAGGTATGGAAAAATATTACAATTTTAGGAGAATATGTATCTACATGTAATTGCAACTAAGTGGTGCAATGTGAACGAACAGCTGGGTCGGATCTTTAATCCCCCAAGAATAGACGGGAGAGGGCTCGTGCCAAGTCAGCGCATTAGTATTGTTACGAAGTTAATCCGAGGATACAAAAAAGTAATTGGATTTCCGAATGCTCGACAGCAGAAAGCAGTGATAGATGGCAAAAATGAATTTTGCGTTGATCAGACTGAAACGAGTACGATTGTCTATTTGAAGAATTATTTTAAAGTCAGTTTTATTGGGTTTATGGGTATTGTGCACGTTGCGTTTTCCAAGTTATAAACAAACACTCACCGCAGCATACTTGCAGGGTACAGCCTGTGTCGGCCAGGGGGGTATATGATAAATCCACGATCCATAATCCATGCGTCTGTACGGAGACCGGTGGTCGATCACCCCTCGATGATCGTACCGATCATGGAGCAAATAAATAACTCCGTCCGTGCGCCTATATTCCTCTTGTTAATCGATACAATACCAATGGCACTCTTCTACACTGCCACCAGAATCATCCAAGTAAAAATATATGTCTGTGCGCGGTGATCGTAGAAAAGGGAAGGTTTTGGCATTAGCCAGAGCAAGTGCTAGTACACATGCACACTACTGTACACACGCCGTCCGATCAGATAGCGCTCAAGTTTTCTTAATCCGTGACGGCTAAATTATCGATTAGGCTCTATTGCAGAGGCGCGTACAATAAGGAATGGATTCAGTGGTTTAAAGCCATAACAAAACGTGTGGGCGTGTGGTTTTTAAAGGGAACTACGGCCTGGAAAGTGCCCGATTGAGTGTATAGGAATAACACAACCATCATTGTGCATTTTGTAATATTTAGGACTAGAACGACCCCCAAACCAAGCTATAGACTATCCATAGTTAAAAATTCAATCGTAACGTGGTCGTCTTTCTAAGGATGTGTGAGAACCACTTTTTTTTGGGGGGGGAGGTGTTGAGGGGTGGGGGGATTGGCGTTCGACGGGAAAAATGGTGCCCCTTTAACGCTGTCTGGACAGGAATGCACCGAACCCTAGTTTGTACCTCCGTGCCGGATTTGTTTACAAAATCAAGGATGACTGGGTTTTATCTACGACCATTTTACGGGGATTATTTAGAGGGCGTGTCCAAGCACTAATTTTATGACTGAGAGTAGGCTTTTACGACTGATAAGACAACACAAACAAAGAAAAATACAACTGCAAAAAGTATATACGTTATGACATTATTGCTTTATTGACTTTATTATTGCTTTATTAAAACACTCGTGTTTTTATTTGTCTGTCCCAATGTATTTCTTCGCAATTATATCGTCATTGTAATGTGACTAGTCTTTAATCGTCACTGTCTTCCTCGCTGACGTCTTCTTCATCTTGATGGAACAATCCGTCAAATTTCATCTGGTGTTTAGGCATAATTCTGCCGAGAGCCTTTTGTACGCTAATGCCCTTATATATTTTTTCATCGAGATTGTCCACAATATCTTGATGAGTATCGTTATCTTTCAGATGTAGGTAACTTGACAGAAAATCCTTGTACTTGTCAAAAAAGATTTGCTTGACTGCCCAGAGGGTCTTCCTATCGGCCTTTTCCTTGGCCTGATCTTCACCCATACCCTCGTTGATGTACTTTTCATGTTTTTCGCTCCAGATTTCACGAGTCGCTTCTTTGGACTCTTCCAACCAGTCTTGGAATGTAGCATTGTCTTCTAATTCAGAACTAGACTCATCTTCATCGTCATCTTCTACCTCCGAGTCCGTTTCCGAGCCCGATTCATCCACGTCAGGATGATCAGATTGAATAACCTCAATTTCAGAATCATCGTTAACCCCATTCATTTCAGATTCATCTTCATCATGAGCATTTTCGGTATGTCGCCAGAGATTATATCTCCGTCCAAAGCTTTTATCACACTGGTTACTACGGCATAGAGTAGGATGAGCACGGTAAAGAGTAGGATGAGCACGGAAAAGAGTAGGATGAGCAGGGAAAAGAGTAGGAGGAGCAGGGAAAAGAGTAGGATGAGCACGGTAAAGAGTAGGATGAGCAGGGAAAAGAGTAGGATGAGCAGGGAAAAGAGTAGGATGAGCACGGTTAAGAGTAGGATGAGCAGGGAAAAGAGTAGGATGAGCACGGTAAAGAGTAGGATGAGCACGGAAAAGAGTAGGATGAGCAGGGAAAAGAGTAGGATGAGCACAGTAAAGAGTAGGATGAGCACAGTAAAGAGTAGGATGAGCAGGGAAAAGAGTTGGATGAGCACGGAATTAAGAGCGCACAGGCACGCAGAGAGCATGCGCAGGGGGGGGGGGGAATGTGGAAATGAGCTCAAGCAGACAGGTCTCGGCACAATATATATTAAACCAATTCATCCGTTTCTTGTCATTCGTGAATCAGCCTTTAAAACTTCAACATGAATACTTTTTCTGCGGTCAAACCCCATGCTTGTAACCAGTGTGATAAAAGCTTTGGACGGAGATATAATCTCTGGCGACATACCGAAAACGCTCATGATGAAGATGAATCTGAAATGAATGGGGTTAACGATGATTCTGAAATTGAGGTTATTCAATCTGATCATCCTGACGTGGATGAATCGGGCTCGGAAACGGACTCGGAGGTAGAAGATGACGATGAAGATGAGTCTAGTTCTGAATTAGAAGACAATGCTACATTCCAAGACTGGTTGGAAGAGTCCAAAGAAGCGACTCGTGAAATCTGGAGCGAAAAACATGAAAAGTACATCAACGAGGGTATGGGTGAAGATCAGGCCAAGGAAAAGGCCGATAGGAAGACCCTCTGGGCAGTCAAGCAAATCTTTTTTGACAAGTACAAGGATTTTCTGTCAAGTTACCTACATCTGAAAGATAACGATACTCATCAAGATATTGTGGACAATCTCGATGAAAAAATATATAAGGGCATTAGCGTACAAAAGGCTCTCGGCAGAATTATGCCTAAACACCAGATGAAATTTGACGGATTGTTCCATCAAGATGAAGAAGACGTCAGCGAGGAAGACAGTGACGATTAAAGACTAGTCAACATTACAATGACGATATAATTGCGAAGAAATACATTGGGACAGACAAATAAAAACACGAGTGTTTTAATAAAGCAATAATAAAGTCAATAAAGCAATAATGTCATAACGTATATACTTTTTGCAGTTGTATTTTTCTTTGTTTGTGTTGTCTTACTCTCAGTCATAAAATTAGTGCTTGGACACGCCCTCTAAATAATCCCCGTAAAATGGTCGTAGATAAAACCCAGTCATCCTTGATTTTGTAAACAAATCCGGCACGGAGGTACAACTAGGGTTCGGTGCATTCCTGTCCAGACAGCGTTAAAGGGGCACCATTTTTCCCGTCGAACGCCAATCCCCCCACCCCCTCAACACCCCCCCCCAAAAGTGGTTCTCACACATCCTTAGAAAGACGACCACGTTACGATTGAATTTTTAACTATGGATAGGCTATAGCTTGGTTTGGGGGTCGTTCTAGTCCTAAATATTACAAAATGCACAATGATGGTTGTGTTATTCCTATACACTCAATCGGGCACTTTCCAGGCCGTAGTTCCCTTTAAAAACCACATGCCCACACGTTTTGTTATGGCTTTAAACCACTGAATCCATTCCTTATTGTACGCGCCTCTGCAATAGAGCCTAATCGATAATTTAGCCGTCACGGATTAAGAAAACTTGAGCGCTATCTGATCGGACGGCGTGTGTACAGTAGTGTGCTATGTGTACTAGCACTTGCTCTGGCTAATGCCAAAACCTTCCCTTTTCTACGATCACCGCGCACAGACATATATTTTTACTTGGATGGTTCTGGTGGCAGTGTAGAAGAGTGCCATTGGTATTGTATCGATTAACAAGAGGAATATAGGCGCACGGACGGAGTTATTTATTTGCTCCATGATCGGTACGATCATCGAGGGGTGATCATCGACCACCGGTCTCCGTACAGACGCATGGATTATGGATCGTGGATTTATCATATACCCCCCTGGCCGACACAGGCTGTACCCTGCAAGTATGCTGCGGTGAGTGTTTGTTTATAACTTGGAAAACGCAACGTGCACAATACCCATAAACCCAATAAAAATGACTTTAAAATAATTCTTCAAATAGACAATCGTACTCGTTTCAGTCTGATCAACGCAAAATTCATTTTTGCCATCTATCACTGCTTTCTGCTTTCGAGCCTTCGGAAATCCAATTACTTTTTGTATCATCGGATTAACTTCGTAACAATACTAATGCGCTGACTTGGCACGAGCCCTCTCCCGTCTATTCTTGGGGGATTAAAGATCCGACCCAGCTGTTCGTTCACATTGCACCACTTAGTTGCAATTACATGTAGATACATATTCTCCTAAAATTGTAATATTTTTCCATACCTTATGCAATCTTTCCCATAGAATTGGTCAAACTGTACCCGGTTCCTTATACCCACACCTATTCCCTATTCATCCCATCCATTCATTAGGTCAAACTGTGCCCGGAATTTCATAACCCCATTCATTCATATTTATATATTTACATATTTACATATTTACATATTTATGTGACCTTTACATATTTCTTTAGAAAAGGTCAACTTGTGCTCAACAGTCCCCCTCCACTACTCATTTTGCTCAGGGTACAAAGTTGAAGTTATCTGTCAGTAAAATGCTACCGATACATCGATTATCCAAAAGTTTGCAACGGACATTTTAACACGAGGTATCACACAATGATGCATGCATGCATATAGGGCTAGTAATTATTGAAGCCAATTAAAACAAAAAGTTCTAAACTTCCCGAGTGCCACAATATTGTGAAGCATCTTACCTGCAGTGCTCGGTCATGTTGTAAAGCATGCAGGAGATTCAAGTATTCGCGACGAGAGGCACCAGCTGAAATATAAACGGCAAACATTCAGCAAATGGGCGTAAAAATGGGGGCGGGGCTGTGTTGTATTCGAGTCCCTGCAAGTTCCTGAAGTCCATCGCAAGTCAAGTCACTATAGCTATTCAATTTCAAATGAACTGTTACAAAAATATTCCTTTGTCATTGTTCATCCAGTTACTTGTTTATATAGCCCTAATAGTCCTGAATCCTCCAATTTAAATATAATTTTGCACACCCCCTAGGGAGTTTTAATTTATTTCTTATTTTGGTAAGGTAATCCACTGGTCTCCCATGGGGCCCAGCAAGGATGTCAATGTGAAGAAACTACACTTTTAGACGTGGGAGGAAAACCCCAGAAGAATATTCGGAGGAAAACCAGCAGTACCACCAGGCAGGGACTCAAAACCCAATCCACATGGCCCAGGCAGGAATTAAACCCAGGTCACAGCGGTACGTGGAAAGCGAGGAAGGTACCGCTACACCAACCTGACTTGTGACTGGCCTTATGAAAGGCTTGTGAAAGGACTTATGAGTAATGACTTGCGATTGTCGGCAACATCATGCATATCAAACAAACTTCAAAATGAAACAAGTGTATCGAGTGTTAGAAATTAATTGCAGGCACAGGTGTTTAGAAACAATGCACCGTCGGAGTTGCACATGAGGTCTAACAACACAACATATGTTTCCTCGTGGACTCATTTTTCAAACTGTATTATGTTGGCCCCTACGGTGGCCGGGAAAGAATGTAGTATAGGCCCTATCCACATATCCCAATTCTGGTTGTATACAAAGTCTTTGGAGAGTGAGTGCATTTTCAAAGTATTTTCTAACAATATTGGAAATGTTTCTCAGTCCAAGATTCATGTCTTCAACATTTTTGCAATGACTGACCTTTATTGAGATAATATATGATGAAAAAAGTTGCGTCAGGATGCAACATTCTTTCCATTACTCATTCATTGACAACTCAAAAGTACATGATGTATACATGGAGGTGTACTACTACTAGGCCCGCCTACTCCTGTTTTTATTAAATTCAGAAAGCAAACAACACAAACATATGCAAAAGGTGTGGAACTTACCTGCATTCTGTACAAGAGAAACACAGAGGCAGCTTGCCAGCAGTAGCGCCACACCATACACGCCCATCTTCAGCTTATCCGAAGGCCAGGAATATAGGAGAGACGTGCTATCGCATGCACAACTAACAGTATTCTAGTGGAGAACAGCCATGATAGCGGGACAGATGCATATAATAGCTATATCTAGCTACACATAATGGCTTATAAGCTGGAATAACACACGTCAATGCAGAAACACAAACAAGCCTCACCCTGAACTCTGCCCTCGCACTACGTCAAATATGCGGGTGTTTAGAACACCTGCCTGCATTATATAGACTGGTATCTTACGTTCCAATATAATTTGGCGCGGTAAGGTAACCACTAGCATTTAAAACAGATTTTTTGTTTTGTTTTAACTAGCGTCATGCCATTTACATTAAGCCACAAAAGAGGGGGTGGCGTAAGGGGGGGGGGGGGCACTGAAGGAAAATGATATAATTTTTTTTTTAATTCAAGATTTTAAACGGGGGGGGGGGGGGGGGGGCACGGACACCCCTTCCCCCATAGTTACGCCACTGCAAATGGTGAGTGGTTGGCACTTTTTGTTCTACATTTATCAAACGAAATTAAATCAAAATGAAATGTTATTGTTCGATTCCATTCTTTTAGAGAAATGCCGAAATCAGGAGGTAAATTAAGTAGCTGCGCCCGCGATCATTCCAGCGTAAAGTTTGCTCCTTTGATAACCGAGTGCCAGTATCGTGTAAACGCACCGACCCTCTTCTTCAGATCAGCTGTCATATCCTTTCCTTCTGTCATCATGCACCCATCATTTTCTTCCACACTTTTTTCCCCAAAATGTTTCTTCCAACGGAGAATGTATAGCCTTATTTGCAACGGCCATCTTAATAGAGAGCATCTCTTATTTCAGTTCAGTAACAATGCGCAACTCATGCACCCCAGCCAAAGAAAGGCACTGCACTCTAAGATGGCTGCTACGCACAAGGTGTATTAGACGGTTGAAAATACATGGTTCTCCAAGTCACATGGGACTTCCGTTTATAGGGGCGGATCTGGTTGTCAGGAAGAAACGGGGGGGGGGGTGTTGAGTAAGTGTGTGTTGAAGACACTCCCTGCTAGGGGGTCCGGGGCATCCCACCGCCCCCCCCCCCCGAAAAATTGAAATCTACGATATTTTTTCTCCTGCATTCTAAGGCAATTTGAGAATAAATTTAGAGAATAAATTCAGGAACTTCAGCACTCCATTTATTATTTTTAGCCCCATTTGATTAGTTTCATAACATTAGTCACCGGCTGAACGGGGGGGGGGGGGGGGGAACTCCCTCCCGTGGTTATCCCAATTTTGGAAAAGTTTGAATGCTGGAAGTTTACCTTCTATGCCCACTGTATAAGGATTTAAGCATGATGAGACATTGCCTACAAGTATCATCTCGATTGCAACGATAGGAACTCACGTGCCACTTCACAGGCTAAATAATTCCCCCCCCCCCAAAAAAAAGGGCGCGAGCAGCATCACACCATTTTTCCTGCTTCAAAAATGTGCTGTAACTAATCCGGACAACTATCGCACACATGAACAAGTCAGAACGACGCACCAAAGCAAGTCTGTTTTTGCCTCCAACTTTTCTTGTAAAAAGAATTCCATGAAAGATCCACTTTTATATACAATACAAAATATCGGAATTTTATCGAACAAGCACCAGGTTTTGTATTTAACTTTAAAACACCCGGTGGTTCTTTAAAATAAGGCACTTTAAAAACGGCCAAATTTTAAATTTTAAATAAGACTTTTCTTAAAAGAAAATCAAATTTCGTTAAAAGAAGTTATACTTCTTATTGAAAAATTGCAGCTGTTCATGTGACTTTTACGTTAAGTGGCAGTGCACTTTAAAACTAAGATTGTCTTAAGAAAAGTTGTTTTAAAAACGCACTTGCACATTAAGACTTTTATACACTGGATAAAAAGAACACTTTAACAAGTTCACATAAATAAGTTAGATTTAAAAACCTTTGGCAACTTTTAACTGCATAAGGAATGCTCACTTTATTAAACCCTTTAACCATTTTATAATTAAAAAAATTCAACAAATAAGACATCAAAGAAGACTAACATCACATCGTTAAAAGCAACATCTACAATATTGGAGATCACAAAAAATGAGTACACTTTAAAATGAAAAAGGAGAAATCACTTGTGCTTCCTGTACAGCTCCTTGTCATCTTCACGTTGTGCGTCAGTCTCGCGAGATTTCGGGGTGGGTAACTTTGACACACTTCATGTCCATACATGAAGTGAGGACAACTAAAAATGCAACCAACCAATCAGAGAACAAGTTGGGTATGGCCCCGCCCACACAAATCAGCGTATTAAAGGGACTCATCAATGAAACAGAACACAATTTACACACCGAAGGAGAATAACAGTAAACTGGAGGTCGTAACTCACATCTCGTGATTTTAGTTGTCATTTTCTGAATACTACAGCTCTAACAGCTAACCACGTTTTTTTTTATTATCTTCTTGGATCACACTAAGAATATCCATAACACCAATTTACAACATCTCAATGTTTTTCTGTGGTTGTTGCTTTTTGCCCCAATCCTTAATTAACTCTCAATGTTGCAGCAACACACACTGAAACTTTGCTCCAAGTAGCAAAGGAAAAATGTGAAAAGAAATTTCCCATAACGAGTTAGAAATATCTCCCCCCCCCCCAAAAAAAAGGCCTTACTTAGTCTGCAAAATCCGACATTTTCACAGGGCAGAATTTTTGTTGTTGAGCTTTTGAAAAAAAAGGAAAGATTTTCAAGTTCAAAATATATCGCAAACCAATTGTCAGATCGGGACACGTGTACAATCTGAATATGCCCCCCCCCCAAAAAAAAACCCAATTACTGTAGGATAAGCAAGAGGTTTAAATGAATGTCAAACTCTACTTATTTGCAGTGCAATGTGGTGATTTGTGTCTCATCTCATGAAGTGGCTGAAGAAAATACTTTCAAGATTTGTGATAACATACATTTTTTTGTCACGAAAAGGCAAGACGTCTTGTGGAAAACTTTTTTTGGGGTGTAGTTTGCAATGCCACATACTCGACATAACGCAAGTGTCATCTTTGTCCATCCACGTGTATCATATGAAGTCAGTGTGAAATTAAAATGTTCCAAATCGAACACTGGATTCTGTGAAAGCCAGCACAAGGATCCAATGCTTGATACAACTCTTTCTGTATGATTCTGTTTTTTGGGGTTGAACATTTCTCATTTTCATTTCTTAATTGAAATCTTCCATGTACAAACATGCATGTAACCTAACATGTATTATCACACATGCCCGATTGTGAAAGACCAGCATCATGTACAATGTATTTCTCATTTTCCCAGCACTAATTATTTCCAGGGCAGACCAATAAACAAGGTTGAATCCAACAGAACCCAACAAAAGCCGAGCACGGACCCTTCTGAGTCAAACAAAATCAAACAGGTAAGGGCCAAGCCTGTTGAATCGAACAGAATTCAGCAACGGACAGGCGTGGAACAGACTGAATCCAACAAAAACAACAAGTATCCAAGAGTTTACCCAACAGAACCCAACAACAGCAAAGCACAGACTGTGCTTATTTCAACAGGATCCAGAGTGTGCAGCCAGCCAAATCCAACAAAATCAGACAGCCAATTGAATCCTACAGAATCCATCAAATGAATGTGTTTCTTTTGTCAGATCTTGTCAGACTCAGAAGCAAGGTTAGTTCTGTACATCAGCAAAACCTGAACCCCATCAAATCCCGCAGACGCCATCAAATGAAGACGATCCTTCAGTCAGATCTTGTCAGACTCGGGAGCAACGCTAGGCATGTACGTGTACATGGTTTCAAAAGAGAACAAAGGTTAAAGGGTCAGCAACTCGGTACAATTAATTATCACCAAAATCATCGAAGCTACAACCACCTTCCTAGAATTTCAGGCCCCCAGGATTTCCCGTCAAAAATATCGTATCTGAAATAAAAACGGAAAAAATATGGAAGCATTACAAGATAGCTAGTTTGTTCAAATAGTACAAAGTCTACTTATGGTCAATTCAACATTTACACAATGTATCATAAAAGTTTTGCACTAGGTTAGGGTATTTTTGTCCCACTATTAATAAGGGGTACCCAAGAGCAGTGGTCTGCAATATTCCAACAGATAGATGTGTTTTACAGGCATCTTATTTGTTCATGTATTAATCAACATGCATTTAAGCAAGTGTAAAGTCAGACAACCTGGTGGTCTCAAACTTTAAAACTGTAACTAAGTTGATCTCAAAAACACACACTCTTAAACTTACAGAAATAAAGATGTGTGCTGCAAATGCACATCAGGCGTCAGAATTAAAAAAAAGAAGAAGCTTTTCAGACCATGTTTCTGCTTCATTTCTTTTTGCTGAACTTGAAAGCCTACTGATATGAGGCCTTGCTTTGCATGAACAACAGAACTAACACTTGAAACTCGTTTCAGATCAGAAAACCTTTCGTAAAAACTCGCAGACAATATGACCTTACTCCAAACTGGCATTTAGTCATGTGGTGTGTCATTAAACAAAATTAAAATACATAAAAACTGTTTGAACTAAGACACTGACAAATTGGAAAACTACCAATATACGGCTGGATAGCCCAGTTGGTAGAGCAGCAAAACGGTAATCTGGAGGTCACAGGTTCAAACCCCGCTCCAGTTAATTTCTTAGTTCAAATTATATGAAAACAAACCTTTATTTGCTCAACTCGACTTCCTCAGTATGGCTGGTAGGCATTTTGCTGGTTACCGCCCGTCTGTGCCTTGCCGTAGTTGGATGCTTCTAAACACAGATCAAACAACAGTCAAGTACATGTACATTATTTTGGGGTGTTTGAGCAAAAGGTATCGTTCAAAATACACTTTGTTATACCATGGTATTAGATCGGGAATTTTCATTGTCTGTTCACGTAACATTCTTCAGAGGTTAATGATTGACGAACTAATGGTCTCTACAGAGTATGTCACCTCATGTTTATAAAATTCTGCATGTAAAGAGGCATAGATGGGTAAAAAGGCTTGCCCAGGGGCACAACATATTGAAAGCAGCTGCATTCAAACCCCAGCTCTCAGATTTTGAGTCAAAAGTCATTACTGACCAATCACAAGAGATTACTCGCACGTTAATATTCATGAGTCTAATAATACATAATAAACTTCGCCAGACCACGATCCCCCATTACTAACCAATTACATTCAAGAACTGACTCATAAATATTCATGACGTTTAATAATAATATTGCACTGTAAATTCTAAGGATGTGCAATATATGTACTGCACAAACCTTGTCCGTAGTTGGAGCCGTAGTTATACTGCTGCTGCTGTGCACCCCCGTAGCTGCTTGTGTCATATCCCCCCTGGTACCCGGCCTGGTAACCGGCCCCGTTGGCATATTGGCCCGATGCATCCTGGTTCTGGCCGTAGTTCTGGTAATTATAGTTGTATCCCTGGTAGCCCTGCAAGACAAAAAAAAGGGGGGGGGGGAAAAACGATTAATAAATGAAGAATATATTAAATAAAAACACTTCTTGAATTTTTTTTTTCTATAAAAGCATGTGTTTGTTTCCCATTGGTCACAAGTACATGTGTACTGCAAAGCAATTTACTCCTATCTGCAGTTTAAGTTACTAAATTTCAAAACAGAAGGTATTGAATGTTTCACTCTATTCAGCCGATGGTCGTCGGCTCAAATCCTGTCAAAGTCAACTTCTTCATTCAGCCTGATATTTAAACTGATACTTGTTCTCACATTGATTATAATGTATTTCAAAAACAGAATAGATCGACAAAACACTGAAACAGTTTGCATTGCTGACCAAAATATCGTTCTCGTTCACTTCAAATATTTAACCCTAACTCCCTAGGCCTTTTTGCTAGGATGTAGCCTCAATCCTGCAAAATCCTCAAATTGGCCTCATGGAAAAAAAGCATATAGCCTCAATCCTGCAAATTCCTCCATTATTTCTTGAATATGGTCCGTGGAGAGGTGACCACTGCCTGAATCCAGCAAAATCCTCCAGCTATGACTGTCAATAGGCCGAGGCAGAGGCAGTGACATCCTGGAGCAGTGGGGAGGATTTCAAGTATAATCAAGGACTACATTTATGCTAGGCTGAGCATAAACAACACAAGGTCCGGCCCAAGACCTTGACACAGTGCGTCCTCCGAAATCAGCAACGCACTTTTGCCATGTAACCTCCATCCTGCAAATTTCTCCAATTTGCAAATAGGATTTTGGAGGATTTGGGATGGTTAGGGTAAATTGAATAAAGAGCCAAATATCCGAATTCTGAATTAACTGAACTTTGTCAGCCCTAAAAAGGTCAGAGGTGACTCACCGGATACTGTTGTTGGTCGTATTGCTGGTTGTATCCAGATTGGTCGTACCCGCCTTGATAGTAGCCGCTGCCCCCACCTTGCTGGTACCCTCCCTGGTTGTACCCACCCCTCCCACCTTGGTTGTATCCTTCATAGTTGTTGTAAGGGCCGCCCCCTTGGTAGCCCTCTTGCTGTTGACCGTAACCGCCACCTCCAACTAAACGACCAATCAGACAAAAAATGACAGCTTCGTTTATTAAAGGGTGACCTCCTGCAGCTGCATTTTCAAAAGAGTGATCATCAATATGTTTGCAGTTAAGGATATGATATATGTCCCAGGCAAGCAACTGGGAAGTAAGCTAAAACAGAGAGGAAATTCCAATTCCAAGCTTTACACAATTTTATACAGTTTTTTTCCAATTTTTAATGGCATAAGTGGAAAATGAGGAAATCAGCTGATCCGAGGAAAAGGTGCATCACTGATTTCTCTAAATGAAAACTGGAAAGATTTGTTATGTGCACAAATAATTTTTTTTTTATAATGTATGTTGCCCTGAGAGTAATTTTCCACCTGTCTGCTGTACTTGCCAATCCCCCCCCCCTGTCTCATGGAGTATTTTGGAAGGATGACAAAGCCGATCAACTACACTCCAAGTTGAGCACACTAGGTGCCTCTGCAACATGACTGGCTGGCGTGCGGGTGGGGGGGCATAAATTTGCATGATTAGATACATCAGACGTTGGACTGGAGACAGAGAGGGCTCCATTGGACAAGGGATGATACTTAGACAAGGTTTTGGAGGATTCAGGTATCTTGGCTTGGGAAAAGGCCCGGGGTGTTTGAGTTCGGTAGGATCTTTAAGCCGGCCTCCAAGTTGTTAAGAATTGTGTAACTAGTTAGAGTCTTTTTTTCTTACATCCGCCCCTCCGTCCGTTTCCTCTGAACCCTCCTCGCCCTCTGAAGCCACCTTCCCTGAACTTGTCTGTCTGTGGCAGGACGGGCTTCACCTCTACGCGGCATTTCTCTGTACCGTTTTCCAGCTCGTGGTGCTTGACTATGGCGATTGTGTCCACCGTGGTCTCATCCTCAAATTGGATGAAGGCGAAGCCGCGACGCCTCTGGGTTTGGTGGTTGATGATGATCTTTGTTTCAATAATCTATAAGAACGGCATAAGAAAGTCAACTTGGTATGAAAAAAGAAGTGAATGTAAATGTTGTGCATCTTTACTAACAGCTTGGCAACTTTCTGACAAAACGAGACACAAATCAGTGACTTACTTCGCCAAACGCACCGAAGTACGCATTGAGTATTTCCTCTGATATGAAGTTTGGGATGCCGCCCACAAAGAGTTTCTTGGATCTTGGTTGGCCGTGCCTGACTGCTTTCTTGACCTCAATTGCCTTGCCGTCCACTGTGTGTTCCTCTGCCAAAACCTAAATTAGAAAAGTAAATAATATCAGAATCACCATTTCCAGATTATTGAAAAAAAGAAAAGTTTTTTCAACAAGAAAATATGGGTCAAACTCAAAGCACGTGGTCTAGTAAACCAACTTTTGGTTTGTTTTAGTTTCCTTTAAAAAAAAAATATTCGGCACATCACAACCTAATTTCTTTACATGGGGCTTAATATTCCAATATTGTGGAAAAACAAAGGCTGTTACGAAGGTTTAAACAGAGTTCGACCTTGGTGGTAGCGGTCGCCAAACAGCCAAGGCTTGTCAAAACCATTCCCTAATGTAGCCGGCCGGGCGAGTAAATAACTTCGTTTATGACATCCTGGTGCAAAATTCAAAAAAATTCTATTGAGGCCTTGTGAAAAGACCTGTGGACTAAATGACAATCTGTTTCACGAGTCCGGCTGGCTCATGAAAAAAAAGGTTATGGCCGAACCCTGGTTTAAAACTCCTTCTTTTAATTAAAGTACTTCGCCCAGTATTTTGCCCAAGTACTTTTGGAAGCTGTCAAAACCTTACAGCAGGAGGGTTTGATGTGACATAGTTTTTTTTTCAGCTGTGGGGTAGTGAAGGAAAGGAAGGTCTTGGGAGGGCGACCAGTAGGGGATCAATGCACAGGGTTGGCTGTTGGTGGAAGACCCATCGGATTAAACATTTGATAAAAACTCCTACCTTTTTGGCAATTTCCGGACTTCCAAAAAGAACAAAGCCAAACCCTCTGGACCTGACATTTTGCTCATTTGTGTCTCTCAGATTTCCCATTTGTTCTTGTGTGTATTTCACGTTGACGTCCACCACTTCGCCGAACTGAGAGAAGTAAGCATGTAAACTCTCTGCAAGAAATATCAGACGCAATACCAAGTTTCACATACAATACCTCTAATCATATTTTATACACCGAGAGATAACTACATACTTATTTTGGTTTTCCAGCCCCCCCCCCCCCCCAGTGTCCAACCAAAATGTTGGGCGAGTTTAATAGGGTTAACCCTAACCCCCTAGGCCCTTGTTGCTTACAACCATCCTCAATCCTCCAAAATCCTCCAAAATTTTCCAAAATTTTGCAACTCCGCCTAAATTTTTCAAAATTGTCAGACAGTCCTGCCTCAAAATGCATTCATCCTCAATCCTCCAAAATCCTCCTCATCCCAAAACTTTGCACTCGTGTTTAAATGAAGGATAACCAACGCCAAATCCTTCAAAATCATCAGACAGTCCTGCCTCAAAATGCATTCATCCTCAATCCTCCAAAATCCTCTTGTGCTTCAATCACCATTCATCCTCAATCCTCCAAAATCCTCATGTGCTTCAATCACCATTCATCCTCAATCCTCCAGAATCCTCATTTGATTCAATCACCATTCATCCTCAATCCTCTAGAATCCTCCAAAACCGCCAGGAGGATTTTGGAGGAGTGAGGTGGGTTAGGGTTAAGGGATTTAAGTTCACTGATCATGGACAGAAAAGTCCATTCTTTCACATAGTTCTCATTAACTTGAGGGCCTCCATTGAAAGCAAAGCCTTACACTGATCGGAGTTTACCATCATTAAAGATGACGTAAAAAAAAAAGTCTCTTAGTCTTAGTACTCTTACCATTTGTGGTGCAGCTGTTTAGACCCCCAACAAATATTTTCCTGCAAGAACAAAAACAAAAGATGGTAATACTATTTAATTATAGGCTTACACCTCACTCTACTTCAGGTTTTTAGAATTGCCCACAGATACAAGTCCTTCAATGAGCATTGCCAGTCAGGATGCTTAATACAGGCATGCAACTGGGAATTTAGAAAAACGAGGAGACTCCAAACCCCACAAGACTTTGTACAGTATTTTCCAATTTGTAATGACATTCATGAGAAGTAAAAAACGAGGAAATCAGCGGATCCCAGGAAAAGTTGCATGCCTGTTGATACATGCCTCAAGAAAAAATAGGCCTACAAAAAGTAAACTGAACATTAGGTTATTTAATTAGACCACATATACGTCTACGTACGCAAGCATTGAACAACGTTGTCATGGCTGTCAAAAACAATGAATACATTGACATTGTAAATGACTAAATGGGCACGATTGCAGAATTACCCGCCACTGGACTTTGACTTAGACTTTTATTCCGATCATCCCCATTCATTTTACGTTGTATGTACTGATTCAACCCCTTGGGCGATGGTTTTTAAAAAGAGAAAATAGCGCCCTCTGCTAACCGTCCCTGACTCAATCCCACTCCGTATATATCCACGTATCTGTTGAATTTTAGAGGGTGATCTTTGAGTGGCGGGTATTCTGTAATTTTGCTGCAGCCGAACTGCACTGACCAGGCCTGGTTGTGTAAACATGGTAAATCCACTGCTAGTCTGCTAGTTTAGTGTTGCTTGGGTAATTTTTTTGACATTGGACACAATAATATGGGAAGGGAAAACACATTGACATTCTTCACAAGTTCACGTTCTTGCCTTTTTCCTGAATTTAAAAACACTTTTCGTACTTATTCGTGGAAAAAAGTGGTGAAAACTGAAATAGGCCTACTGAAAAATCTCCTTTTTTGATGTAACAATACATGCACAGCATAATAAATTCGCACACATCCTTCCAAGTAATAACCCGACCACATTGTCACACATTTCCCCTAGCATTAATGGTAATGAAACCGAGTTGAGCGTCCCTGCATGCACGCGCCGCCGTTGTACCCGCGTATTGTTGTGCTTGTTGTGCGCCATGTGGCCCATTCGAATGATAAACCCAACCACCTACACTAGACCCACTTGTTCCCCCCAATTCACAAAACTTACGCAGGATCATCTTTGCCCTTCGATGCGAATATGCTTTCCCCTGGTTTAGCAGATGTCGTTGTCTCATTATCTGTGGTTCCTGGAGGCGGAATGGCAGCTTGTCCACCGTTTTGCTCACTGGTTTGTTCTTCAGTCACGGGGTCCGCCATGATGTTCGGAAAATAACTAAGCTTGGTACCCAGCGCCTCGCGTGCATGAAGCCTGTACTATAGAATGGGAAGAACCGGGTACCAATGAGGTACATACAATGCATGCGCCACCACGACGCGACGACTTATTCGATCACGCACTTTGTGTTTTCAAACTTCGGTTTCTTTACCAGCTGAGGCTTTCGTAAATTTGCAGGCTCCTGACTCAGTGTGGGGGACTCAGTCTCAATACAGGTTCATTTTCTGAATCAAGACCATTTTTTCCCCTAGTATGAGTGAAAAGTTTAGAATATTTGCATATTATTAGAAAAAATAAGGCTTCAAAATTATTCTAAAATCAGGGACGAAGCCGAAACGTGAACGAACATTTAGAAAACCGTTACCCAAACATACTATAGTATGGTGGCCTTGAAAGGCCATGCATAATACACATTGATGACAATTTCTTTTTTTAAGGGAAATTTTAGCTGTTCTTGTCGGAAACATATTGTCCGCAAAATATCACGTAATTCCCTGTCGGCAAATAAACAAAGCATGCTTCCTCTTTTTTATTCTTTTTGTGTGTGTGTGTGTTAATGCAACCTACACATAACAGAATAAGTGTCGGTTCTCTCAATGTTTGTCATCCTGGTAGCATCAGCAAATCCGCGTAGTTGAAAATCATTTTACTAAATCACAAAAATAAACCATTTGATGTTGGCCCTTAAACACTGTCCAACAAGTTCATAAATTAAAGATGATGAATTGAAGGATCCCGTTGTATGCCACTACTCGTGGCTTTATCGTCATCAACCGTCAAACGCCGGATGCGGATGACGATGAAAATATACTTGGAGATCAACGATGCGGGGAATGCCAGGCCGTCTCCACGGCAACGAGATGCTGCCACTGACGCGCACGAGGATGCCCTGGTGTTTCCATGATGATGATCACACAGCGATGTCGGTTCGGAGGATCATTGTTGCTGATACCAATGTTATTTCTACTATGCATCCAGCCAGTTGGCACCTGTTGTGTTGGCATGGTAACCATTTTCGTTCAAGAAGGGAAGTCAGCATGTACTGGTGCCCTTGTTTGTTTTTGTGCAAGATAAACAAATAAATTTGGATGACCTCAACATGTCAATAACATTTACATTTAGTTCAGTTCTCTAGATTTTACCTTAAATTTACAAAAATGATGATGAATTTAAAAGACAGACAACAAAGATGAACATATAGCTCACAAAAGAGAGGAACAAACCAACAAACAGACATAAAAATCTGCTGTCTAGGGTTCTTGAAAGTGACCGATTGGCCTTCTTTGAAATACAATGTAAAGAACTGCATGTGTTATTCACTGCATTACACAAAAGAGTCCTTTCTCTATGACCACAGTAAGTAAAGCACCGCAGTGGCGTACGTAGCACGGTCATTTTTATTGGGGGGTGGGGGGGGGGGGGGGGGTGGGGTGGGGGTTAACCTTTTTATGAAAAGGGCACTTGTACATCCGTGCTGAAATGTAGACACGTTTTTTTCCCCCCGTTGGCCTCCACTTTGGAGGGGGGGGGGGGCTGGTACCATCTGTCGATAGGGGCGCTGTTCAAAACCAACGATTATGCACACAAACGGACAATATATGGTGCTTTTAACGGCGATACATGCGCGAAATTAACAAAACAGGCACCCGCAACGGCTGATGGAACCAAAAAGGCCACCACTTACTTTTAAAAAGGGCACTTGTTTCGGAAAAAAGGGCTGCGCTGGTGAAAAAAAGGGCATTGAATAAAAAAGGGCAGTCTGTACAAAATATTGTACAGCTGGCTACACCTATGCACCGAATGCATTGTTAAGTAAATCACATATTAATGTTTTACTATATCACGTTTTATGAGTAGACAGATGCATCGATCCCATGGATGTCGTTTCCAAGGTTACCAGCAGCCGCGGGGAACCAGTACTATATTAATGATTAAAAGGCACCGCTGTGAAATCGCTCAAGCTGTTTTCATCGTGCATGCCTGTGCGCCAGACACATGGGTTAACCATTAACCCACTCCGCACTTTGACCGTTATATTTGCAGTAAACCAACCCACAAGGGGCTTAGAAATATGGATTACAGCCATTTGTGTCATCAAACACGACATGTAAATTTATGACAACTGGAGATAGCGGGGATATACGGTGTTGCGTATCACGAGATGTGCATGGCGATATCGACAGGTCGACCCCAGAATCCGGTTCACTTGGAAACGCTGCGCCCGTGTCTCACTGTTCCTGCCCGATATCACTGTCGTGGTGTTGGCAATACTACACTCACTTGTTTTTTTAGGGCAAAGCTCGACTTCGGGGTAAATTTCCCGACAGGAATATCCCCCGTTGAACATCAGAACAACTCGATCAGGTGAGGATGTTTTTCTTGTCGAATTTAACTACTGTAGGCCTATACTAAAGTCATGTTTATGTCGTGGTGAAACATTTTGACTCAATGTACAGTCAAACACCTACAACGTCCTTGTGACTTTACGAATTATATTGTTATAACAGGTACCTTTCATTAACAGTGTTGAAAAACAAAGGAAACAAAGAAAAACAAAGACTCGGGACCACAATTTTACTTGTTATAAGCAGGACCTTGTATTAACAGTGCTCTTCTCAGGGTTTGACTGTATTATGCTGTTTTGTGTAAGGCTTATGGCAACATATTTGGTATTTTATTGTTTTCATTTAATTTTCTACAAATTATGTTTAAACGATATATTAATGGCTATAATCTATGGAGATTTGGTGGTGGTGTTTGTTTTTTTGCGCGGAATGGCCAAAGCAAGGCTTCACGTACAAAACAATGACTCATTCGCGCCGTTATGTTAAAGTCGATCCTTTCAAAACAGCGGAGGTTTTCGGTCTCTCTTTCAATCGACCGTGCAGAGGCCATGGCCTACACTATGTTAACATGATGGAGATGTCAGCTTGTAACTTATGCGGGATCGCAGGTTCGAGTCCACCCATGTCGATGTAAGATGATCATTGCCTGCACAAACGGCACGTGACGTTTTTAGAATGCCACAAATTGCAGAAATTCAATTGATGTTAATTTTAAGGCATAAAGGATCATTTGCATATCCCAAAAGTAACCCACCGAATTATTGTCAAAAGCTTATTGGATTAAATATATCACGGTACTGGCACTAAACACCTCGTGAAACTATTTCGTCTCGCTTGATGTCATTTATAGAAGAAATCAAGAAATGTATACTCAGTGATTCCAAGGATCAATTGACTGATTTTTGGAAATAAAAAGTGTGCAATTGACGAATGGTGTTTCGTGATCAAAGGTTATGCATGGTTTTTCACTGTTTTCTCCAAATGTGTACTTTCCACTGAGCTGATACTTTAACAGGTCAGGTTCTGAACCGTTGAGTCATCTTTGGATTTTGAGAGGTGTTATTAATGGAAACGAACAAAAATGCACGAAAAGCAAATGATATCCTATAAGTCTTTAATGAAATGAAAGCAAGTGACAGAATACTTTAAAATCACTCTTGTTTGGGAAGGTGGTGAGGCATATCACAGTAAATATTTGTAAGCAATAATTACCATATTTTGTTTTCATTTGTTTCAAAGCCTTTGTAGGAATGCATGACTCTTTATTTACCAACTAACACACGTATCATAATTGTACCAACGAAGATGGAGTTTATACCTTTAAAATAGTTATAGGTGTGAACGACACAAAGTTCAAACTTCCGAGAAACCTAATGCTGATCGGGAAGTGAATCACGGAAGGAACATAGTGAGCGCATGATAATAAATGCCATGCTTTTGTTTATCGGAATAACAAGAATTAAATGACAGATTTAGGTTTGGGGACGGTGTTTGAAATAACCTGTTTATCGACCAGTAATCACTGAAGCCTGTGTTTTATACAAAGATTTCGTGCACTCTCAAGCTTAGATTTGTGAAGAAAAAAATTGTTAAACACAGAAAAAAAATTCAGAATATTTCGACTTAAACCGAGCACATAATTGTCACAATCGTAAATGTGTGCTTCTGAACGCTATGGGAAAACAATTGAAAAGAATGACGCACATGCATTGACCTTTACCACTCCTTTCAAAATTGAAACCAGTATCGTTGTTAATATCAAAACTGAAAAGTATATAGCATAAGCTTGAAAGTGCAGTTCGAAACTTTAACTTCTGTTTACGTTTCTCTCTAGTTATTTTAATTTAAAGGGACTTTAGCTTTCAGAACCATGAATTTATCCACATTAGAAGAGAGAGAGAGAGAATTGTTTTTTTCATTTTATAAAATTTGAAGGTTTGTGAGTTTTCTAGGTTTCTGTCGGAACCTCACAAACTCACAAAAGAGATTTGTTACAACGGTACTGCCATAAACTATATCTTATGAAAAATGTTTATTTCTTGCAATTCACGCCGTATCATTCAATGAGAAGCTAAGAAACAAAAAAATAATTCAATTTTGTTATCATTTTACATAGGCTTTTACAAGTGACTGAGTTGAATAACTGTTAATAGCCGGTGCATGACGTGCACAGCTCTGTCATGTAAAGGGCGTGTATAACCCAAAGTCCATTTTCGTCGTCGAAATTGTTCACGCATTACGAAGTCAAATTGTAGTATTTGCACACACGAATGCCGTGTGCTCTTGAATTTGTGCATAAAGTAGTATATAGGCTTCAGGTTATGGCGTGTTAGCTGTCAGTGGTGTGTCAACAAGATTAAACAAACACTTTATGACAAGGAAAGGGTGTGAGGATAAAAAATAAAGTTTGTTCCTCGTTCGCTCAGAATCACTGATGATTATTATTTAGTTTTGTGAATGAATGGAGAATTACAGGCTAGGCCTAAAGAAACCCGTGGAGAGAATTGAAGAAAATTGAGAATGTTACTTTTATTGGAGGAAAACCACAGATATTCTATAGGGAAGAGAATCAGAGATCGATCAAAAAGACAGGTTTCAAGACATCAAGTGTGGATAAAGTGCTGTACCTCCGATTTCAAACTTCTGTAGCAAAACAGGTCACCACGACGATGGGACGTGCTACTAAGACAGAACCTTTTCCAGGGGAATTAGAGCGCCCACCCCCGTACAACATCAACCAAGAGATGAGGTACCCAGAGATGAGAGACCAAGGCTACTACATGCAGCAGTCGGGTCCTAGCGCTCCCCAGCAACCCCAACAGCCTTATCGCAGACCACAACAGCCACCGGTAGGTATGGGTTTTGTGGATAATTACGCCCTCAACGGTGATAAAAGTGAGTTTGAGGACACTTGAGCCCCAAACTCCGGTGTGTTCCTTGATCCTATATGCGAAAACGCAACACTGTTAATACTACACACACCGTGCCATACTTAAGTGATCCAACTATCAACAAGACTAGGTTGCTAAATACGCATAATACCTCAAATTATAAAGCTTATTCGCTTACTACATGCGTTATAGCAAAAATATTACACAACAATGTATTGAATACTCCATACCATACAGAGCAATAATTGATATCACATAAACTATTTCTCATCAAACAGCCGCAGGCACAGCCACAGTACGAACAAAATCGCCAACCGCAACGGCAGCAGCAGCAGCAACGCCCAAAGCAACAACAACCACCAAAGCAACAACAACCAAAGCAGCAACAACAACCAAAATCACGCCAGCAGCAGCAGAGAGGACAGCAGCAGGCCAAGAAGCAGTCGTTCCGGCGGTTCCGGCGCGCTCCGCCGGGCGTAGAGGTCAGTCCCTGCATCAAGTACACCGTCTTCTTCCTTAACTTGCTCTTCTGGTTGCTGGGCGTGTTCCTGCTTGGGTTCGGCATCTGGGGCGTGGTCTCCAAGGCGCTGGCCAGCGTGGAAGCCATCGCGGAGGTAGGTCTGAGTTTTGCTTTGATCGATTTTTTCTCCCCCCCCTCCCTCCAGATTCGGTTAATAAGAGGTGTATTGTGCGAAGAAGTAAATTGCTGGTTAATAATTATTCGCATCTAAAAGAGTGCCAATGCCTCGTGGTCTGTAGCGCAGGACTCAAGATCTGCTGTAATTTTGCTGATTGGGTTCATGTGCGGCCAATCCGCCCCTAGGTCGTTCGTCAAATTTCGGCATTTGATGCAGCTCCAGTTTTACTATTGTAAGATCCGTCCGGATCGTGTTGTTTTCTGTCACAGCCGGGTGTCGAACCATTACTTCCAAGCCAATGTTTTGGACTCTTCCTACAAATACACTACAAAGTGGTTCCATGGCCAGAGAGGTAGCCAGAGCAAGAAAAGGAGCCGATCCAGTGACGAATCCCAAGTTTGAGAAATGGCCCTACAGGCTAAAGCCACACTCTTTCATGCTCTTGTCCTCTCACAGGTAGCCGGCATCGGTTTTGATCCTATGTACGGCTTCATCATCGTCGGCGCCGTCATCTTCTTGCTGGCGACCAGCGGCTGTATCGGCGCCCTTCGTGAAAACACGTGCATGCTCAAGTTTTTCGCGTACTCGCTGATCCTCATCTTGCTGGCTGAGATTACTATCGGGGTGCTGGCTTACTTCTATCAAGACAAAGTCTTTGGTATTCTGGAAGACTGGATCGATGGCTCCATTAAAAATTACTACGGTGAGTTAATGGTATCAGCACATGTTTTTGTTTCATTTTTGTTAGCTGCGGGATAGCAGCTTAACAAATCTATTTGTTAAATCATTAACACTCTCCGTTAGTTAGTTAGTTAGTAACAAACGTTGACATTGTCTATTGCTCCTATTTTTTGATCGATTTCAACCAAACTTTGTCAAAAGTATCAGTAGCCCAGCCCCAGCATGTCACATGACCAAACTGTGGTCAAAGGTCATCATGGGGTCACTGGGGTCAAAAATCTGATTTAATTTTTACTCAAAACACTACTCCTTCCAGAAATTACATGGCACAATCACGTGACTCATGCATGAACACGAATTCGATGGCCTGCAGCTTCCGAGACATTTCCGATCGAGGTTGTTATTAAATCTGTCATGAAGCCTTACTTTTCACTTCTTTTTTCATTCCACTACAACACACTCACTGAATCATGATCGTAATACGTTTTAAAAGACAGATTAAACAAAAGTATGATCTGCCCTTCCGTGAAGAAATGTTGTTCCTGACATGCATTGTCTGTCAAGGCGGACAAATGATGAATCTTTCAGAACCAACTTTTCTCCCTCATTCATATGGCAATATGCCTACTGGTCGATTTCATTGTTAAAAACTCTTTGGTTTTAGCTCAGTGGATGCAATTTTGGTTTTTACATTTGCCAGAAACTATAATTGAAACACGACTGTAAAACTAATGGAAATACAACTGACCTTTTGGTCTCAAATCTTGTCTGATTGTTTTGCAGATGATCCCGACACGCAGTTTATAATGGACGGACTGCAGGAGTCGCTACAGTGTTGTGGATCGACAGGACCTGACGATTGGGAGAAAAACATGTAAGAATATTTAAGTTTTGAAGACACTGCCCTTTAGTAATGCTCCTTCATTTTGTTTTTGTAAGTAAGTGGCTTATTTGCTAGTGTGTTTTTCTTTGCTTGTTTGCCTGTCTGCTCATTTGTGAGGCCCGTGTGTCATATGTCCTCCGATGTCTGTCCTGTACAGTTATTTGCTTGTGGTCAGAATACCTTAAATGTTTCGAATTGCGTTAACAAAAGGAGTAAAACTCCCCGACTCGTTGATCAAAAGCGATACAGTTCTACTGGGAGATGTCGACTTTTGCCCATTATTCAATGTGTTGCAAAGATGGCGTCTATAGCCTAAGTCACTGAGGCTTATTTGAAGCAATGTAGAAACCTTATTCTCTTCTTAAACTTAATGAATGTAAAAACGTAAGTTTTGAATTTTACTATCACTATATACTTACATGTAAGCGAAGGCCTACTTCGACAACCTTAGATTCACGTCTGTTAGCTTGTGTCCTCCAAAATAACGCCATATTTCGAGGTATGACCATTGATCTCCATATGGAGATCAATGGGTATGACTGACACAATACGAGGGCGCTATTTGGTTTGGGTAAAGTCGCGCCCTCCTGTGTCGGCCATAACTCCAAATAAATGCTAATTAAAGCGCCCTCATTCAATCAAAACATGGCCTATTACTTTATGTTTCAGATACTTTGCCTGCGACTCGCCGGCCCGTTCCAAGTGCAGCGTGCCTTACTCCTGCTGCCAGCCGGATCCTGCCGCGGACGTCGCCAACTACCAGTGCGGCTTCGGTGCTCTAGAGGAACGGAACCCGGGCGATCCGCGACCGGACATCTACTACACCGGCTGCGTGGAAGGAATGAAGAACTGGTTCGTCAATAACGCCATCGTGCTGGGCGTGGCTGGCGGGGTGCTGATTATCCTGGAGTGTCTGTCCATTTGCCTGGCCAAGTCGCTGGTCAACGACATCGAGTGTGTGAAGTCCTACTGGTAGTCCGGAGCGGATAACCAACTTTTGGATTGTTTTCCCACCAAATTCCAGTCACTATGGCGCAAACACTGCAAAAAACTGCTGGGTTGATTCAACTGTTTCTTAGACAAATTCACTGTTCAATGCAAATCAACGAGACATTGTTTCCACGCTTTTAATGTTTGAAAATAAATCCAAAAAATGAAGTTTGCCTACTACAGACGATAAGCACAAAATACAAAAGGTAAATTTTACAGAGTATGCAAATATTGGAAGCATGGAGGCATTGACATTGCAACAGTGTCAAAATTAGCACAAGTTTCTAATTTGTCAAACCGCGCCGTTTGCCGAATTTGTATAATCCATAATTTTTAATGTGACAACCACGGAGTCGTGATGACGCCTGGGGCGCTTTGGGTCCAGGACTAGCATGGTTGGGGCCACTTTGCACAGACATGGATCAACTGCGACAATAGAGGGCACTGTTCAAAAAAAAAACCACCCAAAAACCCAATAGGTTCGCAGTTACTGCATAAAGTCAAGTATTAGCCTATTTGATTTATGGCCGACACAATATGAGGGCGCTATTACTTGGTTTGAGTAAATACAAAAAGAATTTACCCAAATCAAACAGCGCCCTCATATTACGTGAGCCATACCTCGAATAGCCTTAAACGGGACACCGCAGATTTGACCGAAGGACTGTGACCGACTAGCCTATAGGCCTTTCTTTTGTTTGTAAACATTGGCGCCATTTTGTATGGGCTGCCATAAGCGCATAAATAGAAGCCGTGGTTGGCAACATATTTTTCAAAAAAAAAGTCCTCATAACGCCGTCAACACATAGTAAAAAGGCATGTGTAGGAGTTATTTTGTAGCTTTGTTGAAAATGTTGTATTTTCTAGTATCAAATAATATTTTGGTGATCTGTCATGACTCTTTTTCATTTTTGCAGTGTTGGACCTTCCATAGTTTTGCAGGCCGTGGTTGGCAAAAATGCCTACTAAGCGCAGAAAGGTCTATTGTGGCCTACGATTTACAATTGTAATGAGTCCTATTGCGAACACTATCATTATAATGATCTGCTTTTCATAATTATAGGCATATTTCCGTCATAAAAGATAATCAGTTTTGACACAAGTCTGTAACCTCCAAAATACAAGGCATTATGTAAATGTACCAAAATGCCGGCACTACTCCAGGAATTTTATTTTTACAACTTGTCTGACAGAAACATCAATTTCAATAAAATTAATCATGTTATTTCCCGGATAGCAAAATGTACATAAAATAGAAGCAATCACTAAAAATGATTAAGTAATATGGTGCTAAATGATTGTAAGTTATAACTTCTTCTTTTTAAATTATGCCATTATTTTCTGATCAATTTTAATTGCTACCGCAAATTCTTTCGTGATCTTGGAAAGATTTATATGTATAAAGAACATATATTTTTTATTTTAATTTAGCTGCAGGGCAGCAATGAACATCTTATGTTAGTTAACAGATGACTCTCCACAGTAATGTAAACACACGTAAATCCATTATTGTGTAGATTTTGGCAAAAATAATTCCATCTGGTCATATTTACAAATAAATCTTTCGTGAAAATAAATCTTCGTGTACACTGAATTTCAATAATAAATATACATAAATTCTATTTACATACATATTTCAATCTTATGGCGTTTGTTCGGCTATTAAATCTTCCTTTAAAACATGTGCAAAAAATATATGCCTTTCTAAATTGCATAAACACGTAATCTGGAAATGGTTTGCATTTACGCTAATTATTGGGATTGATTTGGTAAAAAATACCATTCGCCTCGCTTTGAAAAAAATGCATTTTGGCCAAAAATGATACGATATTTTATCCAGAAGTTAAAATTATTAATCAGAACAAGATTATAGTATTCACATTAATATTTATCGCTTAAAATAAAATTGCAGAGCTGGTCGCGATTTTTAATGTCGTGTAAGGAGCGATACTTGTCTCTAAGCAACTAAAAAAAAGGATTACACTTCGGATTCTATACCCTGATCATCCAAATCTGTCATGTGAAGTGAATCTTCTTCTTGTTTCTCTGGATCCCAGAGTCCGTCGGTCGATCGTTCGGATCCAGGCCGGGATGGTGTCACTTTGTGTGACGAGTACAATTTACTTAGGGACACCAATCCGATTGCAACAGCCGTCACCAGCCCGATGCTGCCTAGGACACTGGCGATGATGATTGCATCACGGCTGAGAATCGGTTCCTCTGTACCGGTTACTGGTGACGGTAACCTGCTCTGCAGTGTCGATATCGCGCCCGATGTCGATGCCCCGGCTGGTGTTGACATCCCGCTCGGTGCCGATATCATGCTTGGTGTGGATACCCCGTTCGGAGTTGACACCCCGCTAAGTGTCGACATCAAGCTCAGCGTCGATGCCTTGCTCGGTGTCGTTACCCCACTTGGTAAAGATACCATGCTTTGTGTCGACCTAACGCTCGATATCGACATCGAGCTCGGTGTCGATTCTAGAACCGTGGTATCGTATGATTGAGTCGTCCCATTTGTAGATGCCGTGGAATCGATTCCAGTCGGTGTGGTTGTCGGTGGAGCGAGTGTGGTAGGTCCTGGGATGAATCTGCGCACGGCGACCAGCGCGATGTTGGACCGCGGAGATGCCAGACCGGCCTCGTCCCGAACCACCACGGCAAAGGCTAAGGGCGACACGTCGCCGACAACGGGCACGATGACGGTAAATTCCTCAGTCGCTCCGGACGATTGAGGATCGGTTAGGTTTCCGCTGAGAATGTCTGACTGTCGAACGGTGACGGCGTCAGATCCCGTCAGAATCGAGTCCACGTCAACTCCTCTTGTCACTTCGTACGACGCAGCTGCAGACAGACGAGTGAAGTTTGTAATAAGTTACAGGATCGGTAGATGGAAACAGCTTGTTTTTTTTTCAAGGTGTTTGCCAAAAACTGGCTTCGGCGCGCGTCTTCATGCGCGTCTTCTCGGTCACACGCGCATGCTCAATGCTTTTTATTCTATATCTATGGCTCAATGCTGTCAAATGAACGCGCGTGTCAAATTATACAAGTACGCACTGGACCTGAGCCATTTTTGCGGGGGGGGGGGTGGGTTCGTTTAGAAATTAGTATGGGACAAATTAAAAAGCGTGAAGCTTGATTAGTACCCATCTGGTAAAAAAAAAACAAGCCTACCTTCTCCGTTATCGAAGTCGTCCCCAGTGGCGGTCCAGGCAAGAATGACCGTCCTATCTGGAAATGACGAATCGACCACCCGTAAATCCGTCACTTTGGCGGGGGGAAACACGTCCGTGCCGGGCACGTCAAAGACCCTGCTGGAGCCCGCAGAGACTACGCGCTGAAAGATCGGCGCTGGATTTTAAACATAAATAACACAAAAAAAAAACTGATTAAAACCGAAATGAATTTAAAGAATGTAGACTTTGTTAAAATATATTTGAATTTGATGGTTTCATTAAAAATAATTCATATTGAATTGTTTTAGTATCTTTGCATGATATATAGTTAGGCCTAGCGCTACGTAGTTTGTTCACATTATTTTGACGATTTTATGTTTATGACTAAAATGGGACTGCATACCTATAAACTCTGCCCTGTTATGTCGTTCCTCATTACACATCTACCTATCTAAATATAATATGCAAGGAACTTACCTTGTGAATTCAAATTCCTGCCAGCAACTCCAAAAGAGAATGGAAATCCGGCGACTGTTGCATGTCCACTATTCTCGACGCGAACCTCCACGCTGTATAAACCGTCCACAGTATACTTCGTGAAATAGCCGGAGTAAATACCATCGTTGCTGATTATATCAGCCCCTGCAGAATAATCGATGTTGGTACAGAATTAAACAACTTTTCATGTATTTAGACCGAAAGAATAGTGATAAATTAACAGATGTGATTGAAAATTGGGAAATTATTTACTATGGACTCTGAGGAGAAATCGTAGTTTGTCAAACAATCCTCCCATCTCAGAAACGATGCATTGGTGTCTGATGCTGAAAAGCCACATTCGAACCCCGATATACTTTACCTGTTCCGGTATCGACTAATTGAATCTCGACAGGATCCATCTGGCCTGGTATCGACACCGAGGCCATGACAGTAGCATTGACCACCACCTGGCTGTACCCCTGACGCACTTCGGCGAAGATTGCTAACGGCACCTCGGTCTCTGATATGTTCTTAGTGAGCTCGCTGATTGATGACGACACGGAAATGGGCGGCACGTCATCATCTCTGGGGTATGACGTCAGCGAAACCTGGACGCTGGTTGGTAGAGATGGATCGGTGTTTTGAATGTCTATCGTCCACGGACCTTCCTATAGACAAATTAAATCATTAGAAAAAAAATTATAGCATTATCTTTGACCTTCTACGATCAATAATACTAAAGGAACTTTATCGGTTATATCCGATGTGATATGAAATTGCCTTAAGCGAGATATGAACCTAAGACCACCACGGTCTACAAACTGGGCATTTCAGCCCTATCTTCCGACAGTTTCATACATAAAATCGGAAATGTTGTTGTCGGAAAACCTGGATATAGAAGGTTTCTTTAACTGGGCGGATACAACTTAACTTACCTTAGCTTTTCCTGTCACGCTATAAACAACGAATCCGTAAGTAGTATTGATCATGTAGCCTGGGTACGAGGATGTCAATAAAGCTCCATCCGGGTCACTTAGCGTAATATTCGGTGTGTCTGAAAAGACAAAGAAAGTTATAAAATAATATCGTTAAGTTTTTTTTAATGGCACTAACAGGATACCGTACAATGTTTTAACATGTCACAGAGAGGCTACTGGACAAGTCGTATAGTCTCAGCATTATAATAAAAAAAGAGCCGGTGTCATATGAAAATCAGACTCCTATGAAAATCGGTCTCCTATACCCTTTGATTGGTTAAACCCTCTCACATGACCGGTCACTCAACTAATTACCTTCGCTTAGGCACGCGCAATACTGCATGAGTCCGTATTTCACAGAAACCTAAATTCACGCTACACCGGTACAGGCTATGAGTTTGGAAATGTGAATACATCATTGCAACAGTGATAGCAAAAGTAAGAGAACGTCCATTAAAAGAAATCAACACCTTATAAAATGTCTACATTTTTACCTGTTTGTACCCAGGTGATGGTGAACTTTGTTTTCTTTCTGATGGTGGCGTCGATGTAAGTGACAGCGCTTCGCGACTCTCCCACCGGAACAGTGACAGACGCGCTCCAAATCTAAAAATTTGAAAAACCGAACCTCATTGTCAATTATCAAGAATATTCACAAGTGATCACTGTGCAATATAAATAACAAACCTCGATGATTAACCCAAAGTCTCTAATCGGCTAGCATAGCCTCGCTTTGGCAATCCCTAGCAAAGAAAGGAAAGTCATCCTGCGACACTTACTTGGAGCTGTTTGTCGGAGTTGCTGACGTCACTGTTATCCACGGATCTCGTTAACGCTTCGTTCAGTGAGTTTCCTGATCCTGAGTCATTTGGGGCATAATAAAATCGCCCGCCTGAAAAAAAAAAAAAAAAAAAAACTTTGTAGTGCACAATGTCTAGTTCTATGCCATTGGTTCAAAATTTTACCGCATCGGGTAAGTCTTTCCATGCACTTGGACTCAAGCCTACAATCCCGCCAAAACTCGCTCAGCCCCCAACCACTGATTAATGTTGTCTCTCATTGCGCAGTCTGTACTCAAGCGCGAGATGACAACTTTGACCGGGAGGAGCAGGGGACTGCATGGGGGACAATCCCGGCCAAATGGTCCCGGTCCCCGCTCCCCCGGTCACTGTTGTCATCTCGCGCTTAAGCACAGACCGAGCAATGAGAGACACCATCGGCTGGGGGCCATGAGTTGCAGGGGCCCAGCGAGTTTTGGCTTGTAGGTTGTTGTAGTTTCCATATTCAGATAAAAAATGCAGAAAGCAACGCAAATAGGACCCAAACTGCAACGCAGACATAATAGAAACATTTCATCCGCAAATAAATGTCACCGACAACTCAGACAGACGCAAACTATCTCGCAGTTGCCCAAAGTTCCGCGCACTAGGCTTTACACAGACGTAGAAGGCCGAATTAAGCCCATTCATTAGCGTTACAGGGTAACCCTATACGACAGCACTGCCCAGCTCACGGGGAGTTATTCAGTCAGTCAGTCAGTCAGTGTGATAAAGGTTACTGTGTTGGCCCTCTCAGACCGCCATAACACTACCTGTTAGTTGAGACACCTCTGCGAGTTGCGGGTCCGCGCTCGACGTCACTGCCACTGTATCCACGATAATTTTGGACTTTATCATCATTTCCTTGATATGTTCGATATATAAAAATTGGTTCTCCTTGAATCCATTGACTAGAAGGATGCGGTCATTAGCCGTGGCACTGTCGCCCAACTGTAAAAACTGCAAAATGAAAAACGAAAAAAAGTTTGCAAAATGGAAAACATCCCTGCTAATAGCTTAGTGATTAGTCATTCAGAAAAAGTAACAATCACAACATGTGGAAGATTATTTTACAAGCAAAAACGAACGAAAGCCCAAGGTTAAAAATTGAAGAACAATGCCGCATTTTGTTATTAGTACATATTTTGCAAAGTAGAGCAATATAGTTCCCTCAAATAATGCCTTGCTTTTTTACAACTTATAATAATATAATTATGCATTGTATCCTTACCTCAATTGCTCTAGATAGGCCGGTACCTATAGACGTTTGACCAGTTGTTGATGTTGGTAGAGCATTTAAAAGAGTTTGGCGGTCATTGTCACTCTGCACTTGTACCATGACAATCTTATTGATAGGCGTTGCTTGGCCGTTGTACCATGTCAGACCCAGCCACACGCCCGATGGTACTGTCCAGATGAAGGCTGCAGCGGCGTTTATCATTCGCTGGTGTGTCTCGCCCTGCGTGCAAAACAAAGACAAGGATTGTTTTGTAGTTCACAAAAATTAGAAACCAAACTGTTTTGACCTGCATTGAAGCTGTGCAATTATTCATGTCACTGTTTAGATCACACCCAAGGAGCCGTAGGCTTAAGTTCATTGTTGCATAACATTACATAACAATCAAATGTCACGGTTGTTAGTCTTTCAAAAATGAAGTAGAAATAAAGCAAAGATCCTTGCTTGAAGAGTGGTAATATTTTGTTTTCAAATCAAGTTCCAACAGCTCAGCTCAGCCCAGCCGATGGAATGTATACCTCCGTGTACAAACAGGTTTCGCACATGAAATGTTCAAACTACCATAGCTCAGAGACAAAATATGCAATTGCAATGATTTTTTTCGTCACTGATGCTTTAATAAGGGCCAGTACTTTAATAGCTACTTATCAAACAATACATTTTTTTAAAATAGGTGAAAATTGCTGTCAAAGTGGATTTAATATTTTGAACCACCCTGTATGTTCCAACGTGCAGCAGGCTATTAATGTTGTTTTGTGTGCGTGCATGGAATTCACGCTTAACCTACCGCTATATACGAAGATCTTTCTAAGACCAGCATAACCCTCCTCGGCCCACGTCGGACGATTTGAAATGCGGGCTCAAGATCATCAGCCAAAAGCTCTCGTGGCAGGTTGTTACCATCTAGAAAAGAATTCCAGAAATATAAGATGTTTAGGCTCAAGCTAAAAGCCGACAACGTCGGCGCACTTTTTCTATAATCACACACACAAAATTGAATTAAAAATAAGTTGAAATATTGAACTCGCTGGGGGCATTAAAGCGTGTTCCTTCTCATATTTCTCATCTTTGGCGATGATTCCAAGACAACTAATACCTTTAAGGTCGCTGTGTTCTCTCATCACAGCCCAGTTGCTTCGCTGGTCACATAGTCGGTTATGTCGGCTGGGTGCCTCGCGATTGTGGAAGTTCGTAGGATTCCCCGGATCAGAGTCACAGAAGTCCACGATCTTTCAGGTGACGAACAAAAGTAACAAGTGATATAAACATTCGTTGAAGTTTCGCCCTATTAGACTTATTAATGTACAAAAATTAACCCTTACTGAGGCGGCACCATGTGCGCAGGTGGTACGCTCGCTCTCAATGCTCATTATTTTGACCAATAGGGATTTCAAATTACACGCGCGCCACATTCAGCACGCGTCCGCCATGCGCGTGACACGCGTTGTGTGATGCAGCCGCAGTAATGGTGTAAAATAGGCTTTTAACGGCATCATCGTCGATTACGAAAAACGTGCTTACGTTGTTATATCTGCCCCGCCCGTACATGACCGACCCCGTGGCATTCTCCTGCGTCTCGGTAGGGATGAACATACACCCAAACTCGTAACCATCTTCAGTATTCCCATAGCACGGCCGGTAGTCGATCCCATCGGATTCTACCACCATTGGCGTACCAGTTATGTCGTATGAGCACCTGAAAACAAGCACCGACAGAAAAAAGAAAAACGTGAGACGCGGACCTCGTGAGGAATATTTATATAAATTTCTTGTGACTGTTTCTTTGCATGATAGCACATACATTTTGTTAAGAGGTACTTTCTGCGTAACGGCTCTATGGGCATCGGCCCTACTTTACAAGGCCCATTGTTCTTTCTTGACTTTTGCAAAAGGTGCTACTTCTGGGAGAAATATCTTATTTCAGAAAGCAACTGAGATTAAAAAGAAAAGTAGTAAAGTCCCGGTATTCTAAACATCTGTCTATGCACTGCAGGGTACGTGTATTAATGAACATGCATGGAATCGTCTTCATTCGGGTATTACATACAACTATATCTGACAATAAACGTACACATTAATAAATAAACATGCCGAAAATGTGAACAATTAAAGACGCATTCCCTGTGCGATTTTCGAGTTTCACTTCAGAAATAATTAAGCTTTTTTTCAATTGCTATTTACCTAGCACTTTACAAGTTTGAAACATTTAACACAAAAAAATCCGCCAACATTTAGTTTTCGAAATATTTCTTCACAAAATTTGGATTATTGGCTGCCAAATAATAATGTGGCTGTCGCAAGGCGGGTTATTGTTCACAAAATGAAAGCACTTATTTCAGAGGATTGCAGATGCCCAAAATCGGAATAAAGTAGTTTTTTCGTTAAAACAAAACATGCGAATTGAAAAATCGTTGACAGAAAAAAAATCCCATTTTTTAAGAGCATGGGGCAGGCTTTGCATCTTTCAGCCATGATTAAACAAAATTTCATCTAAATATTGCTGACCTGACTCCTTCAAACTGGTTTGTGACACTCGAGTGGTGAAATTGGTTGTCTTCATCGTCCGAGAATTCGTCAAACAAGCCCCAGCGATAGTGGCCCCACTCGTACAACAACACATGACCTGAATCGAAATGGCAGTTTGGTTCATTTTTTCTTCATTTCAATTATCGACTAGTTTGCATTTTACCGATGAACCATGGAAGAAGCAAAATGCCCTGATGAAAAAGATCTAATAAGTTTCAAATGTTGACAAAAGCGTCCGGCTCCTTAATATTGAACATAAATCTTAATCACGTTCAATGAAAAAAAATATATTTTGGAATAAATATCAGATAGAGTGCAGTCAATGTTATGAAAAAGGTGGACATTTTGGCTAAGGTTAAGCAAGAAGTTTAGAAATAAATAGTCTTTTTTTGTCAGTTTTTCAGTCACATGTTTTTTAGAATGTTGTTTTCTTCAGTAATTCATTAGTAAGGAAAACAGTTTTGTAAAGAATTCTTTGGCAGGTTTTACCGAAGTTCAAATCCGCTTACCGAGGGAAGCATATGTGTTAGTTGTGTTCGGATCCAACAGAAAGGCGTCCACGAAGTTAATGCTCAACCCTTCCTGGCCGCAACCTCGGTCTCGCCGGGTGTAAGGAGGAGTCGAGGGGTGTGGTCCGTCGGATGACGTCACGATGACGTCAGGGTCCTCCAGCGTGGCCTCAGAGTGGGATAGGTAGCCGGAGTTGTTCGCAGGCCACGTCTGCGGAACCAGAATGGTGACGTTGCGGAAGAACAGACGGCGGTTTGTGGCCCGGTTGAGATGGATCGATGCTTCCTTGAACATCTCCTTTATGAGCAAAAAGAGAAAAAGACGGTGACATGCATGCTGGACAGAATGTGGTTTGCGCAGAGGAGGGTGGGGTAAATAAAAGAGAGGCTTAATATTTTGCAAAAACCTCGACGAGTTTCGTTTTCGTATAACTTCATATGGCAAATGCACGCCGTGTCAGCGCATGCTCAATCATCGTTGAAACCACCGTGCGCTGGCAGAACATTCGTGGGGCCGGAGAGCTGTGTGCACGGTACACCATCCGACCGCCCTGCGCTGGCAAGACAGGTTGGTTCTTCGGTCACCTGAACAATGAACTTCCCTTTTTTCAAAGAGATTTTCCAATAGCAAAAAACGCAGCCATACTGAAGACAAATCTACTATATACACCATACCACATCTGCCTCAAAGTTTATCAATTTTCCACTATTAATAAATTAGTGCCAGGACCTCTCTAAAAAGAAGAACCAAATATGATTTCACCAGTTTTATAACATCTTTATATTACATTGTCAGCCTGACGAAACGATCATTTCAATGCGTAATGTTATGTACTTTTTGTTGTTGTAAACAGAGGTTCGTGTCGGTAAAGAATTATTCGAACTTACTTGAATTTTATCGATCAATTCGTCACTTTGGGAAACGTCGGGTTGTATAGCCACGACAACGTTGGTATACCCGTTGTCCTCTATGGTAATGGCTGATGACGCGGGTACGTGCAGGTCTAGGACGGCATAACACGCCAACATACGCAGCAACAGGTGTTTACTCGTCATTGCGCCGGAATGGTGTCCAACCCGAACAGAAGACTAAATGTTCTTGTTCTGAACATTCTTTCTAACTGGTGGGACTCCGTCTCGTGCCGGGCTTTAAATCTCCACCGAACCATTCCATGCTTGTCAATGACGCGGTGTTTACGTGCGAGCACAGCCCGACATGTTCATCAAACGAACGACACGACTATAAAATTGACCTTTTGAAAGCAAATAAGTGAACTTCAATTCTTCTTTATTTAGTGTTCTGGTCTGCAGCCCGTTTATGGGTTAATTGACATGGATACTTACAAGGGGTGGAACAAGAGGTAGAAATGATAGTAAACTGCCAAAAAAATGATATCACCTTATAGGTTTTTTTTGCTGTAGCTTTTAATATTAGGCCAGGCTTGTGAGAAAAAAATGTTAGTTGGTTTCGAGTTATTTTGTTCTGTTGTAGTGACGCTGGAAAAAAATACCACTTCTTATCAAGCCGCTATCTTGTGTGGCATAATAGATTTTTTTTTATAATTGTCAAGGCGAATGAAACTAGGAGATGGATAAATATTTAGACAGGGTCTTCATAGCGACTACTTAAGAGGGAGGGTTATTAATCTTTGCATTTCAGTGACAGTTCCACCTTTGTTAAATTGAAGCACCGAAGACATTTTAAAGTGTTGAACAATTTGCTTGAAAACAGCCAAACTTCACTTGGCATTTAAAGTCTTATTCGTTCAGCCGAAAATTTAACCAAAATGACCTCATTTCTTGTCGGGAAATTAGGTTTAGAAATCAACGTGAATAGTCCACAAAGACATCACTAGATTGCTGTGTGTTCCTTTGCGTTAGTTTCCAGCAAGTTCTGAAGAAATATTGAGAAAGCAGTTAGTATTTTGAATATTTTTTTTATGGGCGTAGAAAGCTGGTAACCCCATTCTTAATCGGAAGGAATCACATAATTATCAGGGGGATCTATATTTTACACCTGCTTCTCAAATAGCCCTGACAAGACGAAATTGATCGTTGACAGATTATTTTGTTGTCCATCGTCTATAGATTGACACCAACTTACTACCACTTTGTACCTGATACATGTACATCGAGCTAATACCGGGTGTCATTATACATGTACATCCGTCATAGAATAGCGGTGGACGGTACCCAATCGGCCCTAAACCCGCGCCAAGTTGGGGAAACTTGACGCCAATCCCGGCCATCAATTTTTGAAACCGAGTTGGACAAGCCTCGAAAAATCACACCACTCGGTGACTCCGGGGTTTTCTTTTTTTGCTGGCGTGAAACACAGGTGAGCGACAATTGGCGCATTTTCTGAGAGTTCAGACACTTGACCTTTGAACCCAGAGACGAGTCTTGCGCAGTAGATAACCTGTGACCCCCTGTGCAAACGCACTGACGCTGCACAACAATGTTGTCAATTTTCGGCTTTTAAATTGCAGAGATGATAAAGATAAGTCGGCAAGTGGTTGGCTGCGTGATGACTCCTCACAAAAGAAACACATTGATACTTTTCTTTTAATGGCCAGTTATTTTTGTTGGCATGCAAATTCAATTTGTGTAGGCCTACTGATCAGGATCCAAATTACAGCATCTTCTGTTATTCTGTTGTTCATGTTACAATCTGTAACACAGAGAATTGTTGTGTGTTTTAAAGCTAAACGGGACTCTCCTGGCATTTGCACATAATTATTATGAGTAAAAATGTGAAAAAATGTACTGAACTGTGGCCGTAACCCGAGTGATGGGTGGTGGTGGGGAAAGAAGAAGACCACTGGTTCGCTGCACCATTTGAATGATAGAATAGTGCGTAAACCGTTTGCAACTGTACCCACAATGCATTTCGGACTCCGGAAAGGTTTACTAATTCGTTGTTTTTTGTATAGCAATGCCAAACTACATCATACAGTTATTGAATGGCGTGAAAACAGATGGAAAAAGAGCAAATATACGGCACGTATGTACACCTACGACAAACAAAATTCACCCTACACCAACTCTTTTATTGATATGGCAGGGTGATGCTGCACAGCCCATGCCCGCTCTCCAAGCGCTCGCCGGTTGCTAGACACCAGTGGAGAGGCCCCGTAGAGTGCCATTGTCTGCATGAAGATGGCGGGCACCAGGTATGAAAACATGGCACGGCGGTGTTTGTGTGGTGACGTTTCATCAGGCTCCGCGATTAAACTATGAGATATACGCGCAATCTGACACGCGCCATTCAAAGTTCAATCAACAAAAATAATACAGTTTGATACTTGTAGGTATGCATGTGTGTTGGCAAGCATGGACATTGGCTAGTCATGGGTGTGTATGTTAGAATTTTGAAAACTGGGTTGCAAACTTGGATTAAGCCGTGCTTGTTTGAATTCTTCTCTCAATAAAACTGAAAATTCCAACATTGCCATTTTATTTCACTTCAAACCAGGCAAAAAAAAACCCTGCACAACTGTCCTAAATCGTTTTTTTCTCGAATGTATAGTTGAAATGCGCCCCCTGTTGGCGAATACCAAAAACAGGGTCTGAACGTCACTACTTTATGACAGGCTGAATCGGAAAAACCAGTACGAATCCATGACTTCGTCAGGAAAACTAACAAACCTTGTCAAAAGTTAAATATCTGTTTCACTGTTCATATCAAAAACATTAAAATTGTATCGATGTGTACAAGTTATCATACTGAAGTACTCTTCCTTAAATTATTTTCCTTTTTATTGCTTCAATTATTATATCTAAAAAAAACCACCGATGCGTCGTTTAAAAAAATGTATATTAATGCCATGATCTATTGTGCCTCTCGCATGAAGTGAGTAGTCTACTAGGAATGATTCACAGTTAAAACAACAACAAAACTGTTTCGAAAGTATTAGTTAAACAACAATCAGATTATTTTTCTTTTCGTTCTTTACATTATGATGATAAGCATGTATATAACAGTCAACGAGTGAAGACTGTTATGTGGGGGTGACTCCGAACGATTGATAGCTCCGATTATAGAAGCCACCAGTAATTTTGACATTCGTCTTGACCAAATTCAATTGGCCTTTACTATTAAAATGCAATTTTTAAATACAATTTATTGATTTCGGTCAGCTGCAATTCACCTAAGCGACTTTGCATATTTCTCCGTTATGAACATTTCATCTAAATATTTATCTAGACTATGTACACAAGTTAAAAACCTTACTATATCAAGTACCAATTCACCTTCCAAAAAAGACTCCAAATATGAGAGCAAAAATATATATTTTTACGCCGGTGAGGCGTTTCAAAATAGATTCCACTGCATCTGCACTTCGGTTCTTTGATCAGTTGGAAAGTTATTATTCCACCAAATTATACACAAATATTTAATATAATTTAGATACACCCAAAAAAAATTCAAATTCACCGAAATTGTTATAAATTTTTTACCGAAATTGTTTCAAATTCACCAATTTTTTTTGAAGTTTTACCAAATCATGTTTACTTCTTTTCTGACAAGCATGTTGAACTTCAGGCCTAACCTTTTCATTATTGGCCTTAAATCTCCGCCTATGCAAACGTCGGGTTATATGTTCCCCTAACATCTCCCTTCCCCACTTCCCCGTCGTAGGATTGCTTCACATTTTTGTCCTTGGACTTCGAAAACTTAAACGCCGCTATCCCTACAACGATCAGCACAAGCACTGCGGCGACGCTGCCGATGACAATCAGTGCAATCTGCCAGCTCAGCCCCTCGGGTTGGTGTGGCGTAGTGCCAGCAGGTTGCGGTGGCCGGGTTGCCGGGGGTGGCGTGGTAGCAGGCGGTGGCTTGGTGGTTGGCGGCTGGGGTACGTACTCCCTGAGCACGGCCTGTGCCGCGTTAGAAAACCCAGACGGGTTCCCGGCGTCGTCGAAGGCGCGCAGGACGAACGTGTACGAGACCACGCTGGCTCCCTTAGGTACGGGTACCAGGACCAGTAACTCTTCCCGACTGCCGAACTCCTGAGGCGCCGAGGGATCCCCTTCGAGCACGTGACTGGAGTTGAGGATCAGATGCGACTCCGGAGTCGGGTCGCTCTGCCAGGCCGGAACGGACTCGGCACGGATCACTTCGTAACGGGAGGCTGCGAAAGAACACGTTTTTATCATTTGCATTTCTCCGAAGTCCGATAATTTGACCAGGGTTTGGGTAATTCAGCTATTCTAGGATGAACAAGGTTTTTGGGTTGTGTGCATCCGTACATCGCGTAACAAAATAGAAAGAGATAACGCCTAATGTTTTTCTAATAACGCTGTAAACACTGACCGGTGATCAAGCGCTGAAATGTGAGGTTATCAGAGCCATGAGGACCAGAATGAACCTTTTTGCAAACGGTAAAGGAATTAACAGCCCTTCCCAACTTGTCATTCTTTAATCAGCGTCGAAATCGGAGTAATGTCAGCGAAGCAGGCCATCTTGAGCAGTGATACCTTTAGCAACAGGTGTACGCAATCTCGTCCACGTAACGACCCCCGTAGTTTGAAATGTTCGGTCCTTAAGAATTACAAAGCAAATATTTCAGACAAAGATGGGATATATATACCTGCTCCGTTGTCAAGATCATCTCCAGGAGCTGTCCAAACCAACGCCACAGTCTTATCCTGGAATGAGGTTTCCTTGACTCTGAGATCAAGAACGTCTCCCGGAGGGAACAGGTCAGCACCTGGAGCGAAGCCCGGAGGTACGGCGTCTACACGGCTTGAGCCGCCCGATGTACCACGACTGAACGCCGGGGCAGGCGTTCCTGTCGGCTCCGCTGGTGGGGCACCGGGAAGAGGGATCCTAATACCACCTGTGAAGGAGAAATAAGAAAGAGTGAAACAAATCAAGAAGTGTCCAAGCCAGATGAACTCTTTAGCGAATGAGCTGTCACTTACCAATCTCCGGTAGGTCATAGATCTTGTCGAGGGGCACAATCGGACGGGCTTTTGAGTAAGGATTGGACTCCAAAATGATGGCCTCTCCGCCGTTGTTGTTCACGTCTATCCGTATCCCGTAGTACCCGATGCCGGTAAATTCAGTGAAGGATCTCGAGTACACGCCGTCATTCTTGGTGATATCCGCACCTGTTGAAAATACACATAGATTTCATTTATAACACAACAACCACAAGAGCTACGAATCTATACTACATGTAGAGCCCTACCGGTAGGAATTTGGTACCGTTCAATTCCCTCAATGTTTGATGACGAATATTAAAAAGCATAGTTTCATAAGTAAAGTCTGTCACGAGCTAACTTGGTCCATCAGGTAGGTGTTTATCTCCGGTTTGCAGTAGCATGAAACGACTGATCATATTTCTACTTTCCCTGGATGGGATGCTATATAGTACATCGCAGGTTCTCCCCAGGTATATGCCGGTACATATTTCCACTCCTGTGGAGAGAGCCAAGTTTGGATGAAGTGGCTTGCCCAAGGACGCAACATAATTGCTAGCGGCTGGATTCGACTCTGACCTTCTGATCATGAGTCACAAACCCTAACCACTAGGCCATACTCCCCCAAGTTTTATAAGTATCAACTTGGTATATAGCGTCTGAATGTGTTGGACTGGGACACAGTGTGTTCATAGCATCTCCACAAATTTGACCCTGAGAAGAAACTTAATTTAGGAAAAGATCACAAATACCTGCACCATTATCGAGTAGCTCAAGTCTGATTGGTTCAAAGCTGCCTGGTCTTTCGATGGTTGCCGTGACATTGGCGTTGATCATGGGTTTGAAGCCCTGACGAACCTCGGCATACGCCACCAACGGCTCGCCTTGTTCAAAGGCAGTGATGGAGCCGCTCAGCTCTGACGTCACGATGATGGGGTCTACGTCATCACTTGCTGGGTAGGACGAGACAGCAATGGCGACCTCTTGTTCATGCCTGCTGAGTACTGTGTAATCCCAGAGTCCCTCCTGTTGATGACGTCATTGTCATACAAACCAACATTAGATAATGCCATAACCTCGCTTTCAATACATACCTGGTTGCAACAATTGATGGAATAGGAATCGAACCCACAGTCATAGAAGGTGGTTTCCCACCATGCTTGCAATTTCTGAAATTTGTCTTCTGGAACGCGTGGGTGGAGTATAGGGCAAACAGCGCCATCTATAGTCCCTAAGCGGAGACGGCAATCGCCTTGAATTGAACTTTGACCCTCACCTCGGCCTGTCCTTCGATCTTCACTATGATTGTCTTGAAGTTCGGTTCCTCGCCGAAGCCGTCGTAGGAGGAGTCAATAATCGTCCCATTCGGCCGCTGGAGGGTCACCTCAATTGCTAAAAGAAAACAAAACAAATATCCATTGATACAATTACTAATAGAATCCAGTTTAAAGGTAAAAATTAACTCAAAGGTGTTGTAGAATTTCTATTTTGTTAACAACAATTTTCAGACAGGACCGTTGCTGATTTGAAATAAACCACCGTACGTCGTCTGTATTTTGGAAAGGTATTGGCGCCCTCTTGGTCTGTTTTTCCTAGTCAGTTCTGAGAATGAATGCTCAAAGGTTTCAACATTCCAAACTTACATGGGTTGTCTTTTTCCGTCCAAGAAAAGCTGAACTCGGTCTTCCTGCCCACAGTGCTGTCCATGAACACTCCACCTGTTCGTGTCTCGTCTGCCTCCAGAGACCACGACGTGCCCAACAGCTTTACGTACGGTCATGCACAAGCAATATGAAAGAACAGTCATTTCTTAAATTAATATTTTTAGAAGCCTTTATATTTATACATTGGTCAGGTCATCCTGAATAAAGCCAATGTTCTAATTATTTGATCAGTTAGAATTACAGCCATACTCACATAGGTACATTTAACTAATCACATTCGATCTACATGTATTTTGCGGAATCGTCTATTTTGCTGGTACTAAGTGGTGGGGTTGACACTGGTTTTGTCGTTCATTCCCTTCATGATTCTTCGTGTATTTCAGAAGTGTAACGAATAAAGAAGTAATACATTTACAAACTCGTGCTTGCCTACCTGTACACGTTTATCGGAATCTATGACATCACCGCGCTCCATGGTTGCTGCGAATGCCTCGTAGAGTGTGTTGGATCCAGGCTCGTTCGAGTAGAAGAATGTTTTACCGCCTTCGAAGGTCGAGCGAAATGATTATTATACAATCGACAGTACACGAACTCAAAGAATTATCCTACCTTAATTTTTCATCACAAAACTGTAAATCCTCAACCCTTATCAGTACAAAAAGTATACAAAGAAGAGAAAGTTGACCGACTATCGTCAGATACTTTGTCTGTCTTCTCTCATCTCATCTCATTTCAGATCCTCGGCTAATTTAAGCCAACAAAAGTTACTAGCTTAAGTAAAATTTACGATTCAAAATATCATGCCACTGGTTGTGATAACACTTCTGAGCTACTTACCCGTAGCTTTGGAAATATCAGGAAGCAGAACAGATGCCTGTTGGCCAAATGCCAGCGTGTCAACGATGACACCCGAGGCTATGACGTCACCCATGACGTCAGCAACGAAGGGCCTATGCGTTTCTTCCCCATCACTGACCAGTAAGATGATACCTCCCTGGGTACCATCTTCATGGTCAGATAAAACCTGGAGGACAGAAAAGTGAGGAACAACTTCAATCGAGAAGTGCACGATTGCATGGAGATTTCAAAGCTTACTTACAAACTCTGCAACTTAGGTTTAAGTTCTTAAACTGGAGGCTTTGGTTCGTTCAGCCTACCTCGATGGCCTTCAAAAGCCCTTGGCCTATGGCGGTCCATCCCTCAGCTTTCGGAGGCAGTGCTGCCGTGAGACCAAGGCGAGCTTCGGTTCCGTTCACTTCCACTAGGGTTTGCAGAATATTGGCATTGGAGTTAAACTCTATGATCCCCACAAAGCTCCCGTCCAACACGATGGACGACAGGTAGTTGTAAGCGGAGCTAGTCATCTTCGTAAACTTATTGTGACTCTGAATAGAAGATTTAAAAAAAAGAAACGATTTACTAGAACTCTAACATGAAAGTTCGATATGTGACTGTACTGCACCACTGCACTGTCGCAAACTGAAGACTCTGTACAGATCCGCAAGACATCCGATCTCGAATTTTCTTGCGAAAAATGTTGTTTTACTAAAAACTTCCCTTTCATGTTATGCTTGGTTTTTCGTTATGCCCCTTACCGGTTTTAAACATCATGTTTACAACTGCTCCATCATTATCCAACTATTATCCCCATTCACAAATACCTTTTTCTGTCAAAATCCATAAAAAAGTCACGAAAAGTTTACAAACTTCCAACGCTTTTGTTCTACCACTCCGTGTTAAATGACGTCCACTTTAAGTGTGACGTCATGGAGATAGACAACGCACGGGACGGGCTCTCAAAAAATTGACGAATTTGAGGGGTGCCTTTCTTTTGATAGTATTATAAAAAAAGGTCCCCAATTCATACAATGGCTTGGCACTGAGAACTTTGGTTTCAATTCCAATTTAAAATTCGTCTGTTTGAATAGGCAAAACTGTCTCATGTACATGCATTTAGGAATCTAGCATAAAACACTATACATCTTCAATCAGACAGTTTCCAGAGTCTGGCGAAAGTGGTATGTCGTTAATGATGAAAGCTTACGTCCATGCTGCCCGAGGTATCCAATAGCAGAACGACTCGGATATCCTTGTGCTGAACCACGGTAAATGTCGGCACCAAATCTTCCTCGCTGATATTACGCGGTGGATTGCTTCCCCCTGCAAAATATTAATAAAGATGAAACTAAAAGTCTCCTTAAATAGCGGTTATGATAAATACAGGGCGCCTTCAAGAGATCACGACATCCAATTGTTTTGCACGGCATCATGGGAAAAGTCATCATCCGCTAGTTGAAAAAAAGAAGATATATTGCAAGAGGTGACGAGGACTGGCATAATTTCTTACGCACGAAATTGGTATCATTTCTGTCAATACGTTTTGTTTACGAGGCTTCTTGATTATAAAGGCCGTGTCCAGATTTAACCTGGCTACGGCTTGTAATTACATACAAGTCTATGGTAGCGGCTGCAGCCACTTCCATAGTCACGTGTGTAATTTCAAACCATAGCCAATAGTTCGGACGCGGCATATGTATGTGATGATTGGCCGATGGTATAGACAATTATCATGTTGCAGCCATTTGATTTTTTTCCCATTCAAATCAATGTAACCAAAGAGAGGCTGGAGGGAAAAATAGTCTAGTTCCTTTTGCACAAAAACATTATCATTCAGTTCTGTTCTTGAGATACAGGGAACATGACTAAAATGGTGGAAGCATGATATAAGTCTATTATGCAGGCCAGGATGGCGACTCTCACGACGAAAAACGAAGTGGCCTGTTCCAGGCGTTTGGTGGCGCCCTGTTGGCCTGTATTGTGAATCTTTCCGGTCCCTCTTATCAATATACTTTTGCCCACCGTTAACTTAGGTATTCTTCGGCGAGTTCCAACAATATACCACGTGACCCACCTGCAAAATCGTCGTGATCCAGTATGACCTCCCAGTTGCTCTTGCTATTGCACAGCCGGTTGTGCTTGTTGGGCGCGTGTGGATTATGTTGCTTGTCCCGCTCCTCGGTGTCATTACAGAAATTGATTATCTGGTGGTGGAGATTGTTGATTTGGATTAAATCTAAAGTTGATATCGGTTTGTTTATTCTATACCTTTTCGTTAGGTTTCCCAATACAGGATGAGTAAAAAAAAACAAGCCCAAATGTCGGGACTATTGTTTTAGTGAAGTTTTGCATGTAGCCCTTTCAAAAGCTAGGATATGAAAGCCCAATTCATAAGCTTTTTTTAGTAAACAAGAATCATTGAAATCACTCATGTACTTTTCCAAGTAATAGAATTTTAAACAGAACCACCGTTTTAAAGTTCTTTCCACGGATCACAGAAAAGGCGTGCATTCTTTCAGCAAAACGAAAACAATTCAAACACATCCCGATGTGATTTGTTTTCAATTTGCTGAAAGAACGCACACCTTTTCTGTGATCCGAACTTGAAAAGTACATAAGTGATTTGAATGATTCTTGTACTAAAAGAAAGCTTATGATTTGGGCTTTTCCCTAGATTTGGAAAGTACTATACATGCAGATCTTCACTAAAACAATGGTCCCGAAATTTTGGGTTTCAGGTTTTTTTTACTCACCCTGTAGTTCGGCAGATAGGTAATGGGATTAATGTTCATTTGATGATAAAAGCATGCCGGGAAATTGGCACACAGTCAGAGTATGTCATGAGAAAGACATCTGGCTATAGGGCCATAGCAGATTTGTCCTTTGAAAAAAATATAGGTAGAATAACAAGCTATGCCAGCCATTTTTGAAAATTGCTTGTTATTTTACCTATATTTTGTTCAAAGGACACATCTGCGATGGCCGGCCCTATAGCCAAATATCTTCCTTAAGACATACTCTTACTGTGCACCGTGCCAAATTTCATCATCAAAGTGAACAACCCCAACCAAATAATTCCCTATCTGTCCCACTACTTTGAAAGACAATGTATCCTCCCCGGAAAATACAGTGTTCGCACCTCATGCACAGTGAGTATCGGGGTCCATACCCACAAGCTAAGCTTCTTATGGATTCCGCATCTCTATTAATTGTATTTATTATCTGCCTATCACCTTGTACTCATGTAAATTATGAGATGAAATAAAGTCGAGTTCAAGTTCAAGATGTTGCAGTCAAACTAACGGGTTCGAGAGGCGCGCTGTGTACGCGTAGAACGGTTGTATATCGGCAGCCATAATTATTTAAAAGACTGGGGTGAACTGGTCCGAAAGCGAAAATAGGAAAATACGGCGTATGGGCACACGTTGTCCGGTCTGTGTATGGAAATGAGGGGTGTTAACACCGCATTGATGTTGCAGTAAAGTCAAAGGTTGGAAACTCACAGGATCGAGTGACGTGCGGAACATGATGGAGGAAGTGACGTCACTCTGCCCCGACAGCACGAAGAAAATGCAGCCATCCTCGTACCCAATATTCGGACTGCCGGCACAGTCACGGTAGGAAAAGCTCTCGGGAAGGAAGATCAGCGGCCGGCCGACGTAGTCGTAGGAACATCTAGAGAAGACAGGGAACTAGGATGTCTAACCAGATACCCATGGTTGAATATTTTGAATGTTCCAATTCAAATTTATGTTGCTATTTAAATTGTAACCATACCACTTAAATAATTTTGCTGTACGTGGAAATGTGTCAATAAGCAGCTTCGGGTAGTAAAAATGTTCATAAAACCTACTGGTTTTCTCAACTTACGTCACTCCTTCGTATTGTTGTGTCACTTGCGAAAAGTAGTATTCTTGGTAATAATCGGGATCTCCCACAGCATCCGGGTACTCGTCGAATAACCCCCAACGAAGATGACCCCACTCATGCACGAGAATGCGCCCTGATATTTTAAAAACCATAAAAAAATCGAGATGATAACTCGTTTCCAAAGTCGGGGTACCTTTTCTTTAATTTTCCAGAATGACATAATGGGGGGGGGGGGGGGAACTGAAGGAAAACAGGGTTGTGTTAGTTGATTTTGATATTGGAAAAGAGGCGCTTGCAAAAAGTCAAAAATATTACAGTAGAAGATGTGTTATTTCTGGTAATGAAAAACAATTGTTCCACAAAATCAGCTCGGATGAAGATCGGACACCTGATGAGGCAACGTAATAAACAAAAAACAAAACATAAATATCACAAAGGATGTTTAGTGTTATTGGTGGGACGAAACCCCAGAAATGACATTCCAGGGGCAATCAACACAGTCCTGAAGGAAGTAAAGCATACGCCACCTGTCGGCTGAGGTGTGGTCGACTCCACCCGTCGGCCTGGGTGTGGTCGACTCCATTGTCAGAGATATGGAAGATAAGGAAAGTACCACGCACAAATGCAAACATTCAAGTGGTTTTAATAGTGACTAACCAAGGGGTCCGTAGAAAGTCTCCGTATTCGTATCAGTCAGGAAGGCGTCCATAAAGTGGATGTGAACGCCCTGCCGACCGCAACCCTCGTACTGCTTGGTGTACTGCAGCGGGGCCCAGCGCGGATTGGGCGGGGCCACGATGACGTCGGCACTGTCAAAGGTCAATCCGCCCGGGAGCTCGTACTCAGGACTACTGGCCCATGTCTTGGGTATGAGGATGGTGACATTTCGGAAGTAGGCCCGTTTCTGCGTGGCTTGGTAGAGGTACTTCGAGGCCTCTGTGAACATGTACTGTTTGCCAACAAATTAAAAAAATGTCCTTGAAAAAAAGCCTAAATCATGCGCGGTTTGTGCCGAAATACTGGTCGGTCAAATTAAGTAAAATTGGCGAGTATATTCATGGTTTCCATGACTCAAATTAAATTGACTAAGTAATCCATTATAGACCCGAGACTAAATAAATACAATTCTTGTTTTAAGAGGGGCGTAACTGCACGATTAGGCTTTGGGGCAGGCTCCTACTGGAACTTACTTCTTTAATGACGACACTTTATACTGCGACAATTTAAAAAAAAAAAAAAAAAAAAACAGGGATATTATTCCCCCCTTCAGAATTCAGAAAACTACAATCAGTAATGAAGAATTGAATTTTGTACAACTTTCCCCTAGCTAAATTCACAAAGGTGAATTAAATTTGCGACTCGGGAAACTAACCTTGATTCGGTCGATCAGTGCCTGGTCTTCGCTCACTCTATTGTGAATTGCCACAGTGATGCCGGAGTAACCATTGTCCACGAATTCAATGAATGAAGGTCGTGTCAACGAGTCTGCGCACTGGCTCACGGAGAGTACGATCAGTACCATGGTAACCCACTTGAATCCTGTTGCCATGGTGCCTGATTAAAAAAACAGGCAAACAAACATTCAGCATGAAAACACAGTTTAGCCATTATTGCATTTAATACCTGTTACAGGTTTCAAACGCCCATGTATAACATTTACCTTTTCACACCAGTGAACATAAAAAAAAAACCAATTGTTTTCAAAGTCAGGTATAGGTTGACCTATACCAGCTTTTATGGAGCGACTTTCATCAGCTTTTTGCAAGAGGGTGAAATTTAAACACCATACGAAAACAACAGTCACTTCAAAAACCCACCACTTTTGACTTGGCGTCCGCTCCGTGTCGATACAGCGCTGGAGACGGTATCGAAACTTCTGGAGGAATGCAGGATCACCCCTGATGTCATTGCACACATCCTCGATCGTTTGGCGCTACACACACGATCGAGGAGTCGTTTTGCGCAAGACACGATCGAGGAGGTGTGCAATGACATCAGGGGTGATCCTGCATTCATTCAGAAGCCTTTCGGCCGCAACCCGCGCCTTCCACCACCGTCTCCAGCGCTGTATCGACATTCTGAAATTGAGTGGTTTTTTTTTTCGTTGTGCGTTTAAATCTCACTTTCAAAGCTGATGAAACTTGTTCAATACAATTTGTCATGCCTTGTGTACATGATCTGAAATGTTGGTTCAATTCCATTAGTAAACAACAGAGTTATTTAGTATTAAATGTATGACATGTTCTTTTTTACTTTAGTAGTAGGCCTACCTCCTTCTAAAATTCAAGGTACAAAAATCGTGTAAATGCCTGTCTCCGAATTCATATTAAAATCAAACTTTGTCTGGGTGTCGCTTAAATATTTAAGCTGTTAACATACTCATGTAAGTGCTGCAATTACAGATGTTAGAGGCCCTCCTTGTTAATTGTTTTCATCGTATGTGGCATGTACATCACCACTATGTTCTTTTCAACTAGTACACGTATATACTTTTTTAACAGGAAAAAGTATATACCAGTGCCATAATCATATAGACACCTTCAATAATGCGTCGTACAAACACACGCCTGAGGCATACCTTTTTGCTACGACAATCTGCAGGAATTTGGCAATCCTTTATAATCACAAAATTTGCATATTGTTTATTAGACTTCTTCGTGGTCAATGACCCAAGATGCTTTTATTCGGGAAAGTTCATCTCGGGCAGGATACAGTTCATTAAACATAAACACGTTTATACGGTTACATCTGGCCCTTTCGTGTGCACCAGTCCGTGTTCACCGTACCACTGCACAGTTAGCTACACAGTATACATATACTCCATGGGCCAGCCAAATAATTTGTACCGTCGAAGTAAATAAAAGAAATTTTGAAGATGCTCATTTAAACAGCTGAAAACCACTCTAATGACTTTCCCGTATCTAATGACTTCTCAGTCGCATTAAAATACAAACCAGAAAGACACAGAACAATAATGACCAGCATGTGTCGCAAAATTCAACACAGAATAAGTGAGAGTTCATCCACTGGTCCATGCATGGACTGATCGTCTGTGAAAATACCACTCGCTCACTCGTGCATGCTCTATAACATGGTGTGCAGTGTAGGCGCTTGTACATAATACTCCTACACCACCCTTATTACAATAAAGCTACTTCGAGTCCTCAACGCTTATTGAATTACATAGTTTAAAAGTGATTTTTCATTTTGGAGGAGTAATTCAGGCCTGAAGCCCACTGGGTGACGGTGGTTTTTTTGGGGGGAAATGCAACCTGACGCCAATTTTTCTTCATATCAATGAAGGTCAGTTATTGCAAAAATAATGATAAAACATGAATCCGGGACTGAGAAACATTTCCAATTTTGTTAAGAAATACTTAGGGAAATGTCTTGACTCTCCATAGACTTTGTACACAACCGTTGAAGTGGCGTCAGGTTGCAACATTGTTTCTGGGCTTTTTAAACTAAAAACTGGGAATAATATTTTTTTCCGCATGCTCAGCTTATGAGTATGAAAACTCTATCGTTGTGATATCCTAGATGCATTGAACAATGACAATCGCTAACCAATTATGTGTATTCCTTACCCGTAAAAGTGCCCGGAATTGTTGGTCAAATACACCTCTCGATCTGTTGTGACGGTCAGCGTTTGCGGAGTCGATTCCTGCAAGTACGGGGTTGGGTACGTGCACAGCGGTGTGCAAAAGGCGCGGGCCGCCGGCCTCAATGCCAGCAATAATACTATACACAATCAAACTAATAAATGCTTGCCATTGATCCCCTTGACACCTGAACTCCTGGGAGGCGTTCCTTTTTGTATAAGCACAGCCAGGCGAGAATGGCATTTAAAACCGTGATAAAGGACCCAGCAGTTCTGAAACCCCGTCGTGAAACCTGAAATTCATGCGCTTTCATTTTTTTTTTTTTTTTTTTAGATACATGGACCTTATTCACGAGAGGAAGCCATTTTGGTCGTGTTCCCTGAATGAACGAGGAAGCCATTTTGGTCGTGTTCCCTGTATAAATTGTGAACTGTTGAATGGGATAGTCCCAGACTATTTAGGCCTCACTTTCAATCTGTTTTTTAAATGTGGCTGATAACATTAGGCATGGTTAATCACAAATTTTAAATCATTCATCAGAGTAAACTGGTATTAATTTGTAATTAACTTTATATCATTGCTTTCTTTCTCTTCGCAAGTTCCAAAAATGAAGAGTTTACCTCGCTTTCAATTTAATATGGCCGACTCGTGAATAAGGCCAATTGCATAGGCCTCATCCTCAAATGACAAATGAATAGTTGGGTGAACATCAAACACAAATCTGTCCTTAATAGTAATTAACCTCAATGAGTTTGGATGACGTCAATATATTTAGTGCTTTCTACTGACTTCCTAACTCGGTATTGTTGTATTTGGTCATTTAAATGGAAGAAACATGAGAAGATTTAAACGGTTTGTTAAAAACACAAATTGCTTATCATAGAAAAATGTTGGCATCGACGGGTTTGCCAAGATACGATTTAACGTGAGGCCGATATTGCTTGCGCTTGGTTCCTAGTATTTTTTTTTTGAAATATCAATAGGGCATATGCAAGCACGATGAATGATATCCGATAATTATCTCGTGTGCATTTTGCTGCATAAAAACACTACGCCTCGAACAATAGAAGCTGGACAATCGGCATTACAATTGTTCTAAGACAGCATTGTTGTGCATTGGACAACAGAAAAAGAAAGCGCCATATCAGTAAATTAATAAGTACAGTCTCTCTTTTTTGTTTACACCTACAGAATGATAATCATGTATATCACAGTCAGCTATAACGGGGGAGACTCAGAACGATTGATAACTCCAATTAGTAACCACCAGTAGTTTGCATATTCGTCTTGACCAAATTCAATTGGCCTTACTATAAAATGCAAGTCTAAAATACACATTATTGATTTAGGCTAGCTACAATTCACCTAAAAATATCTCCAAATTTCTCAATTCACCTAAAAATGTATCCACGTCTCTCTGTTCTTTCCATAGAGCTATATCAAATTACTAGAGCGCCAACTTCGTGTACAAAGTAATGCCTGCTGGGCGCATCCATGTTTGTGCACAAACATATGGAGACCTAGAAATTTTGTACGGCTATTTGCATATCTGCGTTTGTATTCCATACCGGTGCGTTATCGAAGCCCAAACGCCCAAAACCGAAACGCACGATTAGCAAATGAGCTTGTCATTTTGCTCTACGCAAATAGCGCAACGCGTGCGCGTATTCGCTGCAGATGCCTTAATTGCCGTCACATTTTTTTTTTAACCGTCAATGACGCGCTTAAGTTGTTTGCGTATATTCTACTTGCGCGTTGCATGTAGAGTACACTTTTAAATTCAATCCATCTGATTTCATTATGTTCTACAAACACGCACATGAATTCAAAATGTCTGCGCCCATGACGGCTTTAAAGCGTCTCCGCGCGCAGAATGACGAGTTAGCGCTCTAGTAATTTAATATAGCTCTTTACTATACCTCATACATATTCATGATCGAGAGCCGAACGTTCACTGGTCAATTCACCATCGCGTGCCAGATGTTATTCTTGCTGTTTACCAAACGCGCGCGCGAGGATTCACGCACATAGTAAATACGCATGCGTAGTAGACTGTCGCATGGGTTACCCGTGCGACAGTCTACTACGCATGCACTTTACAGAGCAATCGAGGAACTGTCGCACGGGTGCAGTACGCACGCGCGAACATCGCACAGGAGAGATGCATGGTTGCACGGTTCGCGTAAATGTCAATTTCCAGAGCTCAATGATGCCGTACTGGAGAAAATGTATAGACCGTGTAAAGATGTCTCTTGTACAAAAGAAAGTTGTACACATTGCAAACAACTGTATTTACAACTGTAGTAACTGTATTATATTGCAAACGAACCGAACTAGTAATTTAAGTTGAATCTTTTGATGAGCTGTACAAGTTTCCCCAAATTTTGTTTTAGGTGCATAATAACAAAACAAAATTCAGCAACTGAATATGTATGAGGTATAGTAAAACAAATATAACATGGTTTATTTCGGGTTGACAGTCGATATTAGCTCCCCTCGGTATTGGAAGTTGACAAACTAGTTCCCTCGGCTTCGCCTCGGGAACTAGTTTGTCAACTTCCAATACCTCGGGGAGCGAATATCGACTGTCCACCCTCAAACCATGTTATATTTGTATAATGGTTCTTTCGTTTAAATTCCCACCCAGACTATAGGCCTACACAAGTTAAACTAACTCACAATATCAAGTAACAATTCACCTTTAAAAAAGACTCTAACGTATGAGTGGAAACAATTCTTACTAAAGGAGTTATACAAATTAAGTAAGGCGTTTCAAAACTCACTTCATCGTCTGCAATTGTCTAAATGAAATCTCTGATACGATGGAAACATTATTACACCAAATGATACACTTACACACAAACCATGTTTTAGATGCACCTAATTAAAATATTTGAAACACAGAAAAGGTTTCACATTCACCAGAAATGTTTCAAATACACCAGAAATATTTCAAATACACATTTTTTTTGAATACACCAAAAATAATTCATATAAGTCCTACACCGGATTGGTTTCACTCTAACTATTACCATAAAACGAAAACTGATCAGTTAAAAAAGAAAGAAAAATTGTTTGTTGTTGTTTAATATGGATAAAATTGTAAAATCAAATGGAAGTATTTAATCGATGATTTTGATAATCGATGGGTTATAATGGGTTTTATCAGACAATCATGTTGTACTTAACCTTTTAACTATTGGCCTTAAATCTCTGCCACTGCATAAGTTGGGTTATATTCTCCTTCAATATCTCTCTTCTCCTCGTCCCCAGCGTCTGAATGCGCCACTTTTTTGTCTTTGAGGTTTGGGAACTTAAACGCCGCTACTCCTCCCCCGATCAGCAAGAGAACAACGGCGACGCTACCGATGACAATCAGAGCAATCTGCCAGCCCAACAGACCCTCGGGTTGAGCTGGCTTGGTGACAGGGGGTTGCGGGGGCTTGGTGGCAGGGGGTGGCCTGGTGGCAGGGGGTAGGGGTGGCGGGGTGGCAGGGGTTGGATTGGTTGTTGGGGGTTGGGGGACGTACTCCCTGAGCACGGCCTGTGCCGCGTTAGAAAACCCAGACGGGTTTCCGGCGTCGTCGAAGGCGCGCAGGACGAATGCGTACGAAACCAGGCTGGTTCCCTCGGGCACGGGTACCAGGACCAGCAACTCTTCCCGACTGCCGAACTCCTGAGGTGCCGAGAGGTTCCCTTCGAGCACGTGACTGGAGTTGAGGATCAGATGCGACTCCGGATCCGGGTCGCTCTGCCAGGCCAGAACGGACTCGGCACGGATCACTTCGTAACGGGAGGCTGCGAAAGAACACTTTTTTGTCATTTGCATTTCTCAGAAGTCCGATAATTTAAGCACTGCAGGGTCTGTTTTATGGCTATGCTCATCAAAGCAAAGAATCTCCGCTAACTGTAAATACGAAGTCTGCGTAAGGCTTCGGGTAATTCTCTAGTAAATAAGGAATTGTGGCTTTTGCGCATGCTTACATGCCCTTACTAAAGAGATAATGCCGAATTGCTGTAGGCGCTGGAAACACAGACTGTTGATCAAGCGCTGAAATCTGCGGTTATCAGAACCACGGAGTTTGGACCAGAATGAAACTTATTACAAACGCCCAATATTTTGTCATTTTTCAGTCAGCTTCTAAATCTTGTTAGTGTCTGCTAAACAGGCCATCATGACAGCGATACCTATAGCCTCATATTATGCATGTAGCAATCTAGCACTTCTTAACCAGCGACCCCACGGTTTGAAATGTTCGGCGCTCAAGAATTTTAAAACGAATCTTGAGACAAAGACGGGACATACCTGCTCCGTTGTCAAGATCATCTCCAGGTGCTGTCCAAACCAATCTCACAGTCTTATCCTGGAACGAGGTGTTTGTGACTCTGAGATCAAGAACGTCTCCTGGAGGGAACAAATCATCACCCGGCGAGAAGCCCGGAGGTGTATCAGGTACACGGCTTGAGCCGCCCGATGTGCCACGACTGAACGCCGGGGCGGGCGTTCCTGTTGGCTCTGCTGGTGGGGCACCGGGAGGTGGGATCTTAATACCACCTGTGGAGAAGGAGAAATAAAAAAAGAGTGAAAATAAATCAGAAAGTCTTCAAGCCAGATGAACATTTAGCGAATGAGCTGTCACTTACCAATCTCCGGTAGGTCATAGATCTTGTCGAGGGGCACGATCGGACGGGCTTTCGAGTAAGGATTGGACTCCAAAATGATGGCCTCTCCGCCGTTGTTGTTCACGTCTATCCGTATCCCGTAGTACCCGATGCCGGTAAATTCGGTGAAGGATCTCGAGTACACCCCGTCATTCTTGGTGATATCCGCACCTGTTGGAAATAATGGAAGCTTTCATTTATGACCACATGCATATAATCTGTACTTATAATTGACCGATGACCTAAAGACGTAATGGCTTTGTTTACATATACGATTTCCTATGGGAGCGAAGTCGGGACGCCCGACGAAGTAGGGACCGTCTACCCCATAGGAAAACGCACATGTTAACAACGCGTGACGTCATTAGGTCTCAGGCCTATTTGGTCCCGTCGATTCCGCCAATGCATGAGGACTTCTGGGTAGTTTTATAAGTAGCAACTTGGTAAAAAAAAATGTATAGTGTCTGATTGGGACACAGGTGTGTTCTTACAGAATCGCCAAGAAATTGGCTGAGGAAACACATAATTGTTAGGAAAGGATGACAGATACCTGCACCATTATCAAGTAGCTGAAGTCTGATTGGATCAAAAGCGCCTGGTCTGTCGACGATTGCCGTGACATTGGCGTAGATCATGGGTCTGAAACCCTGACGAACCTCGGCGTACGCCACCAACGGCTCGCCTCGCTCAAAGGCTGTGATGGAGCCGCTCAGCTCTGACGTCACGATGATGGGATCTACGTCATCGCTTGCTGGGTAGGACGAGACAGCAATGGCGACCTGTTGTTCATGCCTGCTGAGTACTGTGTAATCCCAGAGTCCCTCCTGTTGATGACGTCATTGTCAAGCAAACAAACAATTAAAAATCAATATTGTCATAGGCTCGCTAGGGTCGAAACAAAGGATGGAATGCGAATCGAACCCACGACCTTAATTCTGAACACTGTACGCTCAATCATTATAAGCTAAACCAATCTCTTAATATGTAAACATTATTTTGTGAAATTTCATCCATGTCAGCAATGCCCAAAATTCGGCTGGGTTTCCATTGAGGCCAAAAGAGGCCAAACCTTTTACTATAAGGTGCGCGCATGTGATGTGTCCGTCCCGGAACTCCGTACAAACATTCGCTGGTACCCATCATCTTTTCCAAGATGGAACATGTCAAGTGATACATTTTGTTTAAAGGTGATGGAATTCGTGTTCACGTGCACACGTTACGGGATTAGTTTCCCAAAATGCTTGGCGTTTCCTTCGCAAACCTCTGAGATTGATCATCTCGTGCACGTACATGGAGGAGGCTAAACAGCGCCATCTATAGTCCCCAAGCGGAGACGGCAATCACCTTGAATTGAACTTTGACCCTCACCTCGGCCTGTCCTTCGATCTTCACTATGATTGTCTTGAAGTTCGGTTCCTCGCCAAAGCCGTCGTAGGAGGAGTCAATTATCGTCCCATTCGGCCGCTGGAGGGTTACCTCAATCGCTGAAAGGAAGAAAAACCCAAACATCCATTGGAGAACGGAATCATAATAAGAAACGATGGTCTCCTGTGTGCGTTAACATGATGCTTTAACGAATTATTTCTGATAAGTACATTTTTTGTATGTCGCTGCTTGTGCTGTGAAAAATCACGAAAAGCACTAATGGAAGTGAGCATTGGCTCTTCTTTGAAGTAGGTTTCGATTTGTAAAAACGTACAGTGTTTTACATTTACGACGCGACCCATCGGGAGACTTAAGTGCCATGTTTTGAATTCGAAGTGGGATACAATAAAACAAAAATGCAGATTCGATCATAATCGTCAACAAAATATCACAAACAAAATATGTTTTGATTTCAAAATGTAAGTACAAGCGCTCTAAGAATGTAGTTTAAAGGTCAATATACTGAGCTAAAAGTTGCAGTAGAGTCTCTATTTTGTTAACAATTTTCAGACAGGACCAGGGGCGGATCTACCTTGCAAGAAACGAGTGGGGGTGATACAAGGGTGGAGGGGGTGGGGATAAGTATTGAAGTCTACGATACTTCTGCATTCTAAATCAATTTGATAATTAATGTATGAACATAAAGCATTCCATTTATTATTATTGGCCCAATTTGGTGTTTCATAACATTAGTCAGCTCCCTCTTGGTCTGTTTTCCTACCAGTTTTGAAAAATACTTACATGGGTTGCCTGCTTCTGTCCAAGAAAAGCTGAACTCGGTCTTCCTGCCCACAGTGCTGTCCATGAACACTCCACCTGTTCGTGTCTCGTCTGCCTCCAGAGACCACGACGTGCCCAACAGCTTTACGTACGGTCATCAAGAAAGGTAGAAACGCAATAAAAAAAATCAATCCTTAAATAGATATTAATATTTATTAATAAGAAGCCTTTATTATGTTACCCTGAAGAGAGTTAATGTTTTATTTATTGGTCAATTAGAATTTACAATTTATACACTCATATATACCGCGGGTACAACTAATCACATTCGATCCGTTTTACGGAATCTTCAATTGCTGATAAGGTTGACAGTGTTGTGTCCATTCCCATCTGATGATTAAAGAAACGTAAAGAATAGAAAATCAATAAATTTAACAATTTGTGCTTGCTTAATACCTGTAAAAGTTTATCAGCATCTCTGACGTCACCGCGCTCCATGGTAGCTGCGAATGCCTCGTACAATGTGTTGGATCCAGGCTCGTTCGAGTAGAAGAACGTTTTACCACCTTAATGTATAGTAGGGCGACATGATTATTATACAGCCGACAGTACACGAACTCAAATAATTGCCCTACTTTATAATTGTTCAAGACAACTCTAATTCCTCAACCCTTTAAAGAAAAGATGATTGCTCACCAACCGTCAATTCTTCGTCTGTCTTCTCTTATCTCATTTCAGATCTTCGGCTAATTTACGCCAAACAATTGATTAGCTTAAAATTTACGATGTAGTTCTAAGCTGTAGTTAAAGCTCGTCCAATCAAGTAATCAATACTTTCTTCGTCTTCACTTTACAAAAAATTGTGAACAACTGGGCAGGGAGCGGTACTGACAGCCCATAATAATAAGCAGTATTTACGCACCCGTTGCTTTGGAAATATTAGGAAGCAGAGCAGATGCATCTTGGGTAAAGGCCAGCGTGTCAACGATGACACCAGAGGCTATGACGTCATCCATGACGTCAGCAACCCAAGGCTCTTCCCTTTCTCTCCCATCACTAATCAACATGATGATGCCTCCTTTGGTACCATCTTCATGGTTCGAAAAAACCTGGAGGACAGAAAAAAAGGATGGTTGAATATGACTCCCTGCATGAAACTATAGATGGCGCTGTTTAGCACATCTTACCCATCTATCTATCTTAGCGAGGACTATCGTTAACCAAATCGTTAACCAAGCTAAACTTAACTTGAACGCAGGATGGTTGGATAACGTTGGTCGACTCCTTTGGAACAAGAGCGTAGCGCACACAGCGGCGTAGCTAGAGGGGGGAGGGGGGTGCATGCCCCCAACAAAAAAAATCGTCGCCCCCAGTCGCCGTCCCTCCCACCCACCACTGGAACTTTAGCAACCCCGAAGAAAATCACAGTCCTATGAGTTACCATGATTAGCGAGTTTAAATAAAGTGGCTTGCTCGCCTTTTATGTTAATGGTGAAAAAAAAACCCTATCTACCTTTCAGCACGGATGAAATTGGGTGTCTCTCCACTATAACATCCATGCAGCCCCCCCCCCCCTCGAAAAGTTTACGACTACAAAGAGATACATTGGATAATTCTTTTACAAATTGTACAAGTGAAGTTGTTACACTGGAAACTAGTTCGTTAAGCCTACCTCGACGGCCTTCAAAAGCCCTTTGCCTATGGCGGTACTTCCACCAGCATCGGGAGGCAGGGCTTGAATCAGATCCAGGCGAGTTTCCGTTCCGTTCACTTCCAGTAGATTTTGCAGAATATGGGCATTGGAGTTAAACTCCACGATCCCAACAAAGCTCCCATCCAACACGATGGACGACAAGTAGTTGTAACAAGAGCTAATCATCTTCGTAAATTTTTTGTCGGACTGAAGATTTAAAGAAGATTCGAACTCATGAACATGAATGTTCGATATGTGACTGTATACAGGGCGAGTTAAAAATGTCCCTTTGGAGTTTTTCTCTTCAGCCAATATTCGATCTGGGTATTGGCCACACTCTTTTAATACAAATTTCACAGATTTTTTATCCATGCATGCAAAAGATACAAGCCTTTATTTGTGACTACCCAAACCACTACCAGTACAATGTTCAGAATAGGCCTCTTAATTGCTGTGAACACAATGGCAAAAATGGGCCCAGGACAATAAAGGAACTAAATGGAGTGACAGAACAGGACATCAATAAAATGGAATTACGTTTATTGAACTTGAAAGTGAATTACAGTTAAGTTTCACATTTTTACTGTTCTGCTGTCACTCCGGCCGGAGTGGTATTTTATTCATTATTTAGACATTGAATGATGAAAGCTTACATTCATGCTGCCCGAGGTATCCAATAGCAGAACGACTCGGATATCCTTGTGCTGAACCAATCTGAATGTCGGCAATAAATCTTCCTCGCTGATTTCACGCGGTGGATTGCTGCCCCCTGCAAAATATTAAAAACAAAAAATATGGAAATAAAAGTCTCCTTGAATTAAATTGATTGAGCAGCAGCGATCAAGACAGCGCGATACGTAGGGGTTTAAGAAATTACTTTGTGCAGCCCATCATGGGAAAAGTCGACATTCTGTAGTAGTGAAAACACATATTCATATTGCAAGAGACGATGAGGACTAGTATTTCTTTTAGCTTTTGTTTCTGGATGAGTACGTTAGGAATATTGGTCGAAAGAAAGTACTATGCAGGCAGGCGACTCTTAAGACGAACATTTAAGCGGCCCATTCGAGGCGCTTGGTGGCGCTTGTTGGCCTATCGTGAATCACTCTGATCCCTCCTAGCAATAAACATTTGCCCACAGTTAACTGAAGTCTCTTTCGCGAGTTATAAACCCTTCCAACAGACACCGGGTCACAGAATGCACAATTCAGTCGTGAATTTCTATACGCTCGAGGACAATGCTTTTGTGTTTCCCTTTGTCCCTGTAATATTACACTCTCCCGTAGACTAAGTACATAACCGTATGTGTGTATGTCCTCTATCATACAAAGCCACACATAGTACATGTACATTTTGACATGAACACGTGGACAGTGGACAGGCACCGCATGCCAAACTAGGACATGAGGTTGTTCGTCCAGCGCTTGACGTATAGTACCACTCGACCCACCTGCAAAATCGTTGTGATCCCGTATGACTTCCCAGTTGCTCTTGCTATTGCACAGCCGGTTGTGCTTGTTGGGCGCGTCTGAATTATGCTGCTGATCCCGTTCCTCGGTGTCATCACAGAAATTGGTTATCTAGTGGTGGAGATTATTGACGAAGAGGAACAAAAATTTAAAGAAAAAGTGCCCTAAAAACATCAGTACCACTCACCAAAATATAGATACCGTATCGTTTTAATTTTACACAACATTTTTTCCAATGTCATATGGTGCAGCATTTTTGAAAATTTCGCCGAGTTCGAGAAGTTGAGATCGTTTTGTTACAATTCTAAAATAAAACCCATCAAATCAGGTTTTCCTCAGAAAGATTCATCTTCCCTGGACTAGCGTTATATGACACTCAAGTCAGAGGTTGGAGACTCACAGGATCGAGAGGGTACGTGCCGAACATGATGGAGGAAGTGACGTCACTCTGGTCCGTCAGCACGAAGAACACGCAGCCATCCTCGTACCCAACATACGGATTGCCGGCACAGTCACGGTAGGAAAAGCTCTCGGGAAGGAAGATCAGCGGCCGGCCGTTGTAATCATAGGAACATCTAGAGGAGACAGGGAACGAGGATTTTCAACCAGATAGCCATTGTTGAATATTTTGAACATTCTAATTCAAATTTCTATTTCTATTTAAATTTTTATCAGCCTCGACTCCATGGGCGCGTTAAGATCGCGCAAGGCATGATGGGAACCAAAATGGCGAAGCAAGATCGTACCCATGGAAACGAGGTTGAATTGTTACGACACCACAAAAATATTTATGTTGTATGTTTGAATGGACTTTTTTAAATTTTCAATCCAATCAGCTTTCTCCCCTCGAGTAGTAGAAATGTTCATAAACTTACTGCTGTCAACATACCTAACTCCTTCGAATTGTTGTGCAAGTGGCGAATAGTAGAATTCTTGGTAATAATCGGGATCTCCTACAGCATCCGGGTACTCGTCGAATAACCCCCAGCGAAGATGACCCCACTCATGCACGAGAGTACGCCCTGATATTTTTTAGGGAGAAAAAAAGGAAAATGGGTAACTCGTTTCCAAAGTCGGGGTACCTATTCGTTAAATCTTAAAGAAGGAACTTATGAAGGAAAACACGGCTGTTATTTGATTTGATAATGGAAATAAAGAGCTTGAAGAAAGTCTCAAAGATAACTATAATGTTATGTTATGTTATGTTATGTTTTATTCCACAAATAGGAACAACCCCCATAACCCCTGGGAAGGGTTACAACAGTAAAATTGAACATTAAATTATTTGGCAGGTGGGTTAACCAAGAATATGCTTGAAAATTACGTCATGCTTTGCCTCTCTTTAAGTTTTGTACATTGGAAAACAAATTTAGCTACTCATATAATAGTATGTTTATCTTCTATGATTTATGATTTATAATCAAAGAAGATTTTTTCTTATTTCTGGTACTGCAACAAGGGTTCCGCAAAATGTATATCAGCTCTCTAGCTCAGACGCCTGGGGAAACATAGTTCTGGGGAAAAATCTGGGGGGGGGGGAGATGTTAAGCGTAATTGGTGGGGAAAAAAAATCGAGAAATGTTATTCGAGGAAGAACCAACAGAGTCCTGCATTGAATGAAAATGATACTCCAACTATCAACCTGGGTGTGATCGACCCGCTCAGAGGGATAGAAGATGAGGAAAGTAGTACCACGCACAAATGCAATTATTCACGTGGTTTATAGTGACTTACCAAGGGGTCCGTAGTAAAGCTCCGTGTTCTCATCGGTCAGAAAGGCGTCCAGGAAGTGGATGTGAACCCCCTGCCGACCGCAACCCTCGTACTGCTTGGTGTACTGCAGCGGGGCCCAGCGCGTATTGGGCGGAGCCACGATGACGTCAGCATTGTCAAAGGTCAACCCGCCCGGGAGCTTGTACTCGGGACTGCTGGCCCATGTCTTGGGTATGAGGATGGTAACATTTCGGAAGTAGGCCCGTTTCTGCGTGGCTTGGTAGAGGTACTTCGAGGCCTCTGTGAACATGTACTGTGTGCCAACAGAATAAGAAATGTCACTTTCCGTCCTAAATAAGGTTTAAGCCTGTGCTGAAGAGTAGTAAAACTATTGGAATGTAGCATATAGTGTACTCAGTTTTCAATGTCTACACCGGCACCAGAACCATCGTATTTCTCAGGTTCTATAGTAGCTGTTTTAGCAGTGGTGTGGCTGCATGGGCTCGCATGATGCAGGATACTGCCACGAGCTCATGGCCCAAGTCCGCCTAACCATGGGCGTCGCCGGGATTTTTCTAGAAGGGGGCAAAACACATTATTTCCCAAAACCCTGTACTTTCTCTAGTATATTCTCAATTTCGAGGGTGGGTGGGGGAGGGGAACATTTGCCCACCCCACCCCATTGACACCCCGACGGACGCCGATCTTGTTAAATGTGCATGAAATTAACAGGAATGTAACTTCGCACCTCCTTGAGTTCTTCTTTTTTCTTCTTTTTTTTTTCTATATTTTTCTTTTTCGGGGGGGGGGGGGGCCTTGCCCTATCATGGCGACGCCCATGGGCCTGACTTGAATTTACTGCATAACAAAGACTAGCTTGACCACACTGATGGGATCAACTCTAAAAAAAAGTCATATTGTCCTATGCTGGAGTGCATTATCTATGAAGTGCTAAAAATTAAGTTAACTAGCCTGCACACATTTATAAAGGCAATTGGTTTTTGACTCGGGAAACTAACCTTGATTCGGTCAATCAGTGCCTGATCTTCACTCACTCTGTTGTGAATTGCCACGGTGATGCCGGAGTAACCATTGTCCACGAATTCAATGAATGAAGGTCGTGTCAACGAGTCTGCGCACTGGCTCACGGAGAATACGATCAGCACTATGGTAACCCACTTGATTCCTGCCATGGTGCCTGATAAAAAATAAAACACGCAATGACAAAAAAACACAGTTTTATTGCAAATTATCGCATATTGTTTTATGGTTTCATAAAGTCCAGGACATGTTACATTCACCTTTACCAAACACGCTCTAGAACATGGAAAATGAACGATATGTGTTCACAATCAGGAATAGACCACGTCACATTAGTTTACGAAATTTGAACTGCACGGATAGAACTTGAAATATAAGTGGTTTAAAAGTGTTCACATAAAATGGTTAATGTAACCGAACTAGTATGCAAAAGATGCATACATGTTAAATGGGTTCCTGTCTGTATGACGTCACAGGTAACATCGTCTATAGACCAACGTTTGAACTTATTGCATACTACGTAATTCGGTAACAAAGGTCGAAATTGTATAAAAGCCTGGTTCCGAATTCACATTAAAACCAAACATTTATTTTGGTTCCCTTTCAAATTTAAGCTGTCACCATGACCCCTTTATTTTCAAAGTGACAGTTGGCATAGGCCTGCTGTATTTTTATTCAATCATCAATACAATTATTGAATCACATATACTTCGGAAAGTAATTTTTAATTTTGAAGAGTAAATTTATGCCTGTAGCTAATTTTGTTGTGATAATAACAGTAATAATAATCTTTATAAAGTGCACGTATCCATCAATGTTGGTGCTCATGCAAGGCGCTACATCATTGTAACCCTGCTGATTGGGCCAAAGAAACATTCCAAATATCATCTCAGCTCCCTGGGGAGTATATACAGCTTGATGCTGCCATTTCGGCGCAAAGCAGCCAAAATAAATCACAATAACCATCTCTGCCCTCCCACAGGTGCTCACTTACTCCTGGGTGAGGAGAAGCAATGAGTGACAAAGTGCCTTACCCTGGGGTACACACCCGAACCCATCGTTGGGCCTTTTTGAAGCTAGAACTTGGACCTTTTCGTGACCTTTCACATGCTTGCGACGAAAGTCTTGCCATTTTAATCATCAAACGTCACATTGAAACTCGTTATAAGTTCCGTACAAAACACTTTAGGCCTGTCCACCCTATAATTATTAGAAGTTTTAGTTAATTCTGATAGTTATGGACATGGACAGGTTGAACGGACATTTAAACTTGAGGTGGTCGTTCGATACCCATGCCCAGACACTTCCTTTTCGTCGGGCCTGAGCTTTAAACTGATTCATGCATGCTCAGCTCACTGAGAAATTTTAGATAAATTAAAAAAAAAAAACAATCGCTGCTCAATTATTAATATTTCCTACCCGTAAAAGTGCCCGGAATTGTCGGTCAAATATACCTCTCTGTCGTGACAGTCAGCTTGTGCGGCGAGGAATCCTACGATAACAGAGTTTGGTATACGTGCGAAATGGTGTGCGACAAAGCTGTACTGCGAAGGCCGGCGTCAATATCATCGAAGCAATACAAGTTCAGAGTAAATAGCTTGCCACCGCCTCACTTGACATTTGAACCAGGATACCTGTTCTCTTCTGAGCACAGCCAGGTGAGAATGACGTTTAAAACTTTGCAAAATGACCCAGTAAAAACAAGCCCTCATGAAATTTAAAAATACATGCCTAGCAATATTTGGGTAGGCCTAAATGCCAAATGCGTCGTCAAGTGTTGGTTTCAGTTGTGCAAACATCAAACACAAACTTGTGACCTCAATGAGTTTGGATAAGTACAGTTTAGTGCTCATTCGTGACTTTCTCACTTGATATCGTTGTAAGACTATTGTATTTTGTCATTTGAATACGAAATATAAACATGAGATGATTTAAACATTGAGTTAAACACAAAAAACTGCTTAGCATGAAAACAATGGTAAGCATCAACAGGTTTACCAAGATACCATGTGACGTGAGGTCTGTACTCCCTGTGACTGATTCCTAGTATCTTTTTTATTTTCATTTAAATTGAATAATAACCACCAATTGTTGAGTGTATCTGCTGAATGATAAGTCGCGATAAAAATGATTGATACCCTAAAATAGAAGTTGGACAATCCGCATTACGGATTGCATTGTTTGTGCATTGGTCAATAGAACTGGAAAGTGCCATTGAACCATTGTATCCCGGAAACAACTGAGCACTTATATCGTGCGGGTTGTCAATCTTTCAAACTTAGGTACAGGTACAGGTGCTTAGCAGATGGTAGTCTTTCGCCAAGGACTATATGGTTTAGCCAATGATTAGACAAGAGCTAGCGCGGCAAAGTGACTAGAGTGGAGACCAGTTCAGCGCGCACGATCGAGTGCCGAAGCCACCGTCACTCGAAACTGTGGTCTTCACTCTAGTTGCTTTGCGTTTTCGCAAGCTAAGCCACGATGGCCTTAGCGAAAGGCTAAGCAGATGGGCACGTCGGAATTTACAGGCCAAACCAAAGATAATAATAAACTTTACAATTAAATGTCGCTATCTGTTGTTGACAGCCTCTGTTGTATGGGATATCTTCACAATGGATGCCAAACTGCATTGTCTTCCTTAAAAATTATTACAAAGTTTGCGCAATGTAAACGATAATGCACAACTGAAAGATATGTTTGATTAAATGGTTATTTATATGGCTATTGAGTAAAGACCAAAAAAGAGTCCGGGGCTACAATTAAGACAGTTTAATTATACATTGTATAAAACAATGTTAATAGCCACGATATACGAAATACAAGTACCAACATCTACAACTAATTTAGCGTCACATTATATATAAATTATATGATTTGAACTTTGCAGATATTTTCCCTATACCCATAGGCATAACGTTTACAAATAAGTCGTATTTGCCTTTGTGAAGTATGCAGGACACAAGAGGGCGCTTTTTTGAAAGAGAAAACTCCAAAATCACCCTGCCACATGTATTGTGTTCGCCGTACTCAAAAAGGGCTAACGCTTTTTTACATATTTACATATGTATATACTGGTATATGAATCATATTGTTTTAAAAAAAGCTTTACATTATTGAGATACTGGTATTTCAGACACATGTGTATATGTTGAAGTTGCAACAAACGTCTAGATAACTCTTTGCCCCTCTAATGAGACCTGGGCCATCTTTCAACTCCATGTTTTAGTCAGCTTCAGTGTCGTTGCCGGATCGTGGCCCCTGTGAACAAGAAAAAGATAATATTGTGACTATTGAGTGGTTGTTATCCCCATGAGAAAATGGTGATCAGTTAAATAATTAAAACAAATCCTTATTTACCTTAAATTAGAGGTATACAACTGTAAATGATTGAATTAATTTCGATGATACCATACCAAGAACATTATACCTTCTTGTTGTTAGCATTGTTGTTTCCGAAAATGTTAGCATTCTTTCCGAAAGGTGCAGCCACGGGGGGCTCGATCTGATGGGCGCCTTCCTTGGACGGGGTAGGACCCTGCTCCCTGCGTAACTCCGTAAACTCCATATTCAGGTCACCGACAAACTTAGCGAGCTCTGCCTTGTCCTCCTTCAGTCTCTGGAGGCTGTTCAGAAGAGAACGTTTCTCCTCTTGGAACCCACGAATGACGTCGTTCAACTCAGCCTCCTGGCGTTCCTTCTCCTTTATCTCTTCCAACCGAGAGTTTGTCAACTCCTTGATTTCGGAACGCAGAGCAGCTACGTTGTCCTCAAGCTTTGAGGAGCTTTGCTCTAATTTTGCAGTCCCTTCGCCGAGCTCGCTCACCTGTCTCGACAGCTGGTCCCTCTCTTGGCGCACTCCGCGGAGATTGTCTTCAAGACATGATACGTCTGCCTGGAGTCGACTGTTGAGCTCTTTAAGATTCTCCCTTTCGTGGTCACGTTCCGTCAATTCGGCCGAGTGGAGGGTCTTCAGATGCTCAATCTCCTCTTGCAGTCTGGTCACAGCTTTCTTCAGCGTGGAAGATTCCGCGTGCAAAATGTCTGCCTCTTCGCGGAGCTGGTTTACTGTTTGTGTCAGTTCTTCTTCATTTTCATCAAGTTCGGAGACAGTTTCTTTCAGAGCTGTGTTCTCTTTTTGGAGCCTGCCAATATCGTCTGCCAGCTTCGCGTTCTGCTGGTCTCTCGTCCACAATTCTCCTATGTGGGTGCTTTTAATCTCCTCGATCCTAAACTGGAGTGCTACCAAATCATCTCTCGATTCTGAACACTCTTTCTCTAAACGAGCCTTGTCTTCGCCAAGCCGTTCGACATTATCGTTTAGGGTTCTGTTTTTTTCTTGAAGGTCGCTGATAGTCTTGTTCAGTTTGGCTTCCTTGGTGTTTTTGGCTACCATCTCCTTCGCGTGGCTTCCAGTAAGATTCTCTATCTCTACTTTGTGAGCTGCTATCGTGTACGATAGTGTTGATGGGTTCCCCTTTGGGCTTGTCTTTTTGCTAAGATCAGCCACTTTATTTTCGAGATCAGCTTTCTCTTGCTCCAAAGCCGGTACCTTGTCCGACAGGAATTTGTTCTCTTCTCGGAGATTTAGAATAGCATCTGTTAACTCTTCTTCTTTTTTATCTCTCGCAGTCAGTTCCTTCCCGTGCCTGATTTCGAGGTCGCCAATCTTATCGTGGAGCTCAGTCACTTTAAATTCGAGATCATCTTTCGTTTGGCTCAAAGTCTGTACCTTGTCTGTCAGGCATTTGGAATCTTCCTGGAGATTAAGAATAGTTTCAGTAAGTTGTTCTTCTTTCTTGTCCCTCGCCGCCAGTTCCTCACTGTGTTTAGCTCCTAGCTGTTCGATCTCATCTTGGAGTCCGCCTATGGTGCCATTCAGCTCAAGGATGGTGTTATTCAGGCCAGTCTCAAGCCGATCTCTCCTTCCGACCTCGGCCAGGTGGCTGCTGATGAGGTCTGCGATCTCGCCCCGGAGTTTAGCAATTGTGTCCCTCATCTTGGCCGCGTCCTTATCCCTTTCAGAGATCTCGACCTCCTGGGTCTGCTTTAGAGTGCCGGTCTCATCAAAGAGGGTGGCAGCGCGGTCTGTCAGGTGGCTTGAATGATCGAGGAGCTCCTCGGCCCGGACGTCTATAGGGCGTAAATCATCCAACTTTTGATGCACCGTCGAGGTCTTCTCATTGGTTACACCCAGAACGCTGTCCAGGTGTTTCAGTCGGTCCTGGACATTGAATCTGTAATGAATATTAACATCCTGCATTGACATCATTTCAAAGTCAGAGTTTTATGAAGCCATCACAAGTTAAGTACAAGTTATCTACCCTCATCTTGCCTCTAAATGCAAATTGTTTCAAGCCTCAAGCTGTGGAGTTACTGGTCTCTGATTTGTATAGGGTGGGGTTTTTAGGGTGACTAATTTTAGAGGGCCCTCAATGGGTTTTTAATACATTAAAAAAACAACTAAATTTTGCTTCTCCCCAAAATTTATGAGCGTGGAGGGGGACAAAAGGGGGGGGGGGCATGGGAAGGACCTCCAGTGGGGTTGGGGGAGGGGTTGCCCCCATGCCCCGTTAGTTAACAAACTCTTCATTTTTGACGACTTCCGTCATTTTGACGACTTCCATAGTAAATACTTACTTGAATGCCAGGATGTCGTTCCTCAGCGTCTGAAGGTCCCTCGGTCGAGCGTTCTCGTTATTCTGCGACTCCGTGGATAAGTTGGCCTGGATGTAGCGGTGACTCACGAGCTGAAGCACTCGCTGAGGAGTTAACACACGTTGAGGGTTATTCAAGCCGAAAAATATTGCATGCTGTCTGTTGTGTTTTTCGTCACACCCACCAACCTCAATTAGAAGGTTGTATCGAGGCGGGAACCTCTCCTTGCGTAGCAGGTGTTCTTAAATTTGAGGTGGGCATGCATTGTGGCTGCACGTGAGGCCTTCGCAAGTTTGGTGCCTACATATTACTTTATTAATTATTTCGTATGACTGAGATAGTTATGTCATGATAATTATGGACGTCATACTTACGTCATAATCGTCTATTTCTTTCCTGGAGTGGATTTCTTTCTGAAATTTTAAGGAAAGCGAACGTTTTATTCCACTTTATGCACTAACATACATTTTGTTTCAATTTCCCAAATGATGAAAGTTGGCAACATTGTTATAAGGATTAGAATGCTACGCTCGAAGATCCATTATCGACACAAATTAGAATATAAGGCTTCATATGATAGTAATTGTCTCTAATACTTTTCCATTCATCTATTAACTGACAATTCTATCGAAACGTACCCGGTTGACCGGTTTGCGCCTCAACCCGACGATGTACAAGTAGATACGATAGAGGGTCTTGAGAGATGGGATCAGGTTGAAGGGAGGCGGGAGTGTTCCCACGGGTCGCAGGTAGGAGGCCCAGACAGCGGCACGGTGAAACTTCCACTCCGTGTCAGCATTTTCCTTTCATAACAGAAGCAAGGTAGTCCTTACAAGTATGTCTTTATTTGTTTCTATGAGGATCCGAAAACTTTCTACAATCGAGTTTATAGAAACCTGTACAAGCTTTACATTCACTGTGTGGACTTCCGAACAAAAGATGTCCACATAAACCAGGTAGCAGCGACGTTGTGTGGACTTGCCCACGTCCACAATCCTCCTCTCTGGAAACAGGTTCAGAGGTATCTTTGGGTTATATTTATGTGTGGCAAAATGAAGAGAAACACTAAAGGGAATCAAAAAAAAATTGGGTTGAAAGAGTTTTCAAAGTGTGAGGAATTTTTTTTTTCACAGGTTTTTCTCAATTACAGGAAAACAAAGGAATGTCCGCACTAGGTATGTGACGTAAACATGGGTGTGGCTGATGGTGCATGTTTCCTTGGACATTCCATAATTTTACTTAAGCAAATTTGTAAGCATTGCTCGCTGTACCGTAAGTTTACAGTTACATTACCTAACTGCCCTTATTGACGAGAATTCTTTTTTTGGGGGGGGGGGGACTGCGAGCTGAAAACCATGATTTCATTTTCTTTCAAGGCACGATTGGAAGACGAAATACACGCCGTGAATAGTCACCAGTATATTTTTCATACCAAAGCTCTTAAAACACCATAGACAAAAACATAATCATTGATATACCTCTGTGCGATTGTACGTGTTGGACAGCATACCGATGAGGGCGTTCAACAGGACTAACACAGCCACAATCAGATAGCCGATGAACAGGAATGTGCCCACGCCCTCAGCGACCGAGTGCTTACCAGGCAGCTGAAATACATCGATCCCTATAAAACCGTAGAGCGACCAGTAGAGATCCTTCACGCTGGACAGGAACCTGTGGGGATTTCAAGAACACAACGAAGGTGGCGTATATGAAATCTGAACTCCGGTGAAAATGAATTCCACTTTTACCCTGTACTAAAATATCAGCCTAACTTGTGTCAGTGAGTTCTCACTGTACTATGGCCTATTCTGTGCGTCCGTTCTTATATGGTATTTTGAACATTATAAAGTCGAAAGGACGTCATTTTGTACCATTTCGTTAGCAGATTGCAAAGGTGACACATCTTGCCATTTAAGGGGTCTTTGCCCAGGGAAACAGATTCCATGTTGTACTACAGGAAGCCGAGATTTGAGGAATGTCTTTATTTTTCGAAACGTATCGGAGGTACATGTAAGGTTTGTTCAATACAAAATGTAAAGGCATACTCACGTAGAAAAACCCACGAGTAATTGGCAACTTGCCGGCTCCTCCCCCTGTTCGATGCAGGATCTTGTAGCTGACTGACCTGCTGAGTAGAAGTTCTGGAACAAACCGATGGCAAAGGCAATCCAAATAATCAGGAAGATGCCACAAAACTTGATGATGTCCCCTGTCATGTTACCTAGAGAGATGCGAAGCGGGCCCACGAAGTTACTAACGAGAAGAAGGTTCAGCATGCACAGGACTGCAACAGTGATGGTCACTCCGAACAAAGCACCAGCAACAATGCTGGGATCGAACGGACTCAGCCCAATGGTTTCTTCGAGTTCGTGCAAATGGTCTTGAAACGAGGACCCCACGTCCATTGACGGGCTACTCAAGGCGGTCTCGGTAGGGCCTCGGGGTCGGCAGCCAGACAACGCCTTTAACAGGATCCCATCTACGCCTCTGACTAACGAGTCATTCAGCTTTCCTCTGAGCTTGTTCACAGCTGATGTCACGTGATCCTGCAGATCATGCAGGTCTTGGTTGCTAAATGTATCTCGTACAGAGCGAGGCATTGGATTGTCATCAGGGGCCTGCAAGAATAAAATCCTCATTTTTTCAGATTTCTTTATTATTCAACTTCAGGCAGGGGCAGAATACTTTTGCCCAATTGGCCGCTGTTGAAAGCAGACGAGACCGGATTTTATCGGTCAATAGGTGGCGCCATTCTTAGTGGCTGAGAAACACACAATTCTGTTGCCAGGTAAATGATTTTGCCCGCAGAAAAAAACACCCTTCTTGCGACGCCCATGGCTGGAAAAGAGAGATTAACTTTTTTTTGCGAACCACAAGGTGGCGCTCCAACACATTCCCAATGTGTTTGACAATCTGCGAACTTACCTCACCGCCCCCGCTGAGCTGGAGGATAAAGACAGTAAAGTATAGCACCATGATTGCCAGTTCGTGTAGATTTACGCTGTCACCGACGTAATGGCCACATCCATACTTCGCTATCATCTTGATGTGTAACCAGGCTAAACCTAAAAGCCAAATGTAGAGGTCATCAAGTAATGTTATTGTTTTGACAATGCAAGCAGGGCTAAAAGACTAAACTCACCCAGTCAAACTGGACCTGAAAGTTTCATGCAGGTTAGGACATAATGTGTCAGTCAGTCAGTCAGTCTGTGACTCAGTCATTTAGAAGACAAAGGCTGGCCCTTCGGGTGCAGCCAAACAAAAAATGTAGGTGTTACTATGGAAAGTGACCACGTGAGATATCTCTCATAATATACTTTTGTAACCCGTGAGGAAATTACACAAACTCAACGAAATGCAGTAGTCACTGTGCATGTGGCGCTGGGTTTCTCTTTTACCACTCACCTATGACCCACACCAACATGAAGTTGTGAAGTAGCTCCACAGTGCGAGGGTGGGTGTGCTTATCGGCGACGGTACCTATGACGATGAAGAGTAAAAACGTGAAGCCAGATCCCGCCTTCATCATCATCATGACGTAACTGGAAATGAAAATGTCACGAAGCTCTTACTATTTACTAGCATTATTATTATCATTATTATTATTGTATTTATTTTAATTCTGGTAATGAAACCAACGATTCCTTAAAAGTACCCTAAGCACTTGTAGCTCGAAAGCCTGAAGAATCCTTTTGAGAGAAGTCAATGAAAAGAAATTACAGTTTTAGAGGTTGGAGGAAAAACCCAGAGGATTATTCTGAGGAAAACCCACGGAATCAGGCACGGACTGAAAACCCAATCCATATTGTCCCGGGCGGGACTCGAACCTGGGTCACAGCGGTGAAAGGCGAGGGAAGTACCACTACGCCAACCTGAGCATGAAAATAATTGCCTTGTCAAATTATATGCCAGAGTATCCCGAGAAATCGAGTCCATCACAAGTCCATCACAAATCCACTCACAAGTAATTCACGAGTCCAGTCACAAGTCCAGTCGCAAGAATCAATGGAAGAACAATAGCCTTTGTTCATTTGAATATAGCTTGTGACTTGACATTGGACTGGGGGACTTGTGATGGACTTGCAGGTGACGAGTCGATTACATCCCTGTTATAAGCTTAGCTAATATTTCTAAGATCAGTCACAAGTTTTCTGTATGATCATTTGGCTTGTAACCTGTTTTGTGCCTTGGAAATACCTGAGCCTTGATATGGACCTTTGTGGGTCAAGGAACGAGATTGTAAAAATCTGGATAGCCCATCGGCTGTTTGAAGTGAAGTCACCGTCCGCCATATTAATACCCCAAGAAAAAATAGATTTGCCAAAAAAATCATTGTAATTTCATTAACATGAACACGTTTTGCTCAACGATTTTTTTTCTTTCAAAATAATTTAAAGGGCAATAAAAAAAAAAAAAAACTTTCTGTTTAGAAAAAAAAATGCAGTTTTAAATACTTTTAGACGACCCAATTTTAACTTTTTTTGAACAATGGGAGTGGTTGAGGCTGGTTCCCTCTCCACATTTGAATGGAGGGATCGGGAACCAGTGTGTGGCTTCACCTTTTGCACAGCTCAGAATGGCCGACAAGCTATCCGGATATTTTACAGGGAGATATATTAAGTGAATTGTACCTATAAGAATATCCATATACTCACGGGAGCCGCGCGAATTGGACCACTCGCCGCGTGGGCACGAAAATGTAGAGGAGGCAGATGATGGGGTAGCCCAGCAAGACGAAGAGGATGAGGAGGACCTGGTAGAGCAAACCTCGCTCGTTCCAGTCCAGGAGATTCCTGTAGAACTGCACTATGATTGCCTTCTGGGAATGAGGGTGAGCTATGAACTGAAGATAGACAAGAAGGACACCAAATTTTGGGTGCTGATTGAAGCTACATGATATTGAAACCAAGCCAGAAAGGAGCCCTATATTCTACACGTTGCCGACAGCGAGTTCAGATTCTGCCAGTGTTATTGTGTGCTGGTTATGTGATTACATTCCCCAGAGAAGAATTTGTCCGCAACAATTTAATTTAAGTTTAAAGGTAGAGTAGATCATTTGCATCTATTCAAAAAGCAACTGGCCAAAGAGTATTGGTTTAAAGATAGTAGTGGCACTAAACTCCCTGTGAACTTATTCCTTCTGGCATGCTGGAACTCATCATTTTGTGGTATTCAACAATTATTCATCAAAACTAGTCAGGCAAAGACAAAAAAATAAGAAAGACATCCGACCTCTTTCTGCTGGTGTTTGATGGCTTCAAACAGTTTAGCCAATGGATGTTGCTTGCCTTCCACGTCACGGTACTTGTCTGTGTTGTGGTATCGGAACAGGGCCAGGATCTGATGAGAAGGCACAATGAGAACGTATTGAACGAAGGCTTGTGTGCAGCCAACCATAGTTTATCACAAACCATCACAAGTCATCGGATGTCATCACAATCATCATAAGGCAATCACAAGGTATTTGATATCAAGACAAAAGGCAAACTATTCAAATGACGTCATTGCTAAAGGCACTGTTATTGCTATTGTTCGTTCCATTCACTGTTCATTGACCTCGGATAATCTGATTGATTTGACAACTGAGATGTATAGATGATGTAAAGATCTCTAGTACACTCTAAATAGTCCCCGGACAGATTGCCTTGACTGTCATCAGGAGATGAGCGTCTCATGATAGTCGCAGAATGGCGACAGAAAAGCCGAGCTTGCACCCTGGCTTCTCTAAGAAGCCCCTCTCTCTTTTTTTATAACCATTGTCACAATTGGTGTACAGCTAACTCATCTCAATTTAAAAACCAAATAGGCCAATAAAATCCGGCAACTCACCTCTTCAGTAGAGCTAGACTCCCCCAGTAGCTCCCCAGCAAAGACCTCCACGCTGCGGGCCATCTGCTCGTACTCGGCCCCGAAGTCCTCCCACGTCTTGCTAAGCGTCTTCAATTTGGCGCTCATCTGGAAGGCGTGGCCGAAGATGTCTGTCTGGGTGGCCAGCATGTATGCGGGCTGGGAGAGGGCGCGGTAGATGTGGAGGGTAGAGATGGCCTGGGTCAGGGTCACGTCGCCTCCTTGAGACAGCGAGGGCTCGGTGATTCTGGCACCGAGATCAATGAGCAGCTGTTGGTGTAGGCCATGAGATGTATTCTTACTCTTGCGGTTGCCTTGAAAGTATTTTAGCCCTGAAGGCCAAAGTGCTCCGTTTTGATGTCAGAGTATATTTTTTTTGGATTCCCCATTAACTTTATGTTCGGTGTTTTCTTTTTCGGCTTTGGATGATCCGGAACTCAAAAAACATTATGTTTAAAGTGGAGTGGTATCTGAGCATTGCGATTGGTGAAAAATTGGTCTGGTCAAGATTCTTCATTGCTGTACAAAAAGAGTCATAATCAAGCCATCACGAGACGATGAGTCATCCAGTCTCGAGTCACGACAAGCCACTCAAATGAGCTATGATAAAGGGTTTTTGTTTAATAGCCGTTGTTATGTCATCATCTCTTTTTATGACACCGAACATTTCACCTTACTTGTGATTAAATCACTGATTTGATTTGTGACCAACTTAATTCTACCTAAATTACAACTCTGGTTGTTGTCTCATCAATCCTATCCCGTTTCTTTTTTACTGCGACCAACTTCGTCTCTCTCCCTTTCAGCTGTTTTCTTTTCACAATTTTGGTTTCATGAAAACTTCATTTCACGAACTCTTAATTTAAACTAACACGCATGATCTAAGTACCTTCACCGTGCTGAAGTTATTCCTCTGAGCAGCCAGAATCAGAGGCGTGACAGCAGGATGGAAATCATCATTGTCACTGGTACCCGTCAGAACGTCCTCTCGAATATCCTAAAAGATGAAGGAAAAAACTTGATTAGAATATGGAATATCCCCTTGTACAGCATGCGAGCAGATTCCGTGATTAACTATGCAAACAAATCTGTGTCTATTAAGCTTGACCTCGAGATTCTGACTATTCATCAGCGGACGCCTTCTTAACTGGTCTTCGGTATTAACCGTTGTTTTATTACAAAAACTTGGCATCCAAAGTGGCCAATCAACAGCTTAGTCCACAATTCTGATCGAAATGACGTCATGTTTCTAAACTCGACTCCGGATTGGATGGCGCGCGGGGTTGCATAAAATTCGCATATGTTAGAATATATCAGACGTTCTACCGTTGCTCGGTACACGTCCTAAGACTAAACGGGTCTATCAAAAAGGGGGTAATCGATGAAGTACGCGAGTTGGAATTTGAATGAAAGCTGGAATTCATTAACTGCCATTTCCTTTTTAGACTAACTACCTTCTTTTTACCCAGTATTACTGGCAAGCAGAACGTGGCAACCAAATAACTTAGACAAACAAGCAAGCATCCACGCAAACAAGTAGAGAAGACCATTATTATTGTTGTCAATGTTTCATTGTTTTCGTTTGAAGCAACAAAAGTGCTCAAAATCTAAAGATGGATGCTTAACAACTAACATGGTGAAGTGTTAGCTCTGTGAATGCTGTATCGTTTGAGAAAACACAATATTCTGGATCTCAATTTCAATTCAAAAGTTGCTGAGTCATGAAACAATCCCAAAATCAGCATTCGGGTCATGATTCTCATTCAGCCGACTGTTGCTGAATGATGTAACACACTGAATTCACGAACCGACGATTCTCGCCGATAATAACAACGCGCTTGCACCCATTCACGGATTCGCCCAATCACAAACCAGTTAACTGAAAACAGACATTTCCAAAAATGGGTCACTTGACGCATCTTTGGGAATGACCCTTTTTATTATTTTCTTCAAAATGACATGATGTCAGAAGGAATAATTTCACAGGGAGTTTAGTGTCATTACTATATCTTGAACCAAGTAAGCTTTTTTAACAATAATTTGTTCGGTTATATACTTTTTGGATACTTAGATGCAAATGGTTTACTCTACCTTCAAACATAAGAAACACAAAACAAAAGCTAAATGTTCACCAGAATATTTTTGGTCCCATAAGGCTGAGTCAAGTGCTCTCTTTGTAGCAATGTCACTGACTGTCACTTAATTGTGACTTAGACAGTTAAGCCCACCTTGGACAGAACTAGAACCCTTAGGACCCCCCAAACCTTAACCCAAATCCCTCAGACCCCATTGGTTTCGAGCCACTTTTACTAGGCTATTTTTTTTCTTTAATCAAATACATGAATCACAACCGCGTTAACCCAGTAAATTTATCACCATGAACATGTCAGTTCGAACAAAAATGGCCGAACTTGTCTGTAACTACATGCATACAGACGAAAAATGCATACAAAATGCCCGCATACTCAGTCAAGCTAACGTTCTTTACGAATCAACACAATTAATGTTCAAGGCCAAAGCACAATTCTTCTTCTGTTGTGGCTGTCTGCCGAAAAACCAGTAATCCTCAAACAGGAGTTTCTGCAAACAGCCACGTCACAAATGAAATGAACGTGCACTCTAAAAAGGCATTCAACTGAAATCACCTTTGTCAAATTCATGAACGCCTAAAATGGCATACTTCCCACAGCGCGGTCTTTAGAGCGAATTCGTTGAACCGAATTCAGTACATAAGGGCACCAGAATCTTTCGGAAGCGACATCGAGGTAACGCGCTATAGCAGATTGCTGGGCTTAAATTTGCATTTTGGGTTCCAACCAAAGATCTTTGGCGGAGCCAGGAGGGGTGTGCGCAGGGGCGGCGCAATAATAAAATTGTGCCCCTCTCGAGATGGAAAATTGGCCCCTAAAAATAAAAGTGCTCTTCCCGCGAATAAAATTGTCACTGAACTGGCCATCAAAAGCAACAGTGCTCCTCTCGCGATAACAAAAAATGGTCTTGCTAGATAACTATAGGTAAAAGAAACACAGGAGCAAGATTGAAAACGTATTCATAATTTGTTCCTTGTCATATAGGTTTATTGTGAAATGAACAGGACCATATTCTTTTCCTCCACTTTCACACTGACGGAAGGTGCCCCTTTTTCTGAGCATAGTGCCCCTTTTGGTGTTGCCCCCCCCCCAGTTTGAAAAGCGTTCCGCCGCCCCTGGGTGTGTGTGCGTGTTCATGGTGTAAATCGAGGACACACACGTGCACCATCATCGATGAATTGAGGACAGGAACCAAATCGAGGACGACCTCGATTAGAAAACGCGCACAAAACCAACGAGAGCTGTTGCAAAAAAGTTAAGAGTATAAGCAAAGGAAAAAGGAAGAGGAACAATAGAAAATCCTCCATTTACACCATAGACATGGGTGTGTTTGTGTGTGTGGGTGGGGGGGGGGGAGGAGGGGTGGTCATTGGGGGGATCAAACCCCGTCTTTGTTTTTGTTTTTTAGCCCCTCAGCAACCCCCTTCACTCCCTTCCTCCACTTTTCAGCAAACACTGTGGTTCCATTGGGGAAAAAAAGCATGTTTGAAATTCTTCCCCTGTTTGATTTCTTCATCTTCACTAGTCGTGTCATATATTGTGTCTTTGGACCATCCCATCCTCTAGTTTTAATCTAACAAAAATTATAGAAAATAAACAAACTGTTCATAGTTAAAGTCAAACACGTAGTACACAATACAATCACTGATACGACTTCATTGCTTGCCATTGCGGCAGCCAATCCGAGTATGAAGCCACTTATTCTCCAAGGTTCTTCTTGTAGGACCAGGGTTTATTAATTAAATGGACTATGAGAACGAGGTTGCATATTCAAAATATTCTCGATATGATTCTTTCTGGGTTAAGAGCATACCTATGTGATTTCATCCCGGGCTATCTTACTCAAAAAATGCAGGCGGGTCTAGAGTGAATTCGAAGGAGGGAGGGGGGCGTATATAGGAAGTTTTCGTATACTCACCTCATGAGCTTCAATGTAGCGGCAAATAGCCTTGATTGCGTCATCGAAGGCGACATCGATGCCACGGATGAGGGCGTCCCCTAGTGGTATGTCAAAACTCAGCAGTGCATTGATTATATCTGCGGGAAAAAATAGTATGGCGAGTTAAAACCGAATTCCAACTGCGTACGTGTGAATTCATGCTGATGTTAATCGGTCGTCCATCCTTAAAAACTCTCCAATCAGATTGAGATAACGCGCGTGTGGCGCAGAGTACGCGCGCGTATGCATTTGCAAATGAACGCGCACGTTTCTCATGTAGTTTGTAGGCGTAGGGTGGCAATGACGGCAATGTGTCCTTCAATAAGATTTATGCTTGCAGTTGTTGCCGCTGAGGGCGTACTTAGTCAATCCCCTTTGCCGTGTACTACACATGTATTTATTTTATTACTCTATTTTACCTCAGGTCAAATGCAATCAATACAGAAGCGTACAGCTGCCCACACCACGCATAGTGGCCTTTTGCCGAAATCTCTTTTTCAATACGACGAACACGATACACAATCGACAATGCTTCTTTTCACGATTCATCTCAAGGAAGACAATGCTATTACTGTTCGTTGCAGCTATAACTCAAGATGAAATATAAAGGTTTAGCTAGCTATTGATGGGAATTTTTGTTTTTTGTTTGCGTGTCGATGTCAAAGTTATTAAGCTTCTTTCTCTCAAAAAAAAGTCGGGGGTCACCTGCAGCTGGTTTCCAGACTTATTAACGACGCGAACTTTCAGGTCTTGTGTTCATTCAACAGTAGTTTCTTTTCTACCAACATTGCGATATAATCATGTACATGAACATGCTAAAAACATGTAAACTAGAGAATAGTAACATCAGATTCCACTGTTGTGAATTCCCCCTTGAGTGTTCACTTGTAAATCGTTCTAAAACATTCACAATTAAGTTAGGCGTCTTACCTGGCTGTGTTATAGGAAATCGCACATGTAAACAAAACGCGAGTTTAGGCCTATACAGGGAAGGTGCAAAAAGAAGCCAGAGGAAACCCACCTTTGACAGCGATTTTCACCTACTTGTGGAGCATATTTCAAAAATTAATTTTAATGGTATTAAAATATTGATCTCTAAACATAAGTGACGAAAAATGATTGCAAATCCATATTTTGTCGCCGAGATGTGGTAGTTTAAAAATGTCATGTGCCAAACCTGTTTGTCCAGGGACGGCTTTATTCCACCCGCTTGACTGAGCTCCGGAGCTTGATTTGAAGACAAAAAACACTTTACAGTACAGGTACACGTGGACTAGTGATTTTGGTGACTTGAACTCAAATTAGCATAACACTATTCTTGCGATTTTTTTTTAAGATTTGTTTTACCATGTATGGTCGAAGAGCTATATACTTCACTACATTATATAAACAAAAACCCAGTTCAAATAAGTTAAGTAAGTAGGTTAAAATTCCTGTCAAAAGTGGGTTTCCTTTATACTGGCTCCGTGCATTGCTGAGACCTAAATGCCCATTTATGACCTTTAGTTACCGGCCTAAGTAAACCGTTATATAACAAGTGGGGTAACAGTGCCAGTTGAATATGAATTGCATAACTTCTCATGACATGGATCAATTTCAGTAATCCTTTTTAAAATGAGTTCAAGAACGTGCTCGTTTAATATAGGCTTCGTTGGTGTGTCAAATTCAATTGCTTTTTAAGGGTGGAAAGTCATTATTAATCCAGGTCACTTTCTTTATTACTCACCCTGTATTCTCCAATGGAAATTATTTGGCAGTAGGCGACAAGGACTATTTTTTAATAGCCTTTTTGAAAGCATTGTTAAGTTGTATTCTCTTTAATACAGGAGGTCACCTTTGGTACATGTGTTCGTGTGGTATTGCACGTCAGCATAACTTTTGTCAGGGTTATATGACCCTCAGGATTTAGGTCGTACAGTGAAAGGAAACATCCAGCCGAAACTAAATGCTAAACAATGCTCGATTTTGTGGATTTTCCAGGGATAAATCTCAGGGATTTTCCTTCTATGTACGTCTATAAAACCGAATATGTCTCCACCTTGTTCTCAGCTCATTATAGAAGTTTTTCTGAGCTTGTGAAGTTACTGTAGTGCCTATCCATTCTGGAGAAAATGAAACCACAGTTGGCGTCATTACCAGAAAAATTAAGATAATTAACAGCAAGGGCGGGTCCGGGGGGAGGTGGCCGGGCCAACGGGGGCCATGCCCCCCCCCCCAAAAAAAAGAACCCAATTTTGGGTGTTTTTTTAAGTGACGTCGCAATAAAGGCAGGCCCGTCACTGCCTACACCACCATCTTTTCCCCAAAAAAAATTGGTTAAAGTGGTCAGAAAATCTAGGAGCCCCAAAACAAATAAAAATACACCGTATTTTTTTGAACCACTTTTTGGGGGACCAACATTTATTTTGTTGGCCCCTACCCCCCAATTGTGTTCTGGATCCGCCCGTTGATTAACAATATTCCTTTCTGCAAACTTACCGAGATAACCATCCGTAATGGCGTCAGCATAGAGGGTCAGGTTCTCTTCGTTCCTCCAGTCCCGTAGCCATCCCATCTCCTGCCATTCCGCCAGTAGCTCGCCTAGTTTCAGCCCGTTCCCTGTCTCGATCACCCCGCGCAGCTCGTCGTAGCGTGCGTTCTCTTTCTCGTAGTCCGACTCCCCGGACGAGGACGAGAACGCGGAGCGGTCCTCGTCCGCTGCTGCCGCCGGGAAATTGGTTGCGATCCCCGGTAGGCTCGTTTGCTCGTTCCTCGCTAGCAGGACCTCCTCCATCAACTCCTGGTCCACCATAAGCTGGGTTAGGGAATCCGTGTCCATCCTAACGGTTCGTATAACGGCTGAAAAGGAGAACTGAACACGCCTTTAGTGTGCGTGTTCCCAACTCAATTGAGCAGTTTCTGTACATAGCTAATATATTGGAACAACCTACGTGACTTGCGGAACCTAATTTCTAAAAGACGACTATTATTGTATTGGCCGACATACCTGCACCCTATTCAACATGACCGACACAAAATAATATTGTTTGGCTCACCTTTGACTGCCCTTTCCAATGTTATGCACCGCTGAAGTTTACAGCCTGTTTGTATTTTTTCCTTCTAAAAACAGGGCCTATTCTGCGAAGGGAATAGCCTAACAAACGGGTGTTTGTAATTGTGCGTGCGAGTTGTGCATAAAAAACGTAACTGCCTTCACCTGATTATTACGAAATGCAAATTTACTGTGCAAATAAATGCATGCTAATTTACTGCATGAGTCGAGTAGACGCAATTCAAGTCGCTGGAAGGGCAATGCGCATCGCGAGGTGGGAGGAGGCAAGGGAGAAGGGGCGCTTGCCGCCCCCCCCCCCTCCCCGGAAAAGCAACACACACAAAAGAGGAGTGAAGTCATATTGCTATTAATTTAATACACATTTAACAAAATGGGCGTACACAGGAGTGTCAATGTCCCCCCCCCCCCCCTCCCGCTCACCCTCGAAAAAAATGATAAATTGAGAGTATGCTTGTACAAGGATTTTGGGGGGATAATGTGCTTCCCCCCCCCCCCCCCGGGAAAAAATCATGGTGACGCCCAAGCGAAAGGTGTCAACAGATATTCACAGAACTCTTGTTATTCAGATTTTCGGTTCGCATTAGCTGAAGCCATTCTTCATTGCGTGGGATATATAGCGCGTTCCAAAATACTGGTACCCGCAACATTTTTTTACGAGGCTCTAGCGTCGCACGGAAACACGTACCTGTCATATGAAAATCCGACTCCTACGGCAATCGGACTCCTTTTCCCTATTTTTGTTTTTTTTGTCACACATGACAGTCACTCACCTCCTATATATAGGCCTATAAAAAAAGCTATTATCATACTTACGCATGCGCAATGCTACAATGATTCCATATTTCTTGGAGTCGGATATTCACGCTACACCGCCATTATTATTATATCATTTAAAGCTTGGAATTTTAACTTTATCCCTGGTAAGTATTGGTTTGATTTTCAAGAGGGTTTTGAAATTATTCGTGTTGAAATAAAGTAATTTCAAAAACAAACTCAACCGATTTCAAGGAAAATCACTCATGCGCATTTCTAATGTGGAAATGCTTTATTACGTTAATAATGATGTCACGATCTCGTTGCCTTTTACTTTCTGTGTTTTTTTTTTCGTAGACTTCACATTTGCGACGTCACTTAAAACAAATTGGGCTCGCATGGCCCCATAATGGTGGGAGCGTACTACTCAACACCATGGGAATGAGGTTGGCCAATAGGCGGCCAAGCGAGGATTAAAGAAGAGCGCCGAGTGACTTTTTACTTGCAGGCCCATCAGCGGTATAATCTTCATCACGGGAACAAGATTAATATTTTACAGGCAGGCCATTACACTATTTCGTTGACGTCGTAACTTCTTTTACTGTGGAGTATTCAGAATCTACTTTTTGGTGAAAACAGATCTTTGTAAAAAGATTCAACTTCGTGTATATAAACGTGACTTGATTTCTGACAGCAATATTTGCCAAACTTTCAGCTTAAGAATAAACAGAAATGGATTTTTACACTTAGTTTTCACAAAAACAAACATGTATGGTGTTTGAGCATCATTATGGTGACCAAGAACCTCTTCAATGGATCGAAGGAAAAAGAAAGATTCACAATACAGTGCGCCACCTAGAGACTGCCCAAATAACGCCTTAATATGGCCTTATGGGCCTTATTCACGAGTCGGCCATATTGAATTGAAAGTTAGGTAAAATCTTAATTTTTGGGACTTGCGAAAGAAATGAAAGGAAGTTAATTTATAATCAATTTCATGTTGCTTCAATAAATTATTTTCAATTCGTAATGAAACCTCCCCTAATGTTTAAAGCCATGTTTAAAAAAAAATGACAGTAAAATAAGGCTGCATTGTGTCTGCATAAATAGTCTGGCGCCATCCCATTAAACACTTAACAATTAATGAAACATATTTGGGGAACTCGACATAAATGGCCAACTTGTATATAAGGCCCATGGGAAAACGCGACAAGCAAAACTGTTTGCCTTTTGCAATGAATAAGACCTCAGCGGGTTTATTTTTTGCGACGATGAAGTAATGATGCATGTATGCATTGGTATCATGAAGGGGTAATTTCCAGCACAACACTCTTGGTAACCGTATACCTTTTAAAAATCGTTGCAATGCTGTTTTTTTAATATAATTCTACTCTCCATTTTATTTTTAATGCACCAGACAGGTTCTCGACTAATAGCCACTCGGTCCAAAGCATGATGAAGGATGGTGTTCATATTTTTTTAATCGTGTAATATAGATTCCTTAGCGTACATTACCACATAGGGCCTAGGCCTACATCCAAGTTTCAAGAAAAATCAGTGAAATTATAAACACAGCTGTAAGAAACTTACTTTTTTAAAGTACTTATATTTTGTCATAGAAAAGATAGGCTAACAACTAAATTCCATGGATACTTCGAGTAAACCATGAAAGCCTTACAAGTCTGATCAGTTCATTGGCAGTTACATAACGAAAGCGCATTAATTATTACAGAATCTGCAAAATAAGGAAACTGGCAGGTTTGTTTTGTTGGGCGTCTCATTTGATTTCTGACTTAAGTCACTTGTTGTTGTTTTTGCTCCATAATTACACATCATCTCTGTCCTTCACTTCCACACAACCCTAAAACCTGCTTTTCAAATCTAAAGACGAATGAAATTTCACATCCGATTTCTACCGCATCCGATTTCTGCCGAGAATCATACACGGCAAACTACTAAGATTACCATTCTGGTCTAGTCTGTTTTGTTAAATATTTCTACACAGCAAAACTTAACGTAGGCCTACATGTTGTTACAGAGTGGGATGAGAATAATGATCAATGCGTCGCTCTGACAGCGAGTTAAAAAAAAGTAAGGCACAATTTTGAATTGTAAATAAGATATAATGTATAACTTTTGAAATACACAACTGTTAACAATGAAACGATATTGACAACTACTTTATTTTGTGATCGTTTATCACTATTCTTGTTTTGTAGGTAATAATTCTAATGTGTGGCATGTGTCTTCGTCTATTGCTCCGCCCCTTTTTTCATTCAAGCCATTCGTGGGCGTAGGCCCGGTTGGTATGTTCACCAGCCTCTGCTACAATTATCGGCGACACGGGTGTGGCTTTCGACGGGATGCCCTTGAGTACTGCGCACAGGATCAAACCAATCAGAAGGGACAAACCTACGGAGCCCCCAACTACCATGAGGGCAATGTGCCACCACTGGAGCCATGTGCTGGGAGGGGTTACGGTCACAACGATGGGGGCGTCTGTTGTCGGGGGTGGGGCGTCTGTCGTCACGGGCGGGGCATCTCTTGTCGTGGGCGGGGCGTCTGTCATCACGGGTGAGGCATCTCCCGTAGCGGGTTGGGGGTTTGACGTCGCAGGTGGGGCGTTTGTCGTCGCGGGCGCCGGCGCCGGCAAAGATTCCGGGACGTACTCCCTGAGCACGGCCTGAACCACGTTGGAGAACTCAGACCAGCGACCAGCGTCGTCAAAGGCGCGCAGGACGAACGCGTACGAGGTCACGTTGACTTCCTCAGGCACGGGTACCATGACCTGCAGGTCTTCCCGACTGCCGAACACCTGAGGCGCCGAGAGGTTTCCTTGGAGCACGTGACTGGAGTTAAGGATCAGATGCGACTCCGGATCCGGGTCGCTCTGCCAGGCAAGAACGGACTCGGCACGGATTACTTCGTACCAAGACGCTGAAAGGTAAACAAAATCGTTCCTGGATCATATTTTTTTCCAGTTACTGTAGAAAGGAAAGGCGTTTCTCTCCGATCTATCATGTCTAATCCATGAGTGGCGATGCCCGCTTATGCTTGTTATTTAATCGCTCTAATTAAGAGTGATGACACAAATATGAATTGCGCCTTTAAAAATAATAACGAGGACTATTCCCGAACTTGGGGAAACTATGCGAGACAAAACATATATAGTGCTAGCAATCACTTAAGGTGTTCAAGCAAACAGACGTCCTCTTTGGCACCCCATTCACCACGAGGCACCTTATTTGATGCATTGCTTGCATATTTGTTACTTAATTGTCATCATAGAAATCTGAACTCTTACAAGCCGTCATCTTAAACTGACTTTGTAAAATAATCACAGCTTAACAGAGAGATCGCTTTAAAACATACCTGCCCCACTATCAAGATCATCTCCGGACGCTGTCCAAGCTAATGATACCGTCTTGTCCAGGAACGAGGTATTCGTGACTCTGAGATCTAGAATGTCTCCTGGAGGGAACAAGTCAGCACCTGGCGAGAAGCCAGGAGGTGTGGCGTCTACACGGCTTGAGCCGCCCGATGTACCACGACTGAACGCCGGGGCAGGTGTGCCTGTTGGCTCCGCTGGTGGTTCACCGGGCGATGGTATCTTCACCCCGCCTGAAGGACGTAGAAGATGAGGATGAGTATGCAGTTGATTGAAAAACCTAACAACTTGGAGACAGTGCTCCAGACAAGTCAATCACAAGCCAATTTAAAGCCGAAACACAAGTCCAATCACAAGTTACATTGAAAGTTGTCACAATGTTAGGTAAAAACAGAAGAAGAACCGGAATGGGACGCCTTTGAAACGGTTATTTTGCACCACCTGTCACGGAAGACTGATTTACTTTGAAAACTTTATGACTTGTGAATGACTTGTATAACTGGCGGCTTTCATTCAGTGAGCCTACATCCCTAAATGGTTATTAAATACCAACATGTAAAATCATTTCTATCCAAGAGGACAATCCCTACGGGCTTTTCTCACTCGTTTCCTTTTTTCCATTATATGTTTGTATTTTATTGTAATCTTTACCGAGGGTAGTCCATTTTAGTTTTAAAGAACTGCTTTCCAAAGGATCCCTCATATTAAAATTACATAAAAATAAAATTAGACAAAAAATTACTAATACAAAACTAGTGGACAAAATTTACACAAAACATACAGTATAAAGTATATTGGAGTCGTCTGAACTTTGAAATTTCATGAATCGTGAACCATTCAACATTTTTACCAAGTAACATTGGGTCTCGGGTCGTACCTATATCAGGCAGATTGAAAGCATCGTCAGGATCCACGATCGGTCGGGATTTGGAGAAGGGATTCGAGTCGATGACGATGGCGTTGCCTTCGTTATTGTCCACGTCAATCGTGACACCATAGTATCCGACGCCAGTCATCTCGGTGAAGTACCTTGAGTACACTCCGTCGTTCTTGGTTACGTCCGCCCCTGGTAGTTAAGACGATCGTTAGTCAAACTTGAGCGAGTCATTAAGTTTTCACATGGAGAGTACCTTTTCCAAAACGTGATATACGCCATTTTGTTACCTTTTAGAATGTTACCGCCTAATTGCCCAAAGTCAGTTTCGATGGCTGTTAGATAAAGTTAAAAACAATATAACAACACTTGGACTGCCTGCAAAAGTAGGCCTACCCCCTCACAAGAAGAGAAAGTTGGGGAGACAATTTTGAGCAACTCTTGAATGCCCTACAGTTCATGCTCGGAGACTGCTGATGTGATCGGCTAGCTCCATCACTCCAACATACAGTATCCATGCAGACTCCATCGGGAATCAGTTCAACATGGTAAATTAACAAATCACGAATGGCAGCCGCAGCTAAATTGCACGGGATTTACATTAAAATGGGTAAATAGCGGCATTTGGAATCGGAAATATTACCTGCGCCATTATCAAGTAGCTGGAGTTTGATAGGTTCGTATCCGGCTTGTGGTCTCTCAATGGTCGCCCAGACATTCGCGTAGATCATAGGTCTGAAGCCCTGGCGAATCTCGGCGTACGCCACCAGCGGCTCGTTTTGCTCAAAGGCTGTGGTGGAGCCGCTCAGCTCTGACGTCACGATGATGGGTTCTACGTCATTACTTGCTGGGTACGAATAGATGGTGACCACAACATCCTGACTCTGGGTACCATTGTTCCAAACTTTAAATTTCCAGGAACCAGCCTGTGGGTATCAAATCGGTAACAAAGATGACAAAATGGAGCCGGGAACAAGTACTTGACATGAGTGGGGGTCGTTCGGTAATTCATTGTTGAATGAAAGTGGGGAAACAGTTATGAAATGAGCTCTGTTTAAACTTCGATGCGGTTAAAAAAAAAATGAAATGCAACAAAACGAATCACAAGTCGCAAGTGCTACTACAGATTGTTATTTAGTTGCAGAATGTTACAATGTACATCAGTATACGGGGATTACGGACAGGTATTTTTTTCACATAATTTCTGCACGTCAAACTTAAAATGACAGATCAGAAGATGAGTGGCGCATGCTCGTTTTACTTCATTTCAACAAGTAAACGAAAGTATCCGGAATCTGATCAGATGCATATCTCCATCATTTAACTATTTCCTACCTCGGCCTGTCCTTTGATCGACACCGTTAAAATTCTGAAGGAGATGTCGACACCATAACCCTCATAGGACCAGTCGATCATACTCCCATTCGGTCGTGTGATGTTCACATCGATTGCTGAAATTGGGCATTGTCGAGAAATGACGACACAGTAAGAAATTAGTATGCACAGTTTGTAAAAAATATATTGTAGCATTTTTCCCTGCGATTCCCTATGCCAATAGTCCCAAAATGTAATAACGTCACCTTTTTTTGTGTTGCATTCTGTAAGCCACGTTGGAGCAAATACAAACATTTTTTGTACCTCAGTAATTCGTAATAAGTCGTAATTCTGACATATCGATCAATTTAAAACTTAGAACTCGTAACAACGTCTACTGAGGATTCTTCAAGAGCCTCTCTACAACTTGTTTAAGAATTTATATCTGCAATTAAATCTTTATAGAATGCATTCAACTTACCAAGGACGTTTTCCGTTTCCCAAGAGAAAACAAACTCAGTGTTTCTACCCAGAGTGCTGTCCAAGAAGATGCTGCTCGTTCTTTCTTCATCACTTTTTAAAGACCAAGAGGTTCCCATCAACTTAAAAAGAAATGTGTTGCAATCTCATTAATAATTGGAAATTCATCTAAATTGGCCACAAAACAAGGTTGTCTCAGCAAAAACAAGAAATGCCATATCACGTTCGTAGTTGGGCAGCTGGGATGCAGGATCTTCTGCCCTGAATTTTGCTGAGACATTCTTATTAACATCTAATTCAAAATGCCACAAGACAACTTCGGGTAGTCAAAAACATATAGATTGAAAGGGAAATAAATATTTTTTATTCCTGAAATTTTGACTAGCCTATACCTGCACTCGTCTTTCAGAATCTAGGACGTCACCCCTCTCCATAGTAGCTGCAAATGCTTCATACAGCGTGTTGGAACCAACCTCGTCCGAGTAGAAGTACGTTTTTCCACCTTAAAGGCAAATTAAGTACAGCTTACTAATTCTTTAAGGCAAAAATAAAACATTACTTTATTTTTTAAAGTGCAGTTCTTTGTATCGACCTAAGTTGCTTTGCAATTGCACTGTATATACCAAACTGTGTTTTTCTTTGTATGAAGCCGAATAGGTCTATAGTGTATTGTAATCTACATCCTAAATAACCTAAATTAATGCGAACAATAATTGCGATCGTTATTATATTCACCTGTTGCTTGGGACAACCCGGGCAAAAGCCCGTCGGCGTTCTGACTGAAGGCAAGCGTGTCCACAATGACCCCTGAACTTATGATGGTGTCCATGATGTCAGCTACGTTCGGTCGAACGTTCTCTTTTCCGTCGGTTATCAGCAGAATGATACCTCCTGCCGGGTCCATGCCGCCTTCGGAGAGCACCTTCGCAACAAAAAAAGATCGCAAGTTAACGCCGACATAAAAAAAGACGTGAAGCAAAAGATTAAACGTTCGTACAGCTCAATGAAAGGTACAAAAACACAGACGATTTCATGTCGGAGCTGTTGACAAGGGTAACGTTTGAAAAACCCAACAGTTTCCCCTGTTGGGTTTATTACCTCTATAGACTTTAAGAGCCCGTCCCCAATAGCCGTGCTTCCACCCGCATCTGGCGGGAGAGATTCCAGCAGTGCCTGGCGGTCGTCATCACTGGTAACCAGCGTCAGGTTCTTCCGTATGATGCCGACATAGTTGAACTCCACGATACCGATGTAGCTGCCCTCCGTGACGATGGAAGAGATATAATTAGCGGAGGAGCTGATCATCTTGTTGAAACGATTTTTCGACTGAAGACCAAAAAATACGTGTCAGGTTTTAAAAAAAATTGTTTATTCGGCATGAGAGCTGGTCTTCAAACATTTATAGAGAACATATTCCCTTTAGGTTTACCCAAAGAAAGTTGACGAAAACTTCACTTGTAAGCTCACCTAACAGTTTTTGTCTGGATTTCACATTAACAGGCATTTCTATTCCTGTGAAGTAATCAGGGAGAGAATTCCGAAGTCACTAGTGAAGTGAAATCGAGGTGGAGGATCAGGATCGCAGATGGCTTACAGTTCTATATCATGTCACCCCGGCTCCGTGCACAAGTACCCCCTCAACGATGAGAAATGGACAGTTGGAGAGACCACTGGGCCGGGGATGGGAGGAAATTCGAACGCACTGCCGGCGACGGCCTCACGCGATGGCGCTATGGTTTTGTGCACATTCAGAATAAAAATTAGTCGTGCGTATTGCGCGACGTACGCGCACGCGGTGTGTCCAGTCCACGGGGCTCTCAAACGCAGCCCAATGAATCCTGCACCCGATTTCATCAAACTCTTCGTAACTTACGAAGCATCGCAGCGCTGCTACGCGTCGTATCTCTACGATGCGTCGCAGCTGCGACGCGTCCTGCGATCCATTTCACTAAACACGTCGTAAGTGCGACGCGTCGTAGGTGTATTTATAGCACAACTCGGTGACTGTTTTATGTCTTTAGTCAGCGTACAGTAAATAGTCGTCTGATATTCAACAAAGAGTCGTCGGATCTCAGCTCAAAATTTGTTAAAACGTAAAACAAAATGGCGGCCGTGCGATGCAATTTTGAAGGAAAACAAGCTCTCATCGGACTGTATAGCTTCTTTGAAATTTCAACTCTAATATTCCGGTCTAATTCATAATTATTCAATGAATTTTCTATTTACAACTTTACACACATTGCCTCGGTATTATGATCTCGTTAATGTAATGTTTGTGGCATAAAACTAGCTTAGAAATGACTCTTCTTATTTTGCGATGACCACTAGACACGTCGTAACTTGCGACGTGTTTTAAGCCGTTGTCAAGGAACTTACGACGCGTTCAACACATCACAACTTTCGTGAAATGGAAGATACGACGCGTCGCGACTTGCGACGTGTTACACGTCGTAACTCGAGTTGCGACGCGTCGCAGGGCTTCGTGAAATCGGGTGCTGACAATTTGCACAACGAACAAGGTTAGTGGTAGTAAACTGGAGAAGCCCATGTTGGGGAATAGCAATAACTCCAGCAACATGACATTAATGGTGGCGAAATTCCATGTAGGCCTGTACATACGGATCTAAGTTAAATGGGGCTAGTTGAAAGATTCGATTAGAACGACTCACCGTCATACTTCCGGATGTGTCCAACAGAAGTACCACGCGAATGTCTTGGTGTTGGACGATCGTTATCTCCGGCATCAAGTCATCTTCGCTTATCTCACGGGGCGGGTTTATGTTATCTGACAGGAATATGTACAAAGAATTGAGACGGGAAAGGTTATACCTCAGGATATGGGTTCGGCAGAAAACAAGTCAACCGTTTACCGGCAAACAAAACACATTTAGGAGTTGCCATTTGCACGTGTCACGTTCACGTATGCTTTAACCATTGATGTGCCTACCATTGATCTCCCTTACTATGGAGATCAACGGTGTCTACTACTTGCGCGCCAACTTGCGCGTGAGCTTGATGCCATCACAAGCTCCGCCCACTAGTGCTTTGACCAATCACTGTCGTGATGAATGTCCGACGTGCGTGCACGCGCGCTGGACGTGTTGTTGGTTGTTGCATGTCGTGCGCAGTTGGCGGCATCTAATGGATGGGTCTATAGTAACTGTGGATCGAGACCTCTAATCACACTTATGGATTACAGTGCCAAGATTTGATGGCCGCTCTTACTTCGAAAGTCCTCGTGATCTCGCAGGACCTCCCAATTGCTCCGACTTGTGCAAAGACGGTTGTGCTTGTTGGGCGCCTCTCGGTTGTGTAGATTGGGCGAGTCTGACGAATCGTTGTCACAGAAATACTTGATCTGCCAAAAAAAAAAACACCAGAAGATAATTAGTCTAGATATTATCCGTGTGGTTGCCCTGGCTAATCATCTCTGATTAACATCCTAGATCCTGCGAGACGAAATCTGATGGCTACGTGCTTCAAGTGGAGTCGAACCCACTCAATGTGGGTCCGTGGTCTTCTTGAAAAAACATTACATTCTTTGTCATGATACTTTTGGTTTGGACAGCTAAAACTTTAAAACGATACAGAAGTTAGAGATGAAATCCAGTCCGGGGACGTAATCAGTATTTCAAAAGCCCCATATTTCAAAGACACGCCCCCAGAGGTCACCTACCGGGCCGAGAGGGTAGCTTGAAAACATGATCGAAGACGAGACTAAGTCTTTATCTTGATTGGCAACGACGTAATACACACATCCTTCCTCGTACCCAATGTCTGGTCCACCGTTACAAGGACGATACATTTGCGATTCCGGGAAGAACTTCAAGGGAAAGGCGTTGTGATCGTAAGAGCACCTGTTTGGATTGAAAGGAAACAATAAGCAACCAACGGTGGTGTATGCATTTGAATGTTAACTGTGGTTTACATTATGTCAAATGAGTTAATTATTTAATACACATGTGTATCCACGTTGGAGACGCAAATCCAGAGTTTACACACAGCAGCAAGGAACCAAGTCAGGACAGAATGTCGCATCCTTAGACATTGTAAAAAATGTTGAAAAGACATGTAACATTTCTAATTCAATTTGTTAGAAAATACTTTGAAGATGCACTCGACTCTCTATAGACTTTGAACACAATCAGAGAAGTGGCGTCTTGATACTACATTCTTTTAACAAGTCGACTTCCGTTTAATGACTTTGATAAACGACATTTCATTTTACATATACATTGACTGACAAGTTGTTTTCCCAAAACGCACGTGGAAATAGACAGATAACAATAGATGTGCACTTGCCAGACTGCAAAACAAGCTCGTTTTAACCGTCATCTGGTATCACCCAAGCTCGTATTAAGCATTTTTTCCCTCATAGTAATATGCACACTTCGGTCGGGACTGGCGAAATATGCGCGTCTTAACCGAATCACGTCTAAACCGTGCTTGTATTAACGAGAGTCGACTGAACTTGGATTGGAGTTTGGTTTTTTTGGCATTTGTTATTTTTTTAAATTTTTTTGTTGTTTCTTTTGTGTCCGTTTCTTGGTACCTGACTCCTTCAAATTGCTGCGTGAGAGGAGAAAAATAGAACTCCTGGTAGTTGTCTGGGTCACCAACAGCATCCGGGTACTCGTCGAATAACCCCCAGCGAAGATGACCCCACTCATGTACGAGCACGCGCCCTGTATTAAACGGAAAATACGCAATTTATAAACTAAGGTGATATAAAAGACCTCTGAAATATTGACCTGTACCTCACGATACGTCGATCAATAAAAACGGCAACTGTGCATTTCTGTTTTAATTTTTTTGGCGATTTTTTTTATAATTTTATATTTAAAACAAAAGTAGCATCAACCTCTACAAATCCACAAAAACAACAAACATAATTATTAACGTATAGAGATAGAAAACCAAGTCACAAACTTTTGAGATAATAAACTTCTATAGTAACTTTTATACAACGCCTGAATAAATCTCCCTCATCTGATTGGTCGGTCATTGATCACGTGTCATTGAATTATTCTTCCCAACCCACGGCCCGGTGGCACAGCAAAAACAAATGTTCTATTCCACTAAAAATAGAAGTTCCATTGCACGGCCACACCTGATAAAAATATTCTTACCATTGCACTCATCAACATTCATTATTTGTATACTAGTTTGCAAACGCTCCATGACACTTTTATCTCCTTAATGAATTAAGGTGTTCTTACCAAGAGGACCGTAATATAGCTCCACTTCCGGATCAGTCAAAAACTCATCCATGAAATGTATATGAACGCCCCGCTGGCCGCATCCCTGATACTGTTTTGTGTACTGCAGCGGCGCCCAGCGCGGATTGGGCGGGGCCACGATGACGTCGGCGTAGTCGAACGTCAAGTTGCCGGGCAACTTGTACTCCGACTTGTGCGTCCATGTTTTGGGCACGATGATGGTGACTTTGTCGAAGTAGGCGCGTTTCCGGGTAGCTTCATAGAGGTACTTGGAACCCTCGTAGAACATGTACTTGAAAAAAGGAGTAATCATTTTTTTAGGACCGACCCCAATTATAATGAATAGAACCGTAGAAGACGAATGCACTTTAAATTTCTATTTTAATGGTACCTCTAATGGTTGGTCCAAGTATAATTCGTTTTTCTATTTTTGGTCATTAGTTTTCTCTGTGTATTATTGGGAAGTCGGGGTAGGTTTGTCTATGCGGGAATTTATTTACTTTTTGTTTGGTTACTGTTACTGGCCGGTCCGGCTTTTATCCGATTTCTCAATATTAAAGTATTTTTAGCTTTGATTGCAGAAAACGTAGGTTTATAATCATATTCTCTGTTTAAATGTCTTTTGTGATTATATAAATTTGTTTCTTTGTGATCACTTACTTTTGCTTGGATACGCCTTTTTGAATAGTACTCAAACAATATTTATAAAGTTTGACTGGCCTTATAAGCTTTTCAATTGCATCTATGTAAAGTTCCTTGAGCGTCTTTTAGGAGGACTTTGGCGCTATTGTTATTGTTATTATTGTTATTATTATTCTTATAAGTATTATTCCTACAAATGTACCATTAGGGAGACACGTTATCGTAATTTCTTCGACAATAGGGAGACACTGGTCATTAGGGAGACATTTTCATGTTTGCCTAAATTCCACAGCCCCCTTTAGAGGCAACATTTTACCGTCGCAATCAGGTTATATTTGTTGCTCGTGGTCTAATTAGTAAAAATACCGAAATTCGTGGGAAAAGGACAAGGGAATATTGGGTTAGGGCACATTTAAGTTTGAAAAATTTTGTGAACAAGTCTATGGAAATGTCTCCCAAATGACCCATTCTTATTATTGCTATAAATTGCCACTTTAAAGAACTCACTCGTTTGATCTTTTTTTTACAAACTTTTTGAATGATAATATTACAGATATATCTGACTGTTTTAATTTCCTTTGGAACGAAAACAAAGTCGACTAGAAAAAAATTAAACTTTGAAGATATGAAACTATGACAACATGGCCGTTTTTGTTTTTTAAATAATTGGCTGTAGACGCAGATTGTCTTTAAAGTTCTTGGGTTTTTTAATGATACGTCACCGGTGGTTTAAATAGCATGTTTAGTCTGGCCGTTTGCCCCAGACCGACCCAGACCATATAAAGATGATGATTTAAAAGTAGGCCAGGTCTGGGGAAAAAAATGGCACAAAAAGGGGATAGGACAAATTGTGGTGGATAGACTTACCTTTATGCGATCAATTAGCTCAACGCTCTCGTTAACATTGCTGTGAATAGCCACCACGATGCCCGTGTAGCTATTGTTCTCTAGTCGGATTGATGATGGCCTGAGCAGGGCGTCTACGTTCGAATAAACCAATACGAGAGTGGCTACAATCAGGCAGGCTCCTTGCAACTTCATAATGAAGATGTTAATTTAGCTCTCAAGAATCGAAACGAGATCCTTGGTTCGTTACGACGACGCCGAAGCACATAAATCTTCAAAGTAGAACAGGATAGCTCACCTTTATACATTGAGACAGATAATGGCGCAGACAACATACGAATGACACTCTTTATACCCAGTCTGAGTTCTAAATTTGGACATTAGATTAGATTTTTTTCGGCTTTTCTGATTGGTTGTGCCATACCACGTGTTCAAATTAAGTATTGCAATAGGTCCGGGATTGAAGAAGAGTACAGTCCACTGATAAAAGTTCGTAGTGTAGTGGCCTTCAATAGGCCATACGACTGAGATCCTGGTTTTTGACAATATGGGTATGGTTAATAAACTAATGCTAAATCCGTTACTGTAAGTAAACAAGAACATTTTGAAGAGGCCACACAATGCTGGGCCATGGGATCATTATCAATTACCAAGTAGCAATTACCTACCGTACGATTGAAAACTAACATATTCACTAAATATTTACCTATCCTACCCCATGCGAAGAATTGATTGTACCATACCTTATGCGAGCCAATGCTGTCATAATCAAAGGAAAATGATAGTGTCGACACAAAAAAAAGATTGTTGGAATGTCAATGATCATCAATTCTATACTGGTTTTCTAAGCTCCCGACAGCAAAGCATATTCAAAGAGTGACCAGCAACCTTTGCACAACAAATTCTGGCTTCCTGCAGTACGACGATTTTAAATTCAGTTTTTAAAACATTTACGTTTAAAAAAAGGTCGTCTGTCCTTGTAAGGGAAACAATTTGAAAAGCCTGTTTTCAAGGCCACATACTCACAATTGTCTCACGATCGTTAAAGACATCCTGAGCATCGACACAATAGGCTTATTAGGCCCCAAAAAAGTCTCCGGTTTCTGGTATGCGCGCGCGTCGCCGTAGCCATGCGCGTCGGCAAAATGAAAAAAGTTTTTTTTCAATGAAAGATGATGTCTCAAAACCGCCAAACTCACTGGTTTGACTGGAATTCTGCTGCTGCACAATTTTAACATGTTTTTAGATTGGGTTATGGTCGAGAATAAGCTTTATATGTGGCCTCTTTGGACTCCCACATATTTGCACGAAGTTTAGTCGGGCACCATTTGCAGTCATCAGCCGACATTTGAAGCAAAAAAATCAGGTAAAAAAAAACAAAAAGCCGCGTCGCCGCAACACTTTTTGGGCAAGCTCCATACCAGAAACCGGAGACTTTTTTGGGGGCCTTACTAGCTATACATAAACATGTCAAAGTTTAAGTAGTTTTTTGATAAGACGCGACGGCATTGTATTTGCACACGCAATTCAGTTGATATCGCTTTGTGGAATCGAACGGGGAATCCCCAGGGCAGCCAATGTGTTAGTCTGGTGCCTTGGCCTGACGATTCCAATACACATATGTAGTAGGTCATAATTAAAAATAAAACATGATGTAAGAATTCAAAGAAAATCCTAACGTCGTCCGAGTGCAATTTTAGGCTTTCAGTTCTGAAACATGCCGGGGATTTCCAATTCTGAAATATGGGATGTAGCATTACTTATACTATGTGGCTAAATTTGAATTTTGGCCATCGCGAGCTTCGACTTAATTTATTTTAACAAACAAAACCAAAACATCGGCATCGACATCAAGCATAATAAGCATTTTATTGCTATTCGCAAGAGTATCGCGAATATCGAGTGACATTTGCTTCAAGTTAACTTCCCGAACGTTAACGAATCAAGCTCGGCAACTTTTGGACATTTTCGGAACCGGGTTGAATTTCTGCTGGTTACGTAATCATTTGGCCACGTGATCATGACACTGGCGGGTATGACCAAACGAAATTTGCGAACTATCCATTTATTTATGGCACATTACAATGGCTTAGTTCTTAGAAAATGGAGGTTTTGTAGTCAAGTTGATTTATTGATTGTCAGTGAAATAAGATAATCAATTACGGATTAACACCTGTCAGAAGAAGTTCGTCAGAGGACTAAACCATACAATAAAACACTAACATTTGACACTGCAAATTATACAACAATTGTGAAAACTGTTCTTTATGGATTTATTTACAGGCCATAAAATGAACAAGTGACAGAATTTAAAGGGTATTTAGAGGCAGGGGATATATTTAATCAGCGTTATTATTTGGGCGAGTTCGAAGTGTGTTGAATTGCTCACAGTGAGCTTCACTGTCGAAAGAAGTCTACAAAAACATTTTTAAGTTTATTTCCTGCGAACCACTGGCGCACATTCATAAGGACGATTGATATATTGCTAAACCAATACGGATAGACAATTATAAAGTGTCTCTCACGCAGCAAAAGAGGTAAAAACAATGAAGCACATGTCCATAAAATGAAGTCTTTGAGTTCTGAAGACTGTTAAGTACTTTAAAAATATCTATGTCATTGGTATGTCAGTACTATACGCCTTCGACACTGAAATTAAAACTCCCTGTTTTAACAGATCAAAGTCGGTTATTATTTTCCCGGACAATTTCAAATCTTGGCTACTATAACCAACTGGTTGGAAGTATGTCAGTCATTTAGAATGCTTATAACAAAATGGGAAACTAAGCACAAGCAACCTTCAAAAACCAAGCAACGTCTTTGATTTTTACATCATCACATCGACAGATTAAAACCCTGGAAATATGAATTGGAAGTCCATTTCTCTAAAGAGGGAGTGACATTAGCTTTGTTACAATTACTGTACATGCAAATCAAAGTAATCTGACGGAAGGATTAACATGGGTCCACAGCATTACATTAGTAGATACACCTTTATTTACTCTTGCGTGGCTACTTATTGAAACAAAGGATTACATAGATGTGTAATCCCTATCATCTTTCATTACCGGCATGTTGGTAACCTTGGATATCTTGTTGGTAGTTGTGTGTTTCTATTTGCGGAAGATTTTTTGTGATAATTGTCTCTAGCTGTGGCCAGTGGTCACCGGACAAGTTGAAAAATTAACGCATTAAACCGATGGTTGTGGTCGCGGGCAGGTTAATAACTCGACCGCCGGGAAACTTGCATGTAAGTACCAATGTTTGTGAAACTTGTCAATAATATTTTTCTGCTTGATTCAAAAAGTTTCAGAATGATTAAATCGGTCGGAAGCTATTTAAAGCTTTTTTGCAATGAGGAATTATAATGTTATAGAAATGTAAAGTGTCCAAACCACAGAAACACGCTTGTGTGAGGTTGAACCAATGCGTTCTTGGGATTCAACTTGACGTGTCACAAACTAACGGAATTCCGTACCACATGTGTCCATAATAATTAATATTCATAACTGTAGACAACACGGTACATAGCACAAGATAGAATCGATGTGCCGTTACGGTGCGATACCTTTCAAGCTGACAATTAATGCAATGCAATGCCTGTTAATGCAATATTTTGCCAACTGCAGTCACTCTTTCAAGTTTCCTCTTCATCGTGTTCTTGTCGTAGCTCGATACGATATATGTTCCATGCCCATGTCAATTACGTACCCGAGCTTGCTAACAGTTATACAGTTTTGGACTTGGGTGAGGTTGTCTTAAAGTTCATCTGAGACCAAAACCTATAAAGAGGTTCCCGTTCGCACTTCACTTTGGCACTGGCTGCAATCTGAGGGTGATCTTGGATTCCAACATACCTATTTACGTCACAAAGGTTTTAAACTTAATCCTCGACTGGCTGAGTCCGGGGACTCATACCATTAATAAGACCTTTAAAACTTTGCTAGAGTTTTCGTAACTATAAAAGTTTGGGGTTTAGCGCTTAGAACAAGTCAAAGCTTAAATTTCTTCAAGTGTTTGAATCATGTGTGCATCATGTCCGGAATTAGACAAGAACAGGACTATAATTATTGCTTTGTAACCTAAAATTGACCCAATCATATTAAAGCAGGTTCGTAGTCTGTGCTCGAGTATCCTTCACAAGTATTAATGAGGATCCTCCGAAGAACTGAATTGTCTCATTGTCGATACATCCTTAACAACAACAATATTCATCGCACCTGTATGGAGAAATGTCAAGTGTACTCGGTGATGTATAGGCCCTATACCTCCGTGGGCTTTGTTTGAAAATCCTTCAATGATATCGCAGATCACGTTAAAACTAACAAGCGAATTGTCATCTGAACAATTGAACAGTCTGACAACATTGCCTATCAAGACATCCTTAACGACACTATTCATCAAATGTGCATGGATAAATGTCAAGTTTACTTTGCGATACACTATGTCGGCCTTTGTTTGAAAAGATGATCTTTGCATGATAGTGCAGATCAGATTAGAAATCTACACCGTCACTAGCTGGACAAATAAACCTACACGCTATCTAAATCCTGTTGGTACACATTAAGGAGCTCGGTAGTATCCGAGGTATTCATCAACAGGTGAATACCATAGAAGACGAAGGGTTCAGCCTACTGAGTTGAGTGGAGAACAAATACAGGTGCAACTACTGTTTTGTGTTGGATTTATTTAGGCCCCACCCCCCCAAAAAGAAATATAAAACATCACCTTTCGCAGCATGATCAATGAAAAAATACAGATCAGGAGAGATATCGTTCGAGATTTTCGTTACGTACTAAGAGAACAATGCCAAAAAGTAATGTAAAAACAAGACGTCTTTTTAATTTCTTTCTAGAACAAAGATGGGTCTTCGCTCGGCCGTAGTAACTGTAGCCATTCTCCTATTGGTCCATTCAAACGTAGACGCCTTGACCAGGCCCTCGTCAATCCGCCTGGAAAACAACGGCTACACGGGTATCGTGGTTGCCATTCACAACAATGTTCCGGAAAATGATGAACTAATTGAGCGTATTAAGGTACGTGTCACCACAACTCCCTAAGCCCACATCACCATCTTTGTATCGTGTTCAAAATCTCATTGATGGATAAATGAAAGGTAAAAACTTTTAAAAAAATTAATTAAAAAAAACACTTCTGTCTCAAAACATCATACTTCAGATCAAGGGCATATCGTTATATTGAAATTATAAACATGAGGGGAAAAAATCAATCAATCACATAGTTTTTGAATTTGAACATTGATGCTCTTTCAATGGTGGAATCCGGCGGCCAGAATCAGAAGCTTCTACTGCGGTGGTGCCACATTCAAGCACATGCTGCATGCACGCGTTCTTGAAGACGAGGCGCGCACCCATTTTGGTATTCCTATTGTTCGAAGGAGCCCAAAGTGCGCCTCTACTACCACCGCAGAAAATGGCTGTCGCCTGAGTCGTTATTTCGTGCCAATATCAGTCCCCTCTTTCATTCACAGTACATGTTCACCGAGGGATCAAAGTACCTCTACGAAGCTACCCGGAAACGCGCCTACTTTGATAAAGTCACCATCCTGGTGCCCAAAACATGGACGCCTAAGCCGGAGTACCAGTTGCCTGGCAACGTGACGTTCGACTACGCCGACGTCATCGTGGCCCCGCCCAATCCGCGCTGGGCACCGCTGCAGTACACGAAGCAGTACCAGGGATGCGGCGAGCAAGGCATCCATATACATTTCTTGGAGTCATTCTTATCTGATCCCAATACGGAACTGTACTACGGCCCTCTTGGTAATACTGATACTGATAATCGTTTGGCGATACCCACTTTGTCGCTATTTCTGACGTGTGCTGACAAACATTATTTAATTATAATTGGAGTGTACTTTGATTCTTGGAGGAGATTTCCACACAATCATATCCAAATGTTTGTGCCATAGGCCTACTTTAAGCAGTGTTATACTTTCTGCTTTTAGAATACATTAATCCCAGAATATCTTTCAAGAAGCTTTTCTATATTACCGATAGTCAAAAATTCTGATTGTCTAAGAACAAGCTCTTGATATACAACTCAGAAATGTCAACTTAATTCCTTTTCGATAAACAGGGCGCATGCTCGTGCACGAGTGGGGTCATCTTCGCTGGGGGTTATTCGACGAGTACCCGGATGCTGTAGGCGATCCCGACAACTACCAGGAGTTCTACTTCTCACCAATCACCAATCAGTTTGAAGGAGTCAGGTTTGGGATATTAAAGTGCCAACAATAGACGTGTTGTTTACAAAGAAACTTTTAAATTAATTATGCTAATGACATCCGTATTCATAATAACAACTTACATATTCATAATGAGTTTATGCAAATGAGAACATCTGTATTCATAAGCAAAGAACGCTATACCTGACTACAAAGCAGAATAAGAATCTTTGTCTTCAACGGTGACATGGTCTTTAAACTTCAAAATTGCACGCTGCAGGTGTTCCTATGACTACAAGGCCGTCCCCCTGATTTTCTTCCCCGACAACTTGTTCTACCGGGAATGCAACGGCGGCCCGGACGTTGGATACGAGGATGGTTGCGTGTATTACGTAATAGTGAATCAGGATGACGTCACATCGTCCATTATGTACGGCACCTATCCTCTAGAACTAGTAAGTATGCTGCTACACTATACACTGTAGTAAATGTAAGTAAATTTCAGTACACATTTAGTACACATATTCAGCCAACATCAACAGATCAAATCCCTCATCATAAACCCAATTAATGGTTTCATTCACTTTACAGATCGCCAATTTTTGTGACGACGATGAAACCAATGAGTCAAACCTGCACAACCGAGAGGCGCCAAACAAACACAATCGCCTTTGCGGACGTCGGAGTAATTGGGAGGTCCTACGAGATCACGTGGACTTCCAAGGTGAGCGCAGTCACGTGCTCACCACCTTTCAAAATTTGTGTCTCCAAAAAGTGTGTTTGCGCCTATACATTGCCACTTCATACATTTGACTTGATGAGAAATGGTTACTTGGAATTAAATTGTATTCCCTCAAGATTATTGAGTGACCTCCACAATTGCTTAATGGAGAAGCCCAGATATCTGTTGTAGCTGATGTATTGAATTGAACCTGAACAGCAGCCACAGCATCAATAGGCCAGCGAAAATAAACGCCCTGCTAAATGGATTGTTAGCAGAACATTACTAGACGTAATTCAGCAACGAAAATAGTAAGATTTCAGGCCAAAAGGCCAATTGACTTTGGTCTGATTCAGCATTTCAAAGGACATACCGTGCCGGCATCTTCCCCCCCATCCGCTAATGTATTTTTCTCGTTTCGTTTCTGGTTTTCTTCTCAGGAGATAAAAACCCACCCCGCAACATGACTGAAGAGGAGCTGGTACCTGAGTTTACCATTGTCCAGCACAAAGACATCCGCGTTGTTCTACTGATGGATACGTCTGGGAGCATGACCGTGAGTAAAGCTTGTAAACTGAAACAACAACCTAAGAATTTGTTTTACAATAAAGGAGATACAACGTCGATCTGTGACCAATAATGAGTGTGATGTCTTACCTGTATTGCAAACAAGGACGTTTGAGTATGTACAGGTATAATAGGGTCCACGATTAGGTCAAGTCCACAGTTTGAAAACAGTGCACAAAACCAAAGAGAGGTCTTCCAAAAAAGTATCAACAAAAGAACAAAAGGAGGTCCACGATTTGAATTTTTTTTACACACGAGGGTTGAGGATGAAACTATCCTAAAAAATATCATATCCGCTGTCAACATTTTCATAAAATCCAATGATTAGAAGTGTGCACTATCGAATCAGTTTCCCTATTAAGCTAATTATGAGCAACCAAGAGCAGCCATTTTGAATGGAATGTCTGGGGTCTCGTTCAAAATATAAAAAAAATACCTCTGTTACTTGTAATTTTCTAAGACGGACAACCGTTTCAGCAAGATGATCAGCTCCTCCGCCAACTACATCTCGTCCATCGTAACGGATGGCAGCTACATCGGCATCGTTGAGTTCAACTATGTCGGCATCATACTCAAGAACCTGACGCTGGTTACCAGTGATGACGACCGCCAGGCACTGCTGGAATCTCTCCCGCCAGATGCGGCTGGAAGCACGGCTATTGGGGACGGGCTCTTAAAGTCAATAGAGGTAATAAAATACATGATAAATTATTGATATCAAGTTTATCAATAGCACTGGAACTAAACTTTCTAGGCTAAGAACATTCAATAAAACGCAGAAATAGGATTACTACATCCCCAAATTCAAAACAGGTAATCGAGTTATTTAGCTCGTCCTGAGTTTTAGGTGCAGATTGGTTCTGTACCACTCGGCACTTCTTATGATAGAGCATTGCAAAACTTTATTGAAAAACTTAATTGAAACATTTACAATTGCATGGGTCATTTAAACGTTGAAAAGGATGGAACGGGAGGGCTATATGATCCCTTCCATTCCTCAGCCCGTTTTAACCTTTACGAATTCCAGTCCGACCCTGTTTAAATAGCTCAGACTAAATAATAAGCAAATCTTCAATGATACCCTGTTTCTTCGCCAATTCCGGTTAAGTTCATGAGCGAAGTCATCTTTTCACATTCAGGTTTTATCCTATGGAGGGAGGAACCCAGCCGGCGGCATCATCTTACTCATATCGGACGGTGATGAAAGGGAGGCGCCCTATATCGATGACGTCATCGATGACGTCACTAGGTCAGGGGTCATCGTGGACAGCCTGGCCTTCACACAGAACGCCGATTCTAAGCTCTTTAAATTGTCAGACGCTACTGGTAAGAAATTTACAAATCGAATACTTCTACTTCAATTGAGAGTATTTCCTCTTTGTTTAAATTATGTATGTGCCTACTTACAACTATACCAAATCTCTACCACGTTCAAACTCATTATATATTTCAGGAGGCAAATCTTTCTTTTACTCGAACGAGCCTGGCTCCAACACGCTCTACGAGGCGTTTGCTTCCACAATGGAACGCGGTGACGTCAGAGATGCCGACAAACGCGTACAGGTTTGTTTCACCCCCATTATTTTATGATCCAATAACTGTAAATGAAAGTTGCATGATATAATTTTAGAATGCATCTCAATGACTTGGGTATTTTCTTTGTATTTTGCAGTATCTTTCTTATAACCTCTTCTTTTTATTCTTCCCATTTTTTGTGAAGCTCTTCGGTACTTCCTGGACACTAGTCGCTAGCGAAACGCGAGAGGGCGGTATCTTCATGGACAACACACTCGGGCGCAAGACCGAGTTCGCATTCTCATGGACAACCACAGACCAGCTTGGTAATAATATGAAATCATTCCCACTACACCCCAACTGTACCAAATATCTATAAAACCCACATCAATTATGTAATTTCCCGACCCTGTGCATTTCCAACCATCTGACAGAATCATTGGATTCTGTCAGATGGTTGGAAATGCACCTGTAGGACTTAAATTTGGAATGCTAATTATGTTTCTACACAGGATTTACATGAAATGTCATGAACTTGCCCTGAAAAATGACATATACCCGATACAGTCCAGCCCTATGAAGCACAATGATAAGTTATGCTGAATGTATAACTGAAACATTTTGAGGGACAACAATGCCTCAGAAATTCTAGCTCAAAGTAGACTAAACGCAAACCAACATATCTACTTATTTTAATACAAATCATTGATATCACTACAAAGCATTCAAGCATATTACGGTGATTAGATTAGAGATTCTTATATTTGTTTCCTGTCAAGCCATCGAGGTTACACTGACGGACCCCAATGGTACCGTCATCAACTCGACGTACGATGGTTATGGCGTGGACGTCACCTTCAGACTGCTCACCATCAAACTCCCCGGCGTCGTGCAGGTAAGATACAAGAGGGATTAATCGTTTAGATTTAAGGCTTAACATTGTGGAGAATATAACTAGGTTGCGGTTTGTGGATGCATCATTTGATGCGAGAACAACTTGTCGAGGAGGAGTATAGTTGTGCTAAGACCCCAAAGTGTTAACTCATCAATTGCGTCGGCATGCTCTGAACGTAATCGCACAACCTCCCTTGAGGAAAATGTGTATGTTGCCGAAATATCGAAAAATGAACGTGCATCTCAAACAAAAGCTCAGATGTGAGATAAACAACAACGGTTGTTATAAACATCAAGAGGAGGTTGAACGTCACCAATGTGTCACCAGTCTATGTGTCCGCTGTTGTACCTGTGCGCATTGTTCGAACTTTTAAAAGATGCTGAAGTGAGGAGAAAAACACTTAATGATTTTTTGAAAATTGAACGGATGTCCTAATTGCTACACCGGCCCGCTTCTGTAAAAGTTCCCTCCGATTCATACATCTTTGCAATATTTCACCGTTCAATCAAACTGTCAGCCTGGTGCCTGGGAGTTCGCTGTTCGGAACCTGGACGACTCCGACGACGAGGAGGTCAGCATCACAATATCCTCGTACCCAGCAAGTGATGACGTAGAGCCCATCATCGTGACGTCAGAGCTGAGCGGCTCCATCACGGCCTTCGAGCGAGGCGAGCCTTTGGTGGCATACGCCGAGCTCCGGCAGGGTTTCAGTCCCATCATCTACGCCAATGTCTACGCCACGATTGAAAGACCGGGAGGCTACGATCCTGTGCAGTTGCAGCTGCTGGATAACGGAGCAGGTATTTCCAACTTCACGCTGCGTATTTTAGCGAGCACGGTAAGATCATGCAGTGGGCACGTTCTCAGTGCGTGATCAGCGTGTGACGGCAGGTTGGTATCCAATCAGCAAATGGCTTGGCGCGTTTGGCGCGCGTTTTGTTGGCGGTGTGGCCTCGGTCTGCAGCTGCATAAACACAAAAGAACTATGGTGTCCTGCATGGCCCACTACAACGACGTTCAACTTGGAACTGACTTGAATCTTGTCTTGAAACACAGGCGTGGATGTGACCAAGAATGACGGGGTCTACTCTCGAACCTTCACCGATTTCACTGGCGTCGGTTTCTACGGCATCAAGATTGACGTGGACAACAACAACGGGAATGCCGTGGTGGTGGACACTGCACCATTCTCCAAGGCTCGACCCATCATCAGCCCAGATAAAGTCTTCGATCTACCCACTATAGGTATGAAATAGACCCTCCTTTAAGTGTTAACATTCAAAAGTACCGCGTGTGATATGGCTTCTTGGAGGAACTGGCTCTGTATCCGTATGTACACGCAAGGGACAAGAAGGCACGTATCACATGCGCGGCCTGCTTCCTGCATGCATTACCAAAATCTAGAACAGGTCGAAAACAAAGACATGTTGCTTGACCAAACTTTTTGTTGTTACATGTATCCAATTTTGTCATTATCTCACCGATCAAACTGTATTTAACATTGGTATGGATCTCAATTCTTAATTAGCGAATCGTATCCTGTTTTAGAGCATTTCAGTGTTCACCATGCAGATAGTAGGACAACGTCACAAAACCATTTGAATAATGTTCTATAGTTAAAAAATTGAGCTTCGTTCAGAAATTAGCCGAAGTTGTGTTTTGGTGAAAATACAGGTGGCTTCGAGATTCCCCTGCCCGGTACACCTCCCGAGGAGCCCAAGGGCCGCTCCGCTCCTTACTTCAGCCGAGGCATTTCCGGGGGTTCCAGCCGTGTTGAGAGCGAACCGCCGGGCTTCACCCCCGGAAGTGATACCTTCCCACCAGGCACTGTGATTGATCTCCGGGTCAGCGCGTCCTCGTTCGAGAATGCGACAGTGACGTTGGCCTGGACCGCGCCTGGTGACGACTTGGACAACGGAGCAGGTTTGCTGTTGAACCTTTTCACTTTATCTAAACAGAATTCGTCATTAGAAAGTCACGAGTGGGTGATATCTGACCCAAGGTGGCGATGTTCATTGTATGTGGCCCTAATTGCAGGTTTAAATTATGAAACGTTTGTGCCTGGTTGTCGGGAACATTATCTTGAACGTCTGGGGGAAAACCTATTCCGTCCACGTTCTAACTGGTTTAGTTTTTGACTATCCACAGCTTCCCGTTACGAAATCGTCAGGGCGACTTCAATCCTAGCCTGGCAGAACGACTCAACCCCCGAGTCGCATTACGTCATCTCCGCTGATGACATCATCCAGGGGAACCTCAGCGAACCTCAGGACTACGGCCAACGGGAAGTCTACGTGATCCAGGTCCCCATCGCAGAGAACGCTACCGTGGCTTCCTACGCGTTCGTGCTCCGCGCGTTCGACGACGCCGGTTTGGTGTCGCGGTTTTCCAACGCAGTGCAGGCCACGCTGCGCGAGTACGTCCCACCGTCCGGACCGTCCAAAGACCCAGAGAAGGAAGGGCTCACCGGAGGTCAGATCGCTATGATTGTGTGCCTCACCGTTGGGGGCGTTCTACTCATTGCTGTGTTGATTGTCGTGGGAGTCAAGTGTGCGAATTCCAAGGAAAAGAAGGTGGACAGTGGAAAGGAAAAGAAAGTGGGAGAGACTGTGGAAGAAGTTGATGGACATGCCAATAACGCATACACTGTCAGCCCTTGAGAATCAAATAAACAATGACACTTGAGTTAACTGTGATTATTGATTTAATTATTGTCATTTATCATTTGCAATACATTTTTCTATAGAATTCCCTTTGGAGACAATAATATTGTGCCTGCTAACGCGTATATTTTGCAATAATTCAAATTACTCCAAATAATTCGTCAACTACACTATTGGTTTGGAAGCCTGTAGAGGTAAATACAAAAACCCATTGCAGTGATTTCTGGCAGGTTTCAAACCATTATCTGTACATGTATTAGTATTAGTTGTATTGGAACATAAGTAAATGTATTAGTTTGTATTAGAACATAATCTAAAAGCCCGGTAATGGAAAATAATTGTATACGTCATTACTAACGTTCATGACTTGAATTTCAAGCAAAACTATGGATAGGCCTATATAAAGAAGCACAAGGCCACATATAAAATTATAGGGTGCGTTGGTTAACATGCTTTATCCGCAGTTGTTAACATAGAAGAATAATAACATATCAGTTAAGTGTCCTGCCCTTTTTTGATGGGAAAACGGAACCTAAAAGTTCCCCAACTTTGTGTCGTTATGTTTGAGTATTGACGAAATGAAATGTTCCCCTTGACACTTCTCTGCCTCCGCAATAAATCCGGTATAATGCTAAACTATTGATGCTAAACTATTTCAAATTAATTGTGTACATTAAGATAGTTTTGTGAATAGAATTATACCTTTTTGAAGTATTTATGAGCAATAAACCCCAATTCACAGACAAGATAAACAGTATAGTTCGCCCACCAGTTTGTGTTTAGTGCTGCCCCCTATATGCACATATATCCATATCTCTTCCCACACTATTCCACAAGTAGAGACAAGACATTATTCCCTTAACGCATTTCGAAGGGGTCGTTAAAAAAATTCATTTCCGAATACCATGAGAAAATTCAATGCATGTACAAGGTTCCTTTGTCAGATCCGAGCTGATAATAATTCCATCAATGTTCTTCCAACGAAGCGTCTGTGAGCAACATTCTGTCAATCAAATCAGCATTTATTGTCATGTCATAAAGATGGCGCACTTCAAAGGTGGCAATAAAGTAATTTGTTGTCAAAAGTACAATAAGTAATTGACTACTAATGCATAATCATACAAATCATTCGTGTAAATCATTTTTCACAAAAGAACATCAATAAATAAATCAAGTTACGACCAATGAAGAAGAAAACCTGAAAAAACCGACGCAAAAGACGTAAACAAAAACAAAAAGCTGCATTGCGTGCCACAGTAGTATGTTATTTGGTGCTCAACATCATATTATTCAAGAATAAACCTTATCTGACAATAATCATGCCAGAGATGACCCACATCAAACATCAAATGCTATTACAAACAAGTTTGTGTTCAGTCTACACGTTTGGTATTTAAATTAATCACCCCTTGTGCTTCACTGCTAAAGTGCCGCACCAACATAAAGTATTGTGTAGGGCCGGGTCGCACACAACGGTGCAAAGTTCCGGTTCAAAGTTAGCCTCGCCGTACGTTTTAACTCTTCTAACACTTTTTGGGCCACAAAGGTATCTGAAATCGCGGTGATATTGTGCAGCTACTTCGGTTTCTTTTCATCATAAAGTTAAACCATCTCCCCAGAGACCCACAAAAATAAGACGTGGAGACGACTCAGTAAACCAGCAGCAGACGAACGGTGTAGATAAAAGGAGTGTCGTGCCCTCAAAAAGTTTAGAATGGATGGAATAAATCTTCCAAAGCTGTCACTTGTTTTCATATGCTGTTTGGTTGCCTTTACAGCGGCGTCAGGAATTGACGACGGTAAGTCTGTGCTGTCCCTGAGCAGAGTTCATGTAGCAGGATACATTGAAGAACACCTGAAATGTTTGTATCAGTCCAATCCGTTGTGCAGCAGCTGTTACGTTCCCTGATACCGTTTTCGGGATTTGTCTGTACCAATATCCGTAGGTTTTTGTTATTTTGACGAACCTTGTTTGTTAAGTAAGGTTTGCTGACATTTCAACGGATAGTTGAATTCAAAACAATAGCAGAATTAGGTGTAAATGATTGCTTGACTTTAGACTTAACGGAGGTAATGACTTGGAATGACTTGGTCTCAACTGCACTATGAACTCTTTCGCTTTCAGAACAACCAGACGATCGCTTGCCTCCTCTCTTGGCCCGCCTCATGCCTCGTGATGCCGACTCCATGCAACAGATCGAAGCAACAACCGACAATCAGATACCAACCCCAGCAGTAACCCAGCCTCCGTACATAGTGCAAAGCCTGACAGAAGCCATCACCTTAGCGGTCATCAGCGGCATCTGCGGGCCGTCTCTCTTCGCGCTCATCGGCTGCGGGATTCGTCAGATCCGCACGACCTGGGACGACCCGTTCGCCGGCGGGGAGAGACCCGTGGACGAAGCCGCCGAGCGCCGCAAGCGCAAGAAGCAACAGCAGCAGCAGGAACAGCTAGGGGACGACGATGAAGCCGAGCACGCCAACAACAACTACCGGCCTGCCAAGACCGTGACCAACAACGTGGACCCCCTGCTCCTGGACCGCATAACCACTCTGGACCTGGACAACATCCGCGCCAAGCCACTGCCCACCGCAAAGTACAGCAACACCGAGAAGAACCTGGCCGGTAGGGTGAACGTAGGATACAGCAAAACGGCAGAGGATATCCTGTGAATGGAACCTTAACGACCCAAGCTTGGCAACTCATCCGGACTGTGATAATCAACTATTTTGGCCCTTAGGTGTTTAAAAACAGGCTGTCACTGGCAATCTTTAGGTACTTAATACAAGGTTTATAAAAAGGCAATAAAAAAATAATGGGTTAATATGTTAAACCTATATGAACTTGAACACTGTCAAAGGGCTCCATCTCAAAGGGTATTTCGTAAGTTTTTCATTGATACCTTATTTCCATCTCAATTGTCTGCAGTCACAAATAACTGAACACCATCGATTTCAAATAACAGGGGAAAAAATACACTTTTCCCCCAGGTTTGCTGAAAAAAATGGTGAATTACTCTCTAAATTCCAAAGAGTGAAATTAGGGACTAGACGTTTTAGAGTGAAAATCACTCTCATTTTCGATTGACATAGTCTGAAAAATTAACCACTTCAGTCGAAGCTCGAGCGAAACCTCGATCTTTACGATTGAAGAAATTTCACTCTAAAACGTCTAGTCCCTAGTTTCCGACTGTGGGAGTGAATCTTCACTCGAATGGAGAGAGTTTTCACTCTTTGAAATTTAGAGAGTAAGCTGTCAGAAGAATGCACTGAAGATGTTGCTGCACTGACCAAGTTCATAACTTTTAGACATTAGGCATACCTCATTCTTTCGGATTACCTTTTGATATACCCTGTATACCAAGGACTTACAAGAGTTTAGTTTTTCAAGTGAAGCCTTTTGATTCAATAAGACGATACAATGCGACGAGCGAATAGATCGTTACTGTGGTATGTCACTTCCTGTTGAGGTCTCAAGCCCATCCTTAGCTATTTCCAAATGGTATTTAACAATAAATTTTACAAAAATAAATCTGTAAATACAAGTCCTGATTGGTTATATTAAATTGTTAGAGAGTATAGCATGACGCAATAGACCTATATCATGCTTCCACCATTTTAGTCATGTTCCCTGTATCCAATAACAGTACTGAATGATAATGTTTTTGTGCAAAAAGGAACCAGACTATTTTTCCTTCCAGCCTCGCTTTGGTTACATTGTTTTGAATGGGAAAAAATCAAATGGCTGTAACATTATAATGGTCTATTGTCGGTTCTCGTCTACTCATCGTGTTCATGTATTCTTATATCCTTTCCTTTGTCATTTTTCCCGAGGGAAGTAACTATTGAAGCGGTCCTTTATTACAACAGTATTTAAACAGAAGTCATTCTTAAAGTAGCCTACTAGCCTACAAATTATTTTAAACAATACAATAAGCAGAGAACTTTTAAAAAGTATATACTAAATTCACAATGTTGTCGCCGGTCATTTCATTTCAGTATATTACTAATGTTTTTGTTTTGTGTTTGCTTCTGATTATAAGGTGGGTGTGACCAACATAATGTTCACTGTTCACTGTTGAAAGATTATTCAAAAACGAAATTCAATGGTTTTCTATTTATCTTTTATGACACTTGGTCTCCTCGTAACATTTTATACCCGATAAATATTGTAGTTAACAGAAACTTTAAGCCTTTTCGTCTTTAGATACACAGTACGTCAAAGCAGTATCGACTGAATTTCTAATTTGGATTGCATATTAATGGAGGAAAATCAAGCTAAATAGATTTGATAATGGTGAAATAAATGAGTGTGAGACCGGTTTTTTTTCTTTTCTCGTGTTGAAGCGCTGCCAAGGACTGCCTGATTTTGACAAACGATTTATTATGGGAACTCTCTTAATTTTGATTTATGCCTTGTCTGTACGTAGGTGGGCATTCCTAAGCTATTTATATACAGAGGGGTCGGGTGCCATTTGACTCCCAATTTGTCAAGTTGCACGTGTCTTAAAGGTTATAAACACTCTCAACCTACAAATTGAAAGGAATTTGGCGAGCAGGGATGAAAATAATGATCACGATAAACGTGTCACTATGCTCACTTTCCAAACAGACCTTTCGTGATTTTGGAGCTTATAATGCATAGCTCTATGATAGTATCATGGACAGAAAAAAAATGGCAATTTGTCTAAGTCATTGACCTTTACACACAACGTCGACAGCTGGTATCCAATCACGACGCACCATTTTGACCTGACATACATATTCAGTGCCTTGTGATAGCGCTACGGAATCAGCCTGCAGTATTTCTCAGCGCACTCGGGTCGTGTCTATTGGCAACCAACGTGCTTCGTTACAGCTGGGTACCAGCAACTTCAGAAAAGCTTTCGAACTTTGGAACTTCTTTTCACAATCATAACGAAACTAGAGAATATTTCCGCCTGCACAAACAGTGAAATACCCACGTTTCCGCCCTTCAAAGACTGCATACTTTTGTCGGTTGCTATTCAGCAGAATATTTCGATGTTTGCTTGCTTATGAATATTATATCAACCGCTAAAAACGTACTGGGATCACTTTGAACCCTCAAAGTACAACACATAGCGAAAACGTAAGTCACATGCAAATGATTACTCTCTGCAAATACAACTAAACTGTATAGGTTCTTCACACGTAATACGAAGCAATTATACCAAGAGGACTTACCTGTCTGAGTGGTCATCAGTCTCTCCATTGGTGGCTGAAGTCTGCAGATCATTGGTACGACTGTACGCCTGTCAGCAAGGTTTGAACTGAAACAACAAACAGAATACGGAAAAAGATAAACCTTCGCTGTCGTTACTGTGAGGGTTGTAAACTTTCTTTCGACCGAAATACACAAGACTACAAGGAGTGGATAGCAACGACGGCTTCGGTTCAGTAGCTCTACAGGCCATCCCTTGTTTATTTCAACGGAAAGTGCATCGCGAGGAACACACAGTGTCACCACAAGATCAGATGTGATGAAACTATGCAAACGACAAGATTTACAAGCGCATAAAATCGTGGGGAATATCCCATAAAACTTTTTTACAGCGAGGAACGAAGTCTGTAGCGCATGTACGAAGTTCATCCACAGTCACCCAGCTGTATCGACACATTCCTTGTGTCAAGCAGAAAATGTACATGGAGTCAAAATCTCAGAGAGTCTGACGAGTTAAGCATTCCAAGATGTCTGGTTTACTGTCAACCGAACTGATGTTTGGTTTTATTGTCTTTCTCCTGAACATTGGGCCGAACCTTTTCGTCTTGTCGTCACTCACAAGACCCGAAACGGTAGAACTCATAGATAACGGATACGCGGGCGTCGTGGTTTCTATTCACGAAGACGTGCCTGAGAACATGGACTTGGTTTCGACTCTCGAGGTACGATTGAGATCACTTTCATTTTGAATGTTATAGTGCTGCTGTAGAGTTACTTGCGGAGTACAGTGCCACAAACATATAGGTCTTGTACTAAAACATGAGTATTATCTAATAGAAAGACAAACTAGAAAACCTCGTCCGTTTATATGGGCTATTAGTTATGGGTACATGACACTGAATATTTGGACATAGCATGCAGAAGGACTTTTCCCTTTGTTTTTGGACAAGGTATTGGGAAAAAGATTCTGATCAGAATCCCAGCCGAATTCTCTTTTATTTGCACAATATTCCAATCTTGTTTCAGTCTATTTCTTAACATTACATATTTATTACTCGTCAGGGCTAGGAGGATCCAACTGACATTTCTGTTAATACTACTCTCCTCTTTTCAGTCAATGTTTTCTGACGCTTCTCAGTACCTCTACCAAGCAACGAAGCATAGAGCCTTCTTCAGAAATGTAACTATCGTGGTACCGCGGTCTTGGGCGCCGCATCCCGACTATGGCCCCAGCAGAAGCCATCATCATGACGTCATCGTCACGCCAACCAATCAGCACTGGGCACCGGATTTTAACACCAATCAGTACCAAGGCTGCGGGGAAGGAGGGGTCAGTGTCCGGGTGGGAGTGAACTTCCTTCTGGATCCGTTCGTAGAGAGGCACTATGGTCCAGTAGGTAAGAAGGTAGATTGATTAAGAAGACTTTAATACGTTGGCCAATATCACTTTCTACTTTAATACGTTAGTTCTGTTCACTGAATACGTTCTCATCGCACCACTAGGGCAAAGATTTGTATCAACGAATGGAGTGGGACGATGCAAACGTCCTAAGATTTTCCTGACTGCAGAAATTGTGTTGGGGCTGGGGCAAACATCATTTGAAATTAGTAGGCTTGTATAATTTTCATAACTTACGTAGATATATCGCATACCTTGCACTTTGCATTTAGATTATATTTTAAGACTCGAGAGTTGCGAGATGAAAATGTGCTGCTCTATACTTCATTTCTTTTCACTTCTTCTTTTACTTCTTCATGTAGCTATATGTTGACATGGGGACTTCAAACCGGCATTTTAGTTTTCAATCTAAAAATATATGGGATGATCCAACAGCCCATCCCCCAGCAGCTGTAAACCGTGGATGGATGATATCCATTGTATATCTTTTTGTTCTCGGGATTTACGCCTTTGCCTCAATGCATTCCATCATGTGTTCCTGACTTGAATTCATCTCTTTCCTTGTCAAAGGTCGTTTATTTGTTCACGAGTGGGGCCACTATCGCTTGGGCCTGTTTGAGGAGTACCCAGACCCAGCCACTGAACCCGATGTTGAGGATGACTACTACCATTCAAGTGTTACCGGGAGGTTTCAAGGCATCAGGTTTGTCCTATACAAGTGCTTCCTAGTTTTGAGTAGTACTTATACCCTAAGATCCTTTTGGGGGCGGGGCTTCTCAGAACCAATGTTGGAATCACCATTTTCGGTCGTTTTACAATGACATATTTTGCTTGACATAAAGCGTGTTTGTATAGACAACACTCTTGGGTACAGTTATTAAGTTTCAGTCACAGTTTCAAAACCATTTTGAGTTGTCTCCGTTTATCATTTACACATGATCTGTGAATGAGTACTTTTCCTGTTTGTTATGTCAGAAACAGTTAACCTATCACCAAGTGATCGAAATGTTTCGATTTGCAATACACGTAATGGCTCGTCTGAAATTTAGGTCCAAGCATGCGCAAGACAACTACCAGAAAAAAACCACATGGCTCTGCGGGACACAGATACCGACTCCTGAAAAGGCAGAATAGTGAGCAGACTCTGCATGTCTTGGCCCTTAATACAGAGGAAAGCCAACGATCGTGTGTTCAAATACAGGCGCCGGTAGTTCAGCAAAAGTTTGCGAGGCTTAGTAAATCTAAGTGAGTTTTGCTCTATAAGGTCAGGGTGTGACAACTGATAAATAAATGTGTAGTCTCTTATCAAGCAGTTGTATTTCATTGTAGCTGTTCGTCCAGCTTTGCTCACAAGGCCCTAAGGTTCGACTCCCGCAGCAACAGGTACTGGGAATGCGCGGGAAATGACACCGTTGGATACGAGGAGGGCTGTGCGCATGTCACGATCGATGACGACAACGTGACGCAATCGACAGGCTCCATCATGTACGGAAGACAATTCTATGACAAGGTAAGGTCTGCCGGTGACTGTGATAGAATTTAACCTGTTTGTTTCTGGTTTATTTGACGATGTGAAATTAATCCTTTACTTTTTACAAAAAACTACCGTACCTTCCTTAAACTATTTATAACTTCCTTTTTGTTATTAACTACCTGGTTATGTTATATTTTCCTCTAATCTTAATAATGTTATACAAAGCAATACACCGAAGGCAAGAAGATGGCGTGTTAGGCCATTTGCCAAAACACGGCTTTGTCTCTGGTCACGCTCCGACTTCGGCTCCAAAATATTCAAGGAGCCTGTATTAAAATACCTGAACCGAACGAACATGCTTCACCTGTTGGTCTCGTGCCGATTTCATGTTCAGTGCAGCTAAACTGCACTCAAACTATTAGAATGTGTCTCGCAAGTGAGGCACCTATTATCATGAAAACGGATTCCGAAGTCTAACCTGGAGACGAACCCGAAGTTTGGAGAAAAAAACCCTCAGTACCCAACTTCAAAGTATCTACATTTCATTGTCAATATTTTATCAATACTCAAATTTTAATCACAACTACAACAGAATCAACACCTTACTGTCCTAACAAAGTAACAAGGGAGACATTCCTTTGGTACAGTTCTAAAAAATACACATAAAAAATATCGTTAAGACAGACAAGAAATTTAAAATTAAAAAAGTCACTAAAACCTTCTAAAACCCGTGACAGGTTGTGAATTTCTGTGCTTCGGACGGCACTGACCGGCCGGGCAGCCTCCATGACAAAGAAGCCCCCACGAGACATAACCGACTGTGCGGTGCACGGAGCTGTTGGGATGTCATGAAGCAACATACAGACTTCCAAGGTAAACGAAAATTGTCGTCAAACAATTAAAAACCGAAAATATCCGGGGAAAAGATTTAAAACAATTGTTTGAATGGTCACATTCCGAATAAAATTCCGCAAACTAACAATGCCCTTATAAAGTGCATGTAAGAAGTCTTGTTAAATTTCCCAATGTACAAATACAAAAGTAAAATTTTTCACAAAATAGTGGCGAAGTCCATATAATCATACTATTAAGTCTAAATCGATTACACCTGTATGTTCCATACGTCATTCGTAATTTTCACGACTGAAAGCTTAGGATTTTCAGTCTGTCGCAAATGTTTGGTGATTGATTCGAAAATTTTTCTTTTGTTCATAATCTGTGCCCTTCTATGCATGCTATACTAGTTGGTACTATGGTTGTCGAACTTATTAGTACTTGATACTCGAAAATAATGAAAGCAGAAAGGTCATATTTCGTTTGGATTTGGTGTGGGTACGGTTCATGCTTGTGCCTTCTGGTCGTTGGAACATCGGCATCGGATCATGGCTCGCAGCACCGGGGCGAAGTGTGGATGCTTGGCGGCGTAGATGAGAGGATTGATGCAGCTACTCATGAATGAGATCATTGAGCTGTAATGCTGATAGCGTTGATTCTTGGTAACCACCATGATGGCGAGAGGAGTGAAGCAAACAACGAAGACCAAGACGACCACGAAGAGGTTCTTCGTGATTGCCATATGGTCCTGCTTGCTGCGAGTCAACTGACGGGAAGTCTCGGTGCTTCTTGGGATGTTGTCGTCTAGATCAAGCATGGAGATGGATGGAGCTTTCTGCATGGCTGTGGCAGACTGCAAACGCACGCTCAATTGTTGCCGGCGCTTCTCGAAATGTTTCTTGACGTATCGCCAGATCAGAACGTAGGAAACGAGGATCACGACAGAAGGAAGCAGAAAGAGAAATGTAAACTGGATTTTATCGTATGTAGCACCTTTAGGGTGCGTGTCGATGTCGGAACAAGTTCTAGTTTCAGGATCGAAGCCGAGAACGCCGACTCCGGAAAGAGGTGGCACCACGATGGTGCAGAGGGGAACGAGCCAAGAGCCCAAGACCATCAGTGCAACCTTTTTGGGTGTGTACAGCCACTGGTAGGTCTCCTTAGGCCTGGTGATCAGGATGCACCGGTTTAGGGCGATGTTTGCAAGAGTATACACGCCACATCCCCCAGCGATGAACACAAGAGCACCCGCCGCAATGCACGGGACGTCCGATTGCAGCGGGTAGCCCGGCGTTTTGGTCACCATACCCGGCATGCTCCACAGGAGAGCGAAACCCAACAGGGAATCAGACACGCTCAGGTTGACCACGAACACGTTGGTGACGTTCTGGAGTTTCTTGGTGCGGGCCACGGCAGCCAACACCAGGCTGTTACCAAAGACATCCCCCACAATCAAAATAGAGATCCCCACTGCACAGAAGACAAGCTCTGGGTAGGTGTATATGGACTCGACTACAAGAGACTGCACAGTCGAGTTTGGATGAATATTGAAGTTTGGTTGAAGAGTTGAGTCCGTGTGAATAAAAGTGTTCGGCTGAATCGTCGCGTTTGTTGGAAACGCCATTACTCCAGCTTCTGATGCTCTAGCTTTCTGACTCCTGATGAATTTACCAGAAGCCTTTATAAATACAAGTTCTACAAGCTACTATCAATATCAACCATTAATAAATCTTTGCTTTTAACATAAACAAAAAACATCGTTTGACAATACATGTACTTTCATTCTCAACTGATAAAGTTTATGTACATTATCAATATTATATATTTACTCTAACTTTCACCTTTTCAAACAACCTAGCGAATAGAACTCATGGAAGTGTCTTTCATTGAGTCCCGACACATACAAAAAAAAAATCCTTAAATATCAGTTGTAATGTTTTTACAAATCCAATTTGATTATTTTAACACCAGCTACGATCAGCACAAGTCAAAAACATTTACTTTTTAAAGTGAAACTAAAACATCGTTGACAATACTTTCATTCTCACTAATACAATGTATGTACATTATCAATTGTGTATAATTCCTCTTACTTTCACCTTTTCTAATAAATATAAAGCAACCTAGGGAATAAAACTTGTGCAAGTATCTTTGTATTTTCTTAACTTCTAAAGCTTATGCACAGGCTTCTTTTGGTAGCAGACCACACCAAGAATTCCATTCTTCAGAAAACTAGTGTTCCTCGATGTATAAGTCGAATTGTACAAGGGAAAAAATCTGGATCAAGCGTTATGTATAATATTCCTCTGATGAAAAAGAAATGATAGCGTTTATGAGAAACGACAGTGTCGTAGCTGGTAAATTCAACTCAAGCAAAACATTCATTCTGTACGTCTTTTACAAATACAGGAAAATTAAGGTAGATAACGATAGATAAGTCTGAATAACATAAACATATGTACTTCATATCACAAGAAGCAAAATGGGGCTGTTAAAGCCTTAAAAAGCTTGCAAACAAAACGTACAATAAAACGTTGAACAGCGATAAACAGAGATATTCCCAAAGACAGTTTCCTAAAAACAAGTTACAAAGGGGGGAAATGATCACAAAACAGCAACAAGGTGATGTACATGAAGAAGTAAGGGACAGGCAGCCATTCTACCTGCATGCTGCTGACGTGATGGATCCTTACAGTTGTCTATTTTTACAAAATTCTGAAATGCAACTTGTCATGTTTTGATAACGCCGAGCTGAATTCATTCCCACACGTTCACACAACACCGTGAATAAACTATTTGTTCTCTTGTTATTTGTTTCGCTTCCGATTCATAAGAATTAATGTACTTGAATTTCCCCAAACTTTCACCTTTCAGAACATCCAAGGTAAACAAAGTGTCTGTGCAAATGAAAGTTGATGGCATTAGGAAGTTCCTTAAACAGTCCTATTACAATTTTTAACTAATGAATCCTTCACAGAAACGCTTTCAATTCAAGGAGTCGAAAACTTTTGAGGAGGATAGGTGTCTCAATGAAAGTTATGAATAAATGATCGTATCTAACATAAAATTCCGCAAGCGAAATATTGCACTTTTCAAGTGCTTAAAACACAAAAGGCTGGATAAATTTTCAAATTTAAAAATACAAAATTAGATTGTTTTTCAAAAATGGCAATGTCCATATACATAGGTCTAAATATTTACACAGTATATTCCATGTCATTCGATATATTTACGATTGCATGCTTAAAATGTTCAGCCTAAAGCAAATCTGTATGGTGATTGATCCCAAAATTCTTTTGTTTATAATCTGTGCTACTAATAAAAGTTGGTATGGAGTATAATAGTTGCAGAACATAATACGTTGGCACTTGAGACTCAAAATGGAAGCAGAACTGTCACATTTCGTCTGGTTTTGGTGTGGATATGGTTCATGCTTGTGCCTTCTGGTTGTTGGAACATTGGCATCGGATCATGGCTCGCAGCACCGGAGCGAAGTGTGGATGCTTGGCGGCGTAGATGAGAGGATTGATGCAGCCACTCAGGAAAAGGATGAGGGCGCCATACAGCTGGTAACGATGGCTCTTGGTAACCACCATGATGGCGAGAGGGGTGAAGCAAACGACGAAGGCCAAGACGACCACGAAGAGGTTCTTGGTGATTGCCAGTTGGTCGTTCTTGCTGCTAGTCAGCTGACGGGAACTCTCGGTGCGTCGAAGCGATGCCTGCTGGTTGCGGGTGCGCCTCGAGGTGCTGTCGTCTATCTCAAGCATGGAGATGGACGAAGGAGCTGTCTGCACGACTGTGGAAGACTGCAAACGCTCGCACATTTGTTGCCGGCGCTTCCTGAAATGTTTCTTGATGTGTCGCCAGATCAGGACGTAGGAGACGAAGATCACAGCAAAAGGAAGCGGATAGAAGAATGCAATCTGAATCTTATCATAAGTAGCACCTGTAGGGTGGGTGTCGATGTCGGAACAAGTTCTAGTTTCAGGATCGAAACCGAGATCGCCGATACCAGATAATGGAGGTATGATAATGGCACACAGAGGGACGAGCCAGGAGCCCAAGACCATCAGGGCAGTCTTCTTGGGTGTGTACAGCAACTGGTAGGTCTCCTTAGGCCTGGTGATTATGATGCATCGGTTCAGGGCGATGTTTGCAAGGATGTACACGCTGCATCCTAAAGCTATATACACAAGACCGGCCGCCGCAACGCACGGACCATCGGACTGTAGCGGGTAGCCTGGTGTGGTGCTCACCATACCCGGTACGCTCCACAGGAAAGCGAACCCAGAGAGACAATCAGACACGCACAGGTTGACCACGAACACGTTGGTGACGTTCTGGAGTTTCTTGGTGCGGGCCACGGCAACCAACACCAGGCTGTTACCGCTGAATGCCAGGACTATCAGAATAGAGAACCCCACTGCACAGAAGACAAGCTCTGGGTAGGTGTATATGGACTCGACAACAAGAGACTGTAGAGTCAAGTTTGGATGAAAAGTGAAGTTTGAGTGAAGAGTTGAGTGCGGACGAAGAGTTGAGTTCGGGTGATAAGTTGTGTGCGACTGAAGAGTCGCGTTCGTGGGAAACGCCATGCTCCAGCTTTTTGATGCTCTAGCTTTCTGAGTCCTTACGCATCAAAGAATTCCTTAAATACAAGTTGTAATGTTTAAACGGTCATATGATCATTGCTTTTTAAAGTAAAACAAAAACATCGTTTGACGATACTTTCATTCTCAACTGATGTACATTTCAATTGTGTACAATACCTCCAACTTTTACCTTTCACTTAATTTAAAGCAACATATGACAAGCTTGTGACAGGAAACCATTCTACATACATGCTGCTAACGAGAGGGAATCCTGACGGTTGTCTATTTTTACAAAATTCTAAAATATAACGAAGTTTTGATAAAGCCCAGCTAAATTCACTTTAACGAGTCAACAGCAACACCGTGAATAAAATATGGGTTCTCTTGTTACTTGTTTCAATTTCAATTGATAAAGTTACTTGAATCTCAAAGATTCACCTTATC